CCTTGACGTCAGCCGCCCGCGGAGCGCCCTGCGCAGAGCACGCCCAGCCGCGGCCCGGAGCTTGGTGAGCCCCCTCTTCGCGCTGGCGTCTCCGCGCCGCGCAGCCCGGCAGGTGCCCGCGGGGAGGGGGCCTCTGGCTGCCCCCCTGCCGGCCGAGGAGCCGGAGCCACCACTCGCCCCGGCGGCAGGCCAGCGAGCGCCCGTCCCGCTGCTGGACCGAAGCTGCTGCTGGGCTGACGCCGGGGGCGCCGCCCGCGGGCGGCGGAGCCCTCGCGGAAGGGACTTGCGGCAGCCTTGCTCCCCGGGGCCGCCCGCGGCCTGGCCGCATGCGCACGGCGGGAGAGCCAGCGGTGACGGGCGACCGCTCGGCCACGGAGCCCGCGGGAGGCCGGGGCCCCTTTCGCGCTGCTGCCCTCGGGCCGGGCCGGGCCGGGCCGCGCGTCGCGAAGGCGGCTTCCGGCGCTGCCTTCGCATGGTGATCGCGGCGCCGCAGCCGGGCCGGGCCGGGGGCCGGCGGCGCTGGGGAGAGGCTTTCCGCAGGGCGCTCGCGGCATCGGCCCCGGGGCTGCCGCACTGGCGCCGCTCCCCGCCCAACTCCGGGCTCCTCCCGGGAGCGTGGGGCCTGCGCGCATCCGCGGGTGCGTCTCCCGCACCCGTCGGGATCGCAAGGCGCTCTGCATTGCAAGGCTGCGTGGATGCGGCTTGACCGGCGGTGCCCCTTGACCTGGCTGAGGAGAGGCATTTTGCACCGCTCTCTGCGGAGGAGAGCTGTGAATTGTGGCCCCTCCGATGTGGCCTTGGTCCTGTGCTGGGGCAGCCCCAGTGCTTGCCTCAAAGGCCGGGAGCGGGTAGGTGCTGATGGGGCGCCTCAGCCGCTCGAGCGGGCAGAGCTGGGCAGCGGCCGGATCTCCAAGGCCCAGGGGCCTGCTGGGCTGCCCCCGGAAGCTAAAGCAATGTTTCAAGCAAGGGCGCGTGCGGCTGTTTTGCACCTGGCCACCTGGCGTGTCGAGGAAGGGAGCCTTGGCTGAAAGGAGTCACGCGCTTGGCCCGCTTCCCGAAGTCGGCCTTAGGGCACCCCCTGAGGGCTGGCAATGGCCCTAGCTGGGTCTCCTGAGGGAGGATTGGTGTGGGGGAGAGGCAGCTTCTCCCCTCACCCCGTCATGGTGTCTCTTCCTTCGCAGCCCCCTCTCCACGCCGAGGCCTCCGTGAGGCAGCAGCCCCGTGGAGATGGACGGGGCCCGGGCTTTCCCTGAAGGGAAGATCGCCGGCCTCTATGACCTGGAGCGCACGCTGGGCAAGGGGCATTTTGCGGTGGTGAGACTGGCACGGCATGTCTTCACGGGGGAGCGGGTGGCCGTCAAAGTCATCGACAAGAGCAAGCTGGACAGTGGAGCCGCGGCCCAGCTCCTGCAGGAGGTGCGCTGCATGAAGCTGGTGCAGCACCCCAACGTGGTGCGTCTCTACGAGGTCATCGACACGCACGCCAAGCTGTACCTCATCCTGGAGCTGGGGGACGGTGGGGACATGTTTGATCACATCATGCAGCACGAGGGCGGCCTTGCTGAGGAGCAGGCCAAGCACTACTTCGCCCAGATTGTCCACGCTATCTCCTACTGCCACCGCCTCCACGTGGTCCACCGTGACCTCAAGCTGGAGAACGTGGTCTTCTTCCAAGAGCAGGGGGTCGTGAAGCTCACGGACTTCGGGTTCAGTAACTGCTTCCAGCCAGGCACGATGCTCACGACCAGCTGCGGCTCCCTGGCCTATTCTGCCCCGGAGATCCTTTTGGGCGACGAATATGATGCTCCAGCTGTTGGTAAGAGCTGGGAAGGGAGGGCCTCTCAGATCCCCCCCAACACAGCAGTGTTGTCCTGCTGGAATGACAAGGGAGGTGTTAGAGGTGGACACCTCCAGGTACTATCCCTCACCTTACTGAGGTGGGTCTTGTCTAACCTGGGTGATTTTGCCAAACAGTCACTAAGTGCTTTCACCACAACCAGCTGTGTTAGTTGGGATGGTTGAATCAAGACAATGTAAATAATTCTCTGGCATGCAAGCAGGTTTTTTTTAAATTGCAGCAATAAAACAGCTTACAGAAATTGTGACTTTCTTGCACCTTCAGGTTTTTCTGATAGTGCACAAAAGATGGATGGTGTTTGGAAACTGGGCTAAACTGACCCTGCGGAAGGATCAAACTGTGCTGCTCTTTAGGGAAAGGCCCACTTTCACAGGGCATTTCTCATTCTTGCAAATCCACATAATTAAACAAAAAAAAAATCCATTGAAAATGGGAGGAAATTAATTTCTGGCTTGGAAATTAGAGGCTGGAGGAATCTAGGTCTCCAAGTGGAGAGAGAGGTAAGTTCCTGATGAAGGCAAGGCTGAGTCTCACATTGGGTGTTTTGACAGACAACAGGTGTTGAGCCAAACGCCAAGCCCAGGAAGCCCCTTACCTCTCTGCTCTGGATTCCTTGCCTTTTCTTGGCCACCCTGCAAGCCTGAAGTCAGCCAACCTCCACTGCTGCCACAGTCTGCATGCCCTGCTCTGGGTACAGGATTCTGGGCTCTCTTCCTGACTCTTGACTTGATACTGGTGGGTGCTTGGAGAATGCAGTGGAGGCTGCAAGGAGGGAGTGCCGAGGAGGGCCTGCTTGGCAACTGCAGAAGAGGTGGCTGGGAAGGGCTGTCCAGCAGTGTGCTTCCGCTAGAGCTTGCGCAGACTTGAGGGAGAGTGGCCCGGGAGAGTCCAGGCGTGAGAGGCATTGCCAGTGAGCAGCAGTGTTTTGAGCAGTGACTGGAAGCCTGCAGCAGCAGAGGGTGCCCTGTGTCTTTCTCTCCATGGCCTTGGGAGAGGCCAAGAATGTGCCCAGCAGCCCTCACAGCTCTTCTCCGTGTCCTCCATTCACCACAGAATGTGGGTTTGTGTTGTGCCGTTTTGCTTCTCCGGCAGACGCTTCTGAGGGCAACACAGGAAGCCTTGGTGTTTATTCTCTGTTTGAGCTGGTTTCCTATGTAAAAGCTGTTCCAGGATGGGGAGTGGCCTGGCTGAGCACGTGTGCGCGGGTGAGCCCCTCGTGCACTTACCACCTGCTTCTGTTCTGCCATTCTTGTGTGTGATTCGTGCACAACTGTGTGCATTCTGCCAGGCTGCCAGTGGGAAAGGTGACACTTAGCATCATTTGGAAACAGTGAAAGTGCCGTGTGATACCCACTCGGTTCTTACCACAGGCCCTGTAAGGCACTCTTATTGGGGCCTGGCTGTGTGCGAGCGCATGCAGCAGCATGTTGGGGGAACCCTAGAGCTGAGGAGAGCCTGGAACTGGGAAACTTCCTGGCTCCCAGTCACCCTCCTTGCCCACACAGTACGGTGGCCATCTCGGATGGTAGATCAGCCGTGGGGCTTTGCGAGGGTTGTCCTCTGGAGTTGTGGCCAAGGGCATTGTGCTGGGGCTCGAGCAATCTGGGGGCTAGTCCCCACTCGGCCGTGGGCCAACTGGGCACTCTGGGCCAGTAACAGACTCTCAGTCCAGCCCACCTTAAAGGGTTGTTGTGGTGGGGATAATACTGAGAGCAGGAGAAAATGCGAGTCGCTCTGAGTTCTTTACAAAAGAAAAGGGCAGGATGTAAATCTAATAAAGAGTTCACAATGCTGAGCTCGGTGCCTGAGCACAACCCCCAACTGCCCTCATCCAGGGGTCCTCAAACTTTTTCACCAGGGGGCCAGTTGAAAGGTGCTGGGCACAGGCCAGAATGGTGGCACCAGCGGGGCGCTTGGGCCGGTGCGGGAGTGGGGCATGCGTGTGTGTGCTGAGGCGGGAGGGGGGTTTGCAGGAAGCGCGCCCACTGAGGCGGCGAGACGTGAGTGGGCGCGTGCGGCGAGGGGAGGGGAGGCAAGGGGGGTGCGCACGTGCCGTGATGCAGCGGTGTGCATACGATGCAGTGGCTTGCTTGCATGGAGATTGTTTTCTCTGAGCGAGTCCAAAATGGTCTCTCGAGCAAGCAGGGGGCAAGGCGGGCAGTGGCATGTATGCATGGCGCATGCACCTGGCTCATTGAAAACCTCTGAGATGGGCCAGATAAATGGCCATGGTGGGCCGGATCCAGCCCCGGGCCGTAGCTTGAGGACTCATGCCCTAGTCAGAGGGTGTGTATTTTAAAGGGCGACTGCACACAGCGAGCAGGTCATCAGGGGCTAGCGAGCCCGTGGGTCGTGTGTGCTCCTGGCCTCCCGGCAGCACCTGCACCGGATGCCACTGCGTGGACCGGTGGCATGTGACCCCGATCCCCGCGATGCCGGGGCGCCCTACGAGCCCGCTGGCCAGGGTGCTGGTAGTCGGGCGGCCCGCTGCGCCCTTTGGTTCTGCAGGGGCTGGGGACGCGGGGCAGCCCATGATCACTGCGAGGCCTGCTGGCTCTGGGATGCGGGGGAGCGAGCGCCCATCCCTCGTGCGCGCCCAGCCGGAGCAGCGGCGCAACACGGCCAGCCACGCCGGTGCTCGTCGTGCTTCCGCGGCTCTTCGCGGCGCCCTTGAGGCCGAGCCACCACTCCCCCCGCGCCGCCAGTGCATTGTGAGGCCGACTGTCCTTCTGGGGCCTTCCTAATGAGCGTATTAGCGGTGCCGAGTCTGCCTTAATTAACTTGCAAATGAACCGCAAGGCTTGCAGGGGCGGAGTTGCCGCGCCGAAGGCTTCGCTGGAGCCCCGCGCCGTTGCGTGTCCGGGAAGTGGCGCTTCTCCGTGCCGGCGCCCACTGGGGAGGGCAGGCGGCCCCGCGGAAGGGGCCTCCTCACGAGCAAGCCGCCCCCGCGGCCTCAGCGCAGATGCAGCCCCGGCCGGCTGCGCTGCGCTGCCCGCGGGCTGGGTCTCCTCGGCCTCCCCACACCGGCCGGGGCAGGCCCTGCATTCCCCCGCCCCGCGGCCCTGCCGATCCGCCTCCTTTCTCTTTCTCCTTGCAGATGTCTGGAGCTTAGGCGTCATCCTCTACATGCTGGTGTGCGGGCGGCCCCCGTTCCAGGAGGCCAACGACAGCGAGACCCTGACCATGATCCTGGACTGCCGCTACATCATCCCACCTCGGGTGTCCGCCCAGTGTGCAGAGTAGGAGCCCCCCTTTCCCTGCCAGCCTGCACTGTGCCCCGGCCCCCCGGGAGGCCTCGGTCAAGGCTAGTGCTGACCGCCCTCTTCCCTCGGCAGCCTGATCGCCCGGATGCTGCAGCGGGACCCCCGGCATCGGGCCTCCCTGGAGCAGATCGAGGGGCACCCATGGTTGCTGGGGGTGGACCCCTCCCCGGCGAGCCGCAGCCTCCTGCCCCTGACGTCCCACCGGCGCGTCTCAGAGGAGGAGCACGGCCTCATCATCCATGCCATGGTGTGCGGCAACATCGCCGACCGGGAGACCATCCAGGAGTGAGTGTCTGGCCTGGCTACCTGGCCCGTGCGGGGAGCATGGGTGGCGTTGGCGGGACCCTGGCTGTCCAACAGGTGCTCCAGTTGGGAGTCCCCTGGAAGCTCAGCCCCAGGAAGAGGCCCGTCGGCCTGGTGAGGCGCGTAGCTCAGTCCTGTACTAAGCTACACCCAAGTGTCCTGCCGCCTGGGTGAGCCGCAGGGGCCCAGCCAGACCCCCCCATGTGCAGCCCAGACTCAGGCAGCACCACATGCAAAAAGTGCAGAACTGGTTGGGCACCACTGGGATGTTAGTGTTAAGTCTCTTGCATGGACAGACACACACGAATCCAGGACAGAGGCCTCGCCCCTCTTGCAGAAGCAAAGATGGAAGCTAGAGTTTCGTGGCAGAGAATGTACACAGAGGGCAGCCCTCAAGGAAAGCCCAGAAAGTGCAGAACTAGACCTGCCTCACGTGGCACACGCTTGGGCTGCGGCACTTGCCATACCCTTGAGGCGACTGGCCAGACTCGGAGGTGGCTGAGGCCAATCTGCGGTCTCCAAGCTGCTGTGCCTGCTAACCTGGAAGCGAGCTTGTGCCCCTCCAGAGGGCTGCTCCTGGGCCCACTGAGTGTGCCCCACACCAAAGTCCTGCTGGCCTAGCAGAGCCAGCCTCGAGATGCCACCTGTGCAAACCAGGAGTGGGCTGGATGGCCTCAGCTGCCCCCAGGGCGGGACTTGGTGGGGTCGGGCAGGCAAGGCTTACTTCCCGGCACAGCCCTCCTTGGGCACGGCCAGAAGCTCTCCCTGGGAGGTTCACGGGTCTCTTCTGACTCTTGCTGTGTGTTCTGGTAGAGCCCTGGAGGCAAACCGCTACAATCACATCACCGCCACCTACTTCCTGCTGGCTGAGCGGATCCTCCGGGAGAAGCAGGGCTCTAGTGCCAGTCTGGACCGCGGCTTGGAGCGGCATACGCAAAACAGGCAAGGTTCCCCTTCCGCTCCGCTTTCAGCACTCTCACAGGGCTGCTCTGCTGGGGCTGCGTGTGGGGGCTGACCGGCTGCCTCTCCTCTCTTTTCCGCAGAAGCCCACTTGGTTCTGTACGTGATGCCAGACATCCTCCGGCCCTGGTGAGCAGAAGCTCTCAGCCACCACCCGCCCCCAAGGGCACGCTGGAGGCCTTCGCGGAGTGTCCAGGGCAGCCCGTCCTCTCGTTCTCTGCTCTGGATGGGGACGAGGGGCCCTGTGCTTTCCACGGGCAACCCATCCAAGCACTGATCTGCCCCTCCCTCATCGAGACCCCCATTGCCAAGAGCACCCCGGCCTTGCAGCAGATTTCGGAGGAGGACGAGGAGGAGGAGGAGGACGAGGAAGAGGGGAAGCCCAGCCTCTTCTGCAGGAGGACCTCCTCCCTGAACCAAGAGCAGATGAGCGACTTCCAGACTGCCAGGGCTTCCTTGCTGTTCTGCCGAAGCCTTGCGGCCCACACCAAAATGGGGAAGAGCCTGGCCGTGGGGGGGTTTCCCAAGATGCGCCCCCCAGAGCTTGAACCAGGGCTCGGCCTTGACCAGGGCGCTCCACAGACACTTCTGCGGGATGAGCAAGGCCGTTGCCCAGCAGGGCACCTGCCTGAGGCTGCTGGCCTGTGCAGAGAGCGGGCCGTCCCCGGACGCACCACAGAAGGTGTGCGCGGAGGCTCCAAGGAGGGGGGGCGGGGCGGAGGGGCAGTAGCTGTTGGCAAGAGCGAGCAGCGCGTCGTCCAGGGGAAGGGCAGCCCTGGCACGGCCCTCGTGGTGGGGCGCCCCGCTAAGGAGGAGCTCCTTGGGAAGGTGGCTGGGCTCACTGGGCTGCCTCCGGGTAGCGAGGCCCCCGAGCAGGGCAGCTGCCCCCAGAGAGCAACTGGGGCCTGTGTGGCATCGCACCCCAAGGACCAGTCCCGGAAGCTGGAGGTGGGGCCAGCCCAGTTGCTGCAGCAGCCTCAGGAAGGCCATGTTCTTGGCAGTGGCAGCGAGGGCCTTGCCGACAACATCATCAGGCTGGACCCTGGCAAAGGCAAGGGTGCCAACCTGAAGGACCGGATCCTGCAGTTCCCGCTCTGTGAGAAGGCCCTGGCCTTCCGGATGAGGCCTGCCTCCAAGGGCAGCCTTCTCTCCCTGGGCCAGTTCAACTGCTGCCACGTCATCTAGCCATCTTGCATCGGGTCTGCAAAGGGGAGCCAGTGGGAGGACCGCCCCGAGGGGAGTGTGAGGCGCCGGCCGGAGGTGCCAGCAGGCTCCGTTCCCATGATCCCCTGCTTGCAGAGAGGCTGCCCCACCCGGTCTGAGTGGCAGGCTTCCACTTGCACACGGAGGCGTTCTGGCTCATGTTCTCTTCATCTGCTCGACTGAGGGAGCCCAGGAACTGTCTGCCCAGATCAGCGGGTGCTCTCCAAATACTGCAGCCTTCCCCACTTTTACTGCTCGCATGCAGGGCCTCCGTCGCTTCGAGGACCGGGCACTCGGGACCTTTGCAGCCAGGCCTGGTGGAGCAGTTGGGGTGCCATGGCTTCTGAAGGGGAGAGGGGACACCTTTGCTGCCCAGGGTCCAGTCAGACAGTGTCCTGGGGGTTTCCTCTGCTCCAAGGCCCTGGAGTCTCCCTTCTTGGTGCAGCTCAGCAGAGCCTCCAGATCCTGATAGCAAACTCTCGACTCCTGCTTGTCCCCATCCTCTCCTTGCAGGCCGGACAGGACCTGCCTGCCCACTAGAGAGCTGAGGCAGGGTGGGGGGTGCAGGCTGGCACCTTTTCAGCTCTCCAGCTGGAAGCCAGTTTCTTCCATCACCTCTTTCTCGCCTTCTGCAGCCTGGCACCCCTCTGGAATTGGGGTGGGAAGGAGAATTCGTGGCAACAGGCCAGAGAGGGCCCAGCTCCCCTGAGTGTTAAGGTTGCCCCCCCAACACACCAGTGCGAGGTGTGGGTGGGCGACGTGTCGGGCCACCGCTGCTGCCATGTCTCCTCCAGCCAAAGCACGAGTCTGGGCCAGTGCTGGGCGCAACCCCTTGGGGCAGACGAGGCCACCTTACTCCTGGGCGCGGTTGCCTGGCCCTGGTGCTGGTAAGCAGGGAGCCCTTCATAACCCCTAAGCTGGGGTGGGCTGGCTAGTGCCCCTCTCAGTTGTCACCATTGTGAAGAGCACACGTGGTTTCCTTCCAAAGCATCGCGGCCTCCTGATGAAGAGGTTTTTATAGAAAATATTTTATAAGAATAGTCTATTTTAATGTAATCAGAGATGTCTCTGTCTCCTTCCCTGTGGGGGTCCAGAGGCTTCCCTGGACAGCAAATGCACTTTTTAGGAGTGAACTAGCCATGTGATGTCCACCCACCCTTAGCCAGCAGTGTTCCCCTCCTGCAGCTGCCCAGCAGCCCCTGTGCCTGTAAGGTGTGTGAGGACATCTCCTTTTTGGTGCAGGCAAGGGGGGGAGCCAAGGGAGGATCCCTGGTGGCATGTGATGAAGACTTCTGCCCAAGTGGGCTTTCCCGCCCCTGCTTGATGCCACAACGCTGGAGTGTAAATCCATGTTTATCATCACCCAGATTGTCTCCCCCTCTCTAAAACTCTTCCAGGAAAATAAGCTTTCTGTGTATTTAACTTTTCTTGCTGGCAAGAAACGAACTGGGAATTGGATTGCTGAGCTCACTGGGTTCTGTACAAAGTGCACTGACTAGATTGAAGGCGAAGCAAGTTTAGTCCAATAAAATGGTGGTTCTGGATTTCGAAGCAGAGCGTGGTTCCTTGCTCAAGGGAGGGCCTGATGGGTGATCTCGCATCATTTCCTTCTGACCCAGAGGTCTCAGAGCCATGCTGTCTTCCACCATGAGTGGCCCTTTCCACTGGTGGGTGTTGCAGAAAAGCTGCATGAGGCCTTTTGTGATACCCAAACAACCAGCTTGTTACTTTCAGCCAGAGCTTTCAGACTGGAACTTAGGTGCATGGATTGGCCTCAGTTTCCAGGTTCCAATATGGATGGCAGGTGAGACAAAGAACCCCAAACCCTTGCCAGCGGTGGCACTAAGGGCCATGAAGTCTCCCTCATTCTGCCTTCCCTCCTGACCTCTAATGAAGTTTGGCTCACGGAAGCGTCTATTGACTTTAATCTGTCAAGGTTAAGATGCCAGATGGAGTATTTTTTTAGCTCAAGAGTACATGACATAAATTGGGATTCTGGGTTGGATGGGGAAGAAATGGGATAATGACAGTTTCAAACTTTCAGAGCAACGGGGCAACTTCAGAGTGTCCCACTCAGCAACGCAGTGCCACTGGACTGCAAAGAAGTGCAGCCCAAGATCAGGAAACCTGTAAGGTGCCTGTCAAGCTTGTGGGGATCGGGGGGGGGGGGGGGGGGGGGGGGGAGGGTCCTGCAGGAAGGAGAAGCGGCACCCAAGGGGACACAGGGTGTGCCCTCTGTACTGAAGCTCTGGCGCTGTTTGTGGGCTGCATGTGGACCAAAGAGGTGTCCGGCTCTGGAAGGGGGTTGGCCCATAAGCACACAGGAAAGAAGTTGCACTTTTGCGAGGGCGTGACACACGCACTCCTCTCTGGCCACATCTGGCCTCAATTACGTGGGGGAGACATCCAGTGGCTGACGGAGCAGCCTCCCCAGCTGAGCACAATTTTTCCGCATTCTGGCATCCGGCTAGTCAATGCTGCAGAGTCGGTTTGTTCTCTGGGGCCAGGCCTTGCACCTCCTGCTCCGGGGAGGGCTGGGGCCAAGGCAGCGCATCTGGGCGGTGGCATGCCCGACCTCTGCTGGTGAGTGCCCACCTCCTCCCCTGCTCCTCCCCTTGCCTGGGTGCTCCCTCACTGCTGCGGAGAGGCTGCTGGCCAGACCGGTCTGGCCAACTGGCCAGAGAGGGACCATCAGCAGATCCACGATGGGGAGCTGGGACAGCTGCGCCGTGGCCACCCTCCTTCTGTCCTTCCTGCAGCCTGGAAGTGCCTTCTGGCTTCTCAATGTCCTCTTTCCACCCAGTGCCACCCCAGAAGTCACTCTCTCCAACAACACTCCCCCTGTGGTGCTTGGTAAGTTGAGCAAAAGTGGGCATGGGGTGCGTAGCAAATTGGCAGAGGGAGGTGTGGGGCTCCCCACGGCAGGCTTCTTGGCTGGGGGAATTCTCTGGTGAACGGTGGGGCTGAAAGGGGGATCGAATCCGAGCCCTGACCACCTCCAGGGGAAGTGCTCTCCCTGTGGAAGGCCCCCCCCCTTCCTGATTTGTGGGTGTCCCCCCTCCCACTGTGCCACAGCCAACTCGATTCAGCACGGTCTCCCACAGTCCTGAACCAATTCACCCATCATGGCAATAGTTCCTGGGTCCTTCTAGGATATGCAAAACCAGATACCTAACTCGTTATTGTTAAAGCTTCCAGGGCGAACCCAGCAACAAGCTGAGCAAGTGATAGGTTGGCTTTGAGCTGTTTAATCACAGAACAAGCCCTGGCTACTGGGCCTGCGCTTCAGGAAAGAAGCCAGGATGGCTGCTATGCGTGGCGTTTGCAGGGGACTAGTGGGCTCCCATGGAAAGGAGTGGGACAGGCTGGTCTACTTTCATCCCTGTAGTTCATCCCATGTAAATCCAAATTCGATCGTGGGCTGGCTTGGCAGGTGTCACACTGAATCAGGTGCGGTCTAGGCGGGGTTGCTTGGCTGGGGCTGCACTGTTCCTGAGACACTGGCCGAACCAGACCCCCCATCCTGGGCTTGCTGTCCCTCCCAAGGGCAAGGGCAGCTCCCCTCCAGGTCTGCAGAACTACAGTTTTCTGGACAAAGGCCTGCTAGCTGGCCTCGGAGAAGCTGCCAGGTAATCGGGATGAGTGGACAAGCACTTGGCCGGGGGGAGGGGTGTTGTGGCCCTCCTGTCCTGCCTGTGGGACATGGTTTGGCCACTGATGCTCCCCTAGAGGGGTCTGGCTCAGACACAGCCTGGCTTCTGTTGCCCAGGAAGGAGAACATGATGTGATTAGCGGGGGCTCCTGTGAGCCCCTCCCCCAGAGCCCCTAGAAGGGTCGATGGAGGTGGCAGTCGAGCAAACTCTGGAGCCCCCCTTGTCCCTCGCCTGCTCTAAAGACTGGCTGTGCGGTCAACCACAACTTAGTGCAAGCTGGTGTGATGGCAGCTAGATACATAAATAGGTCAGAGGAGGACGCCAGGGTGCTTACAACTGAAAGGATGTGGCCCAACCCTCAGGGACAAGGGCCTACATGAAGGAAAACAGGAACCATCTCCTCCCTGAGTAAACGCTGCGCTGGCTGCTGCCCTCCTTGCCCCCCTAGGACCTGGGGAAGCTCTTTCCCCACTCTGGCCCCTGCTGGCATAGATGCTCTGGAGGCAGCCGCTGGCTTCACATACACCACACTCAGCTGCATTCCTGAACTGCCCAGCAGCCCAGGAGTAATCCTGGGAAACCCAGGACGGTGCTTTAGAGCAGGGCGGGCGAGGTGCACAGCCCCTGGGCCAGGTGTGGGGCTGTGCCCTGCACATCCCGAGCTCTAATGTGCAGAAGGCCTCCCCGGTCGGTCTCGTGCCCCAACCAGGCCTCCACGTTCGCTGTGCTTCACGAGACCTTGCTCCACCTCCTCCTCCCAGTGCTGCAGGGCCTGATGGACCCTCTTGTGGTGAACTGTTTGGGAGGATTAAAGACTTCCCCAACACGCCCCTCTTCTTTCCCTGTCACGGCACAGCAGCCACTCCGGAAGCCTGCTTGCCTGCAGGGCTCCTGGGGAAGAAAGTGGCCAAATCCCCTGTGCAGGACACCAGATGGGGCTGCTCCCTGCCTGGCATCCAGCAGCAAAATCCATTCCCGTCTGCGGATTCATCTGTTCCTTGTAGGCCAGGCTTGGTGCTACACAGCACTGTTCAGAGAGCGCCCACTGCAGAATAGTATATAAAAATGTTAATAAATAATAGACAAGCAACCAGGAAAGCCTCAGGTGGCCGTCCACCGTTTTGCTGCTGTCTCCTTTTTCACTCCTGCAGCATTAGGAGAGGAGAGCTGCATGCCCCTCACACGTCCCTCCTGCTGGGAAAGGCACAGGGCCCCATCCCAGGCGGAGCCGGGCAGGACTTGCTTGGCCATCCTTCCCCTCCTCCGGGCTCATTTTGGGCAGCCCCTGGGCAGCCGCTCCTCTTGAGCTGCTCTGGGATCACAGGCTTGCATGGCAGCCGGAATGGCACCAGCTGGACTTTGGCTTGTTTGCCTGTCCCTTGCAGGGGTCATGTTTGCTTGCCTAAGAGCAAACAACCCAGGCTGGCACAGAGCTCCTGCACTGGCAGGAGAGGGCCGGGACAGAAGGGGTCTTGGAGGTCCCCTCCCTCTGCCAGCCCTGTGGAACAATCGCGGGCGAGGAGGCCTCTTCTGTCTGGCACTGGCCAGAAGGCAACGGGCCCACCTCCTTAGGAGAGCAGCCCAAAGTGCAGCCCTGCAGCAGCTGGGAGATGGGAGCGTGGACATTCCCAGAGATGGGAACGCTCTTGTTGGGTGGGGGAAGAGCCCGGGTTGTGTTGAAAGGATGATACAATCTTTCAGTAAGAGAAAGACGCTTTCTCTGCAACAGTTAATGTTCTTCCATTTATTTGTTTGCTCACAAAATTTATAAACTCCTCACTGTAAAAGAACAAACAGACATAACTGGAGAACAGGAAAGGAAAAGCATTGAACCACTAAGAATGAAAGTGTTTAAAACCAATTTTGTTGACAGCTGGCTGAAAGAAGGCACCTTTTGCACACACCAAACACAAAGCCGCTTTCTGTTCCCAGGGAATTTCTATGGGGTTTGTGAGAAATTGCAAAAATTGAACACTTTTGGATGATGAAATAATGTAGACTGATGAATCAAACTTGAAAATTGAGTGTTTATATAATGCTTCCCAGCTTTTACCCCATCAAAATTATTTCTGAACTATGCAACTGGAAGTTTTTTACAGAAAGATCAAGGTGTTGGATCAGGACCTGCCCTCCAGGACCAGAATGCCTTCATTCAGACTGGTCCCCCGACCTCATTTTTGGGACTCCCACTGCCCATCCCACAGCACTGTCTCCTGGCTCTGGGTCACATGTTCAGGTGTCTGGAGGGGCCGCTGTCCAGGGGAGGTGGTGACATCTGGGTCCATCCAGCCTCATTGATTGCAGGGAACATCGATGGGGTGGGGAGTATTTTTTAATTCTCTCTGTCAAATTCCCAGCATGGTCATTTCTTCCATTCCTTCTTAAAATAATTGATCTAGTGCATCTTTTACTGCTAGACCGTTAGGGATTCCCCAAGCCATGCTCTGTTTCCCAACATCTCGCTCGCCCGTCTCTTAGCTTTGGGGCCCACCAGCATCCTTGGTCTCCGCCTACTCAGTTGCAAGGACTGCTGGCCTGAGCCACATGCTCCATCCATGCCAGGTTCCGGGGCAGCATAAGGGCTCCCTCTTCTGGCTAGAGACCAGAATAACAGCCCCGGTGGTTGTAGGACTGGGCCCACCATCAACTGCACCCACCTGGGAGCCTGGAGGGAAGAGCTACATAAGAGCCAGCTCTTCCCTCCAGATGCAGTTTCAGTAATGAAGGTCTTTGATAGTGTTGCAGCTCTCTGTGCCTTCTTGAGCCTTTTCTGGAAACTCTGCCTGTCACCTTGCTCCTGCCTCTGCTTTTGGACCCTGCCCTGCTTCCCGGTCTTTGCCTGCTCCACCTCTCACTCCAGTTCCAGGTACCCACTTCTCCTCAGTTTGTCTCTCTGGCTTTCGACTTCTGATTGGCTTTGGCTGCTCTTCACTATTCAGACTGACTTACCTTGCACTTCTGTTACTGGCCTCAACCTCTGGACTGCTTGCCTGTGATTTGGAATGGGCCCTCGTAGAGTACCGGCTGTCTGGGTCCTGATGTCCTGATCTGATGCCCAGCTGGCCACACCCTGGACCGTGGCAATCCAGTGCAGAGCAGGCAGCTCTTTCTTGCCACATTGTTTAGCACAGTGTGAGAGCGTAGGATGTTGGACAGATGGAAGGTGAGTGCTTGCTCTGTCTCTGGTCCTCCCCAGTGCCTGGCTGCCTCGGGAACCAGCTGGAAGCCAAGCTGGACAAGCCCGAGGTGGTGAACTGGATGTGCTACCGCAAGACTGAAGACTACTTCACTATCTGGCTGAATCTGCACATGTTCCTGCCCCTCGGGGTGGACTGCTGGATCGACAACACCAGGTACCCCCCCTACCATTCTGCAGCCACCCACAAGCAGTGCCTGGGGTGCAGCTCCCTCGCAGTCCTCTGGTGGCCCTCCCAGGCTCCTGGAGCCTGGAAGAGCCTTTTGAAAAGGTGCTTAAAGTCCTGACACCAAGGCCCCCTACGGATTTTGCATGGGAACATGTAAAGTCACATTTTAGTTTTGTCCCACCTTTCCATATGGGGCAATGCATGGTGGCTGACCGTGGAATACAGCTCATAAGAAAATCTAAGTTTAAATATAATAGACAAACAAAGCTGCAAACACAGCAAGAGGAATGGACAGCAAGAGCCTCCCATTTTGCAACAGATCCACTTGCACGCCCAAAAGGGAGAGCAGAAAGGGCACCAATGTAAGCTCCCTCAGCAGGAGCTCCACAGCCTGGACGCCAGCGCCAAGACGGCCCTGCCGCTTGTCCTTCCCAAGGCAGCACCACCAAAAGAGGGCCCTGTGTAGGAGAAGGTGCTCTTTCAGGTAGCTGCCTTCCTTATAGTGGCCATAGGAATTGAAATGGAAATCCGGAAACGATGCTTGTGTTTTGCACCTCCTCTGTGTCTGCCGTCTGCCTGCAGAGTTGTGTACAACAGGACCACCCGCAGAACCTCCAATGCCCCAGGAGTGCATATCCGAGTTCCCGGCTTTGGGAAAACCTACTCTGTGGAATACCTGGACAAGAGTAAATTGGCAGGTAAGAGGAAAGGGGATTGCTCCTCCCTGCAGCTTTTTTGGGCCTTTGGGGAGGGCCCGTTGGTGCTGCTCCACAATATTTGGAAGAAGGATTAAAACAATGGCCTTACATGGCACTTCTTACATTGGTTGATTGATTGATTGATTGATTGATTTATATCCTGCCTTTTTCCTACGAAGGGCTCAAGGCAGCTTACATCTCCTCCTCCATCTTATCCCTACAACAACAACCCTGTGAGGTAGGTTGGGCTGAGAGTCTGTGACTGGCCCAAAGTCACCCAGTTGGCTCCATGGCTGAGCGGGGACTCGAACCCAGATCGCCTGAGTCCCAGTCCCATGCTCTTCACCACTGCGCCACACTGGCTCTCAGAAACATGGCCCGTTTCTGTTGGAGATAAAAGAGGTCAGTTTTGTTGGCATGTGTTTCAGGGCCAGACTGACATGGACACTTCGGGGGAGAGGAAATGGGGCTTCCAGATCTTGGGATGGAAGAGGCTGAAGGGCTTATCTCAAGGCCACCTTCTCCAGGGCTTCAAGCAGACCTGAGAACAACCGGCATCTGCAAGTACCAGAAGCTGGCATGGGACAGGTGCCCCAGCACCAGACAAGCCTGGCACAGCCCTCGACCTGTGGCACCATGTCAGGAAAGAAGGGCTAGCCAAGTGGAGAGGCAGGGTGCAGTGACAAGCTTTGCCCACCTCCAGAGTGGGGTCCAGGGTCACTCCAAAGGAAGCAGTTTCTAGTTTGGGTTCAAGAAACCACTCTGTGAATGCTTAGAGGTATTTCCACTGCCAGTTATAGTTTCTAGGATAAACACTGGAGGATAAAGAGTTTTCACCAAAGGATAGCCTGTTCCTTTGAAAGAGAAGGGGGAAGCCAAGCCTCTGGGGTGCCACATTCGCCCACTGCAAGCGTTTTCTGTTCAGGGCAGCTGGCTGGCATAGAGAAAGATTTTCATTCTCTGTAAGCCAGCTTATAATTAAGGAGCACTAGCCCCAAAAAGGCTTTGAGTTGCTTTGAAGGTGCCTCTGTATAGCAGAAGAGTTGGAATCTCACGAGCAGGTGTGTGGGGGACCTTCTGTCTCTTCTCCAAACATGGCTTGCTTGCCTCGGACAGGGAGCCCCACAGCACATGATGGCTGCCCAGATGTGGCAGGGGCAGACTGGGAGAGTGGTCGCAACCTCCCGCTGCCTCCCGCACTGATCTCAGTTGCTTTGTGAGGCTTGGGGGAAATCCAGGAAGTGCGGAAGTACTACAATCCCCCCCCCTCTCTCTCTCTCTCTCTCTAGGTTACATGCACACCCTGGTGCAGCACCTGGTCAATAACGGTTACGTGCGAGACCAGACAGTGCGAGCTGCCCCTTATGATTGGCGGCTTGGGCCCCGTAAGTGCATGCGCAGGGCACCAGGCGGTGGCAGGGGAGAGGAGCTCAGCCCCCCACCTGGAAGTGCTCATCAAGGAGAGGGAGTGGTGGCAGGGGGCCCTGGAGGCATCTGGGGACTTGGTGGCCAAGAGACTGCATCCTTGGGGTGGGGGTATACGTGCAGCTTTAGAAAGAGCTGCAGTTTAAAGAGAAATTCAGTGCTCCTGCCACAGATACCCAAGCACAGTGCTCCTGGGAAGTATCTGACTGCTTGCCTCGTGGGCTTGCTCATGGGGTGTCCAGGCGCAGACACTTCCGAGGCACCTGCCAATTCTCTGCTCTCTCTGACTTTAAGCCAGACACAGGCAGCCTAGCTCAACAGTGAGGAGATGATTCTCCGACCGCTCTCCCAAATACTGGAGTGCCCTCTGCTGGTAGGACCCTCCACCACCCCTGACTACAGTCAGGCTGTCGTGGGAGAAGACACGCAAGCGACTTGGCCCAAGAGATTGAGGATAGTAAAGGGCAACCACTGCATTCTAGTCGGGCATGGAAAGGTGCTGGCGGTGTGGGGAGGCAGGCGCCCTTGGCAGGTGTAGAGCTGTGGGCTGCCAGCACTCAAGTGGCCATGACTTGGGCCAGCCTCTGAGCCAGCATTAAAGGCAGTCCCATGTGGAGCACATTATGGTCATCTGGCCTGGTAGCAGGTGGAGTCACAGGTGGAAGGTACTCCCTCTCAGCTTCTTGGGTTAGCGCCGAGGCCAGGAAAAAGGTTGCAACTTCAGAATGGGTGGAAATTGTCCAGGAACATGGCAGGCCTCCCTCCAGGAGTCGGTTGCCTGCCCCACAGCACCCCCATCTGGTCTGGATCGAGTATCCTGGCTCACTGTGGTCTGAGGGTCCCACAGCCCCCCAGGAAGGGAACGCTCCATGTCATCCCCCCGTGTCATCAGCCCAACCCTCTTGGCAATGCCTTCACTCAGAGGAAGCTGTGTAGCTATTGGAACAAGGCAAAACCTCAGTGTTTGGCAAAGGTTCAACAAACGTAAGCATAAACAAAGGTTTATGGCCTCTCAATTAATTAAGTAATTAATTTTATGCTCTTAACACAAATAAATACAGAAAGAAAGAAAAAGTACACATAAAATAAGGTAAAATAGAACAAATGGGAGTGCCAAAGGATTTTAAACAAATACAACCAATACATTCAAACCCACAAATTTATCTATCTTTCTGTCGTTCAGCACTCTATGGGAGTTCAAAAAGACGAAGTTGTTAATCTGTACACCAACAAGGTTTCCAATCACTTCAAGACCTCTACACTTTTTAAAGCACTCCCTTTCACATCCCATTAACTGTGCTGGATACAGTAGAATTTCCATTTATCATTAAATTCTTCAACCAGTCTTCTATTATTAGTTAATGCTGCCATCATGGCATATTCCACCAGCTGATTTTTCCATTCTGCAGTTGGAGGGGGCTCCACTAATTTCCATTTGGAAGCAATTGTGATTCTTGCTGCAGTTGTCATATATTTAAATACTTCTGACATATTCTTTGAAAAGGTTTCTGGCATTATATTCAAATCATATTCTTAGGACTCATAGGGAACTTAGTTTTAAAGGTTTTTTGTATTTCCACATGTATCAGTTTCCAAAATCTTTTTGTTACTTCACAAGTCATCCACATATGATAAAAAGTCCCACCCACCCTGTTAAATTTCCAGCATTTTCCATTATAATTCTTATCTATTTTTTCAATATCTTTTGGACTCATGTACTACCCATAAAACATCTTGCATCAATTTTCACTTAATGATTGGCTAGCATTAAACGTAATACGCGTATCTTCCATAGAGATTCCCATTAGGAAAGCGATGTTTCTTCTCTAGGATTTGCTTCCATGCATTCTTGTCTGGATGATTTTCAGTATTATGCTGTAATAACAGTTTATAGAATCTTCCCAATAGATGATCATTCTGTTGTATATTCTTCCCTTCATCTTTAAGTTGTTGTCAAGATTTGACTCGTCCTTTTCGATCAGTCATGTCTTGGTACATTACAAAGTCATCATTTTTCCTGAAGTATTTTCCATATGCTTTAACTGGAGACAATAAAGGGGAGATTGGCAGCTAACTTTTTTCCTCATGGAAAAAAATTATTAGGAAAAATTTAATTAGGAAAAAAATTCCTAATTTTTATTAGGCCTTCTCTTAATACATGGTTATTATTGGCTATCAGGGCCTTTTTATCTGACTCTTTAATCCATAGAAGATTGTGCATTCCAGCTTCAAGACCTGCTCTTTCTAACTTCATTTGCCTGTCATTAGCATTTATAATCCTCTCTGCAGTACAGACCAGGCCAGCTGCATAGGAAGGCCCCTCAACTTACTGATGTCTCTAAAGTGGCTGAGGTCCAGGATGTAGTTGGCACTTCTAGGGACATGGCTGACCAGGTTCTTCCCTGCCAATCCTGTTTCCACAGTTGATCAGGAGGAATATTTCCAGAACCTCCGAGACCTGATAGAGGAAATGCATGCAGCCTACCAGAAGCCCGTCTTCCTCATTGGCCACAGTCTGGGCAGCCTCAACATCCTGTACTTCCTTCTGCAGCAGTCCCAGGCCTGGAAAGACCAGTTCATCAAGGGCTTCATTTCCATGGGTGCTCCCTGGGGGGGAGCCGTGAAATCCATGAGGATCCTGGCCTCAGGTGAGCAACTTGCAAGGCTGCGCTCCCCAAGCTCCATGCCAGAGCCTCAGAGCTCTCCAGTGCTCTCACCCGCCATATACCCATGAACTCCAGGTTGCCACTGGCCGCCTCCACCTGTGAGGCAGGCCCAGCCAAGCCCTTTTCGAAAGAGGGGACTCCATGCTCTCCTCCCAGCAGAGCTCCCATGCCTGCTTTCCCCCTGTGGGTGGAAGATGCCAGCACAGGCATCCACGTCTACAGACCCATGGAAAGTCTGTGAGCAGAGCGGGGCAAGATGGCGGAGTGGGAAGCAAGGCTGAAGGGCAACAAAGACCGGGAAGGGCTGGGGATGAATGGATGGCATGGACGTGTGAAGTAGCACCATCTCAGTATTCCTTGTGAGGAAATGATCGATTATGTCTGTCCGTGCCTAGTTCAAAATTGAGATGAAGTTAAGAAAAGAAAATATGAAGAAGATATTAGCTCAGGAGATCTGCTTGGAAGATAAGAATGGTAGTGCGAGGTGGGTGTGGGTGGAAGCCCTTGCAAATGGCGCTGTTGGCATGACGTATTGGCTTGGGTCTCAGGGGACAACCAAGGCATCCCAATTGTGTCCAGCATTAAACTGCGTGAGGAAAAGCGCATGGCCACCACCAGTCCATGGATGTTCCCTACCACGATGGCATGGCCTGAAACACACATCTTCATCTCAACTCCCTCACACAACTATACCTACCAGGACTATGAACGCTACTTTGCTGATGTCAAATATGAGGACGGCTGGTACATGTGGAGCGATATAAAGGATCTGCTGAAAGGGCTGCCCCCGCCAGGAGTGGAGGTGCATTGCCTTTATGGCACTGGACTCCCCACTCCAGAGACCTATATTTATGATGACGGCTTCCCCTATGAGGACCCCTTGGACATTGTGTACGGGGATGGGGATGACACCGTCAACAGGCGTAGCATGGAGCTGTGTGCACAGTGGCAGAGCCAACAGAAGGAGAAGGTGCATGTGCTGGAGCTGCCTGGAATGGACCATCTCAACATGGTCTTTGACAACCGCACTCTCACCCACATCAATGAAATTCTGCTCAGGAGCCTTGAAAATGCAACTGCTGCCGAAGAAGAGGGGGGACTTGAGGGGCGCCTCCCTGTCACAGAAGGCAGGCAGAAGTGAAGGCCCTTCACAGAGGGAATGGAGTGGTGGGGGGGGGCATTGGCATCTTCCTCAACTGTGTTGGGCAAGTGAGAACCCTTATGTTCTGCCCACACCTTCAGTGTTGCATGTGTGTACAGCCACGTGCACCCAGAGGGGCTGCTCCTGCCCTCCCGCTCTTCTTGCAGAAGAAAAGCTCAGGCAGATACCCCAGCCATGAGATATTTTGCTGACACTGTGATGGAACCCTGGGAAAGGTCAGGCTTTGCTACCCTCCTTTCAGCAGTGCCCTTTAGTTGAGCAGGAGACCTGTCCCAGGGTTGCATTTCTTACCTGTAGACCCCTGGCAAGCAGCTGCTTTACTGGAACGGCAAAGTGTTCCTGCACCTACCGTGCCACTCTGGACTGTGCTCAGATGTCTGTGGAGCCCTTGGGTGCCAGTCTTGTGTTGCCCTGCTGCAGTTGTCACAGAATGAGTGCTGTTTGCATCGGGCATGGACAAGCTCTTAGGCTTGGAGGGTGGAGGGCGAGGGACGGAGTCTTCTCCCCAGCTGCAGTGTGATTGCCCCCCTTCCCCAGACATCTAGTCAAGGAATATCTTGGTCTAAGAAGCCAGCAGAAAGCGCTTCTCTCCCCTTCCACCCCCTGCAAAAAAAAGAGAGGATGCCTCTTGTGGTGTCTGCTCATTTCTGACTCAGCTTGTGTGTGCTTTATGGCCCAGGCCAGGCTCTTCTGTTGCTGTTCCCCGACATGTGTGCATCGGATACAATTCTCATGTATGTTTTGCATATGCTCAGAGGTACGCTTCTTTATTATGTATGAAGCATCATACAAGCACTGGAGGAACTGGGGATCCTTGTCTGAGTCAGCTCTGTTTCTTTGCCTGCTGAGGGCCATCTTTTCCCTGGCTGGAACCTGGTGGGATGGACCTCCCTGGGGGCAGATATAGCTCTTGGGCAGGGAGGCAGGAGCCAAGTGGATGTGGAACCCACTGGGTGGGCTGAGTTAGTGATCCATAAGAGGACTCCCATCCCTTTATTCCATGCCTGCTTCATTTGCATGGAGCTGTTGGTAAACAGGGCTATCAAAAGCCTTCTGGAACTCTAAGAAAGCAATGTCTCCCGCAAAAGCCCCATCTACATGTTCCTCGCCACTCTCAAAGAACTCCAGTAAGTTAGTGAGACAAGACTTTGCCTTGCAGAAGCCATGCTAATTTTTTTCCCCTGTGGGACTTGTCCCTCTACGTGCTTACTCAGTCTATCTCTAGTAATGCTTCCAAGATGTCAAGCTAACTGGCCTTTAAGTCCCTGGGTGCCCCTTGGATCCCTTTTTAAAACAGGTGTTACAGGTGCCATTCTCCAACTCTGCTACAAGGGGTAATTTTAGGAACTGGTCAAACATTTTGGTAAGAAAGCCAGCAATTTCATGTTTGAATCCTTTTGTAACTCTAGGATGGATACCATCCGGATGGGGAGCATTGCTCACTTTCAGTTTGTCAGTAAGGTTGAGAATTCCACCTTTTGTCATTACTACCTGTCTTAATTCGGCTCCTTTCTGGAATACATAAGCTCATCAGGGACAGGTATCTGCTGTTCATCCTTTGCTGTAAAGACTGATTCAGCATCTCTGGAGCCTCCTTGACTCCATCTAGGGTTTCTTCAATTCTATTATCATTCAATGGCCCAACTGTTTCCTTAGCAGCTTTCTTTCTTTCAATATATTTAAAGATTTTTTTTTATTATTGTTAGCAACGTGCTGCTCAAATGGTTTCTTTGCTTCTCTGAGTGTCTGCTTGCATATCCCTTGTGGTCCTTTCTGTCTTTTTCATTGGACAAGACTTCCATTTTGGAAAGAAGCCTTCTTCTCCCTAGCAGCTTCCTTGACTCTCTGTGTCGATGGTGCTGGTTCCCTCCTCTTTTGAAGTCAAAGGCAACCGCGTTCCTTCCACCTAACAGTTTATTAAATCTGACAGCCCTGTGGCTGTCACTGTTTCCTATAGGTTCAACAATATTTACATCCCATCCGATGTCTTGGGCAACTCTCCCCACTCCATTTAGTCCAGGATTGCTTCCCCTCTGATTGTTCCCTGATCAATTGAGCCGGGGACAGTATTTGGAACATAGAGACGTTTAACTGCGCCGCCAGAACTGGAAGAGAGATTATCCAGTCGCCGCATTGTTCCCTCACCGCCTTTGCTGGAGTCGCAGATTTCATTTCCCCGCTCGAGATCGCCTGATCATTCTGCACCTGCCCGGGGGGCGGGGGTAGAAGCCGGAAAGGGGCAAAGAGCCCCTGGGAGGGGCGCCGCGCAGGGGCAGAGCCAGAGCCAGAGCCAGAGCCGGGCGGACCTCGCTCCCTCGCCAGGCGCTCTGGGCGACGTGCCGGGCGCCGTGCGCGCATCCGCCCTGCGTGACCAGCGAAGGACAAGGGGCCGCGGCGGAAGGAGGGCGCACCGGGACTGCTCTGCCCGCCAGTTCCCACAGCGGGATCGTCGCGGAGGTCGGTAGGAATCCGCGGCCCCGTTACAGGCGCGGCGCCCCTTCCTCGCCCGCGGCGTCCTCCAGTGGCTGCGGCCGCGGCCGCGGCGCCGGACCGAGCGGCCACGACAGAGGCAGGGCCTCTCCGGGCCGGGGGCGCGCCCGGCTGCCCCCCGCGCCGGCCCCCCGCAGACGCCCCGCAGGCTCGGCGCGAGGGGCCAGCGAGGCCGCGCCCGGTCCATCGCCGCCGTGCGGGGGCGGGGGGCGGGGGGCTTGGCGCTTCGCGGCCGGGAGCGCTTTCGCGAGCCTCCGCTGGGCATGCGCGGGGCGCGGAGCCCTCCCGGCCGAGGCGCGGCCGCCGCGCAGGTGAGCGGCGGCGGCGAGGGGTCCGCGGCGGGGGCGCCGCCCCACTCCCCCGGCGGGCAGGGAGGCGCGCATCCCGCGGAGGGCACCGCGGGATCCCGCGCGCCGCGCCGAGGCTCTCCGGAGGGACGCGCCGGGTCGCTCGGCCGAGGGCAGGCGACGCGACGGCCCGGCCAGGCCAGGCCCCCCACGGAGGGAACGGCCTGGGGGCTCCGGGGGCGCGCCCCTTCCTCGCTCCCCGCCGGCCCCCACGCCAGCCCGCGAGGTGAGGCCGGGAGGCTGCGGGTTCCTTGGCGCGGTCGCGGCGGCCCGGAGAAGCGGCCTCAGCGTGCCGAGGGGCGTCCGGCTCCCGCCTGCCCAGGCGCTCGCATCCTCGGGAAGCTTGGACTGGGCGCCGTTGGGAGGCGGGCGGTTTCCGGGGAGGCCGCGGCCCGCCGGGGTGCGAGTGTCCAGACAGGAGCGTCGGATGGCGGCTTAGCACCAGCCCGAAGCGCGGAGCTCCCGAGAGGCGCGGGCGCGTCCCAAGAATTCTTGCGGCCCCGCGCTACCGGGCGGCGGGTTGCCTCGGTGCCCAGGAGCGCTTCGGGCCGACCCTTGCCGATGGTGGCCCATCTGGAGGGGTGCCCCGTGACGCTGGATTGCTGGACTCGAGGGCAAACTTTGCGGAGCCGTCCAGAAATCTGGCCTTGCATAGCGCCAGGCGCCAGGGGCTCCGGGGTTATCACCCCATCTCGCACCAAGTCCTCTGGCTGCTGTTTCACTTCCCTGGGCAATTTAGGGCTAGTGTTGACTTTTAAAGACTTAAATCTGGGCCCCCATGCAGGCGCCAGGCACCTCCTTTCTCTTCCCATCTCTAGTTGCATTGGGCAGAATGCCGCTTCAACATTTTACCATTCTCCCTGGCCGCTGATGTATTTTATTGTGACTGTGTTTTTAGGCTTGGATATGATGCTTTACATTGTTCTAACTTTGCTTGATTTATATAATTTGTAGAAGTATTGCCCTGCTAGTCCATTGCAGCAAAACCAAGAAAGACTCTTGGGGCACCTTAAAGATTAAGAGATTTTTTCTGCCTAGATTCTCAGATGCATGGAGTCTTAGGTAAAAAAAGTAGAGGTTTTCCCATGACATTAAATCCAGTCATGGCTGACTCTTGGGGTGGTGCTTATCTCTGTTTCCTAGAGGAGGGAGCCAGTGTTTGTCGGCAGGCAGTTTCTGTGGTCATGTGGCCAGCATGAGGTGCATGGAACGCTGTTACCTTCCCACCAAAGTGGTACCTTTTTATCTACTTGCATTTGTTTGCTTTTCGAACGGCAAGGTTGGCAAGAGCTGGGACAGAGCAACAGGAGCTCACCCCGTTGTGTGGATTCGAACTGTTGACCTTTCGATCAAGCAGCTCAGCAGGTTAAACCACTGAGCCACCTGCAGCCCCTCATGGAACCTTAACCACAGGCAAATATTGATTGATTTGTACTATCTTCATAGTTCTATGCTTATTAAAATAAGCACTTTGCATATAAATGCTAAAGAGATCAGTTTTTCACAAAATAAATAGGCAGAATAGTGGCTGCACACTTTGCCATACATCTCAGCTCTTGCAAGGACCAGAGACACATGCTCTGTTGTAAAAAATGAAACTTGGGAATTGGCATTAGGGTGCATGCCGCCTGCATGATTGGAATCATGGGTGTTGCCCTGCCTTACCTTTGACATTGGGTTGAGGTTTCCGAAATGTCTTTGAGGGTTGCCTTTCCCATCTGGGAAACTATTCCACCTGAATCCACTCTGCTGCAACGGAGATATGGGGTCCAAAAGACACCCCCCCACCCCACCCTGCTCATCATAAGGCCCCTTTTCATTTAGAGGAGAGAGGGAGACTTGCTGTGTTGAATCTTGCCTTTTTGCCTGGCTCAAAGGAAAACTGCTTCTGCCTCTTTCTCTGAGCCTCTTCCATTCTTTAAGGCAGCTGTCAGTGTCGCTTCACAGGGGAGCTGGGCACCTTGTGCCTTCACCCTTCCTGTCTCACACTTTTGTGTCTTCTGATAGGGGCTTTTTAGAGCCCTCTGAAGCATCTTGCCTGAAACTGGTCTCTGCATCTGGCACTGGCACTCAGGAGTTTCTGCTGTTCTCCCCACTTCTCTCCTCCTGCTGCTGCCCATTATGATGACACGGGCCTTGCCTCTCTGGCACAGACCAAAAGCCCCTCAGTTTCCAGCAGCAGTGGCCAGCAAGGCCCTTTGGGAGACCCAGAACCACATGGAGCATGAAGGAGGCCTGGATTGTCCTGCCTGCTTGCCCAGGGAGGATCCGAGGTTGGCTGCTCCTGTATGGGTGCTGGCTGTGGATGAGCCAGCCCAGTGCTGCCACTAGGAATTTCTCCTCCCAAAGGTGCCTCTGATCTGCCTGGATCTGATCTGGAGCCAGCGGGGTGTGGAGGGAGTGCTTTCACCCCTTCTTCTCCCCTGACATCTGAGATAGGTGTATCATTCACTTTTACCATTTTCTGTGAGCTGTGATGGAAAGCATTTATTTTCAAAAGTAGGCACCTAAAACTATCTAAAATGAACCTATTGCCTCTCTATTTGTGGACTCCATCTGGGTGCCATAGCTAATGTTTCTGTTATGTTGATAATGTAATGTTGTTTCGGAAGATCTTACTTGCCTTTGGAAAGCCCCTGAAGCCACACCAGGCTGTGCCATCGGACTGTGTAAACCAACAAGTGGGCGTGTGCAGAAAGTCTGGCTTCACTTGCAGTCAATTTGGAAGGCAAGCATCGCGGGGGCACAAGGCCTCCCGTGCCGCCCAGGGCAGCATCTCCCATTTGGAAAGAGGGCAGCAGTGGGAGATGTGTCTCTGCTAGGGCTCTGCAGCTCCCAGCCACAGTGGGCATGCAGGGCAAGGATGAACAGAGAGCCTGATCTTGCGCAGGCTGCTTTGTGCAGGGAGTACAGTCGCTGGGGAGGCTAAGGGCACTGGCTGTTGCCAGCACTGGCAGGCTTCTGTTCTCAGGAGTTCAGAGTAGTTCTGTCCTTTTCCGTGAGATGGGCTTGTGCCAACAGTTGGTGACTGGTCCAGAGTCACCAGGTGTGGTCCTTGGACTCCCCCAGCCGGGGTCTGAGGTTGCGGCCGCACAGCATTGAGCCATTCAGTGCAGGGGGAAGGCCACCTGTCCCTTTCGGAGAAGAACTGCTTCCACCCTGTCCTGTACTTTCTAGGGGTGGGGGAGGCCATGGCGATGCTTCTGCAATTTCCCTCCCAGCCGGTTGTCTGAGGGACACTTTCTCATTTGTGCCTGCAGAGTCAAGAAGTCCTGCAGCAGCCTGGATGGAGCCTGTCTGAGGGGTGCTCCAGAGCAAGATGGTGCTGGACTCAGGGCCACAGTCTTATCAGCGGCCTCCGTGTCCTGGGGTCTTTGGTGCAGAGCTGCAACAGAGGGGAGGTGGGAAGGCAGAGGGCTTCCCTCCATATGACAGGCTGCAGCTTTGCCCCTTCCTGTCTCCTCCTCCCCCCCTGGACTCGGACTCGGCCAGCCCTGGGGCAAGGGCCCAGCCCTCCTCCAAGCCCAAGGACGCTGGAAGCTTGGGGACCAGGACACCCTTGGGCCTCTGCCCTGCCTTCCAGAGGCCCTGCAACTGGATGCGGCGAAGTGAGAGCATCTGCTCCGTGAATCGGAGGGACCGGGACAGGGGCCAGCTCCGCACTGCTGCCTCCCTGCCTCATCTTGCCAAAGCCATGGGGGAGCAGGAGGTCAGAAACAGGACAAAAAGCCCTTGCTTACTGGTGGCCCTGAGGCCAGTGAATATCGAGGAGGAAAAAGTCCGGTTCTTCCAGTCCTCATATACCTACAACCCACAGTTTGAATATGGGGAGACTGTACCTGAAACTGTGTTGGAAAAATACAAGGAGGCCTCAGGCCAGTTCATTGTGCAGGTAACATTCCCTGCTCACCTGTCTGTTTTGTGTGCTCTGCCTGGGAACAGGGGCTTCCCTCTGCCGCTGCTTTCCCGCTCACTGTAGTGAAGGGGGACTCTGTGTCTGCTGCCTGCCAAGGGGCGGAAAAATGCAACCAGAGCAGGAAGTTGCAGGTGGTCTGGCAAGTGCGGGATGGAGTTCTTGCTTCTAGTGCACACTGGGATTTGCATTTGGCATAACAGTTCATATATTGGCTACTTGGGACATGTGTTCAATACACTTGTCTACAGATTGCCTTCCTGGGCTCAGATGCACACCCTCATCACCTCGGTTCTGCCTCTCCGTGGCCCCGCTAGCAGTTGCCAGACTGTCTCCAGGGTTCTTGTGCATGCGGAGTGCGAGACAGCACAATGTTCCCACTGCTTCATGTGCTGGGAAGAGCCATGAAATGGGAACGGATGGGCACTGAGGTGGGGTCTGCCATGTGTGTGTTGCAGGCTGTTGGGATAATTAAGGCTGTCCTGGATAAATACGGCACCTACGAGAGCTTTGAGGCCTCCAACGGTGGGAAGCTGCTCAGCAAGTGCCAGATCTGGTCTATCATCCGGAAGTACATGCAGAAGGAAGGCTGCTCTGGAGAGGTGAGCATGGAGCTGGCCGCTGAGCTATCCCAGAAGTGTACACAAAAGCCCTTGCAATGTTTTGAGATGGTGAAGCTGGAAGTCAGAGAGCAGCACTTGCTTAGGCTTCATTCCTTATGGGAGGAGGCATGCTGCGGTTGGGCAGGCTAAGGGAATCGGAGTCCAGCTTGGGGTGGGGCAGGTCTCGTCCCTTCTCGTTCTGCCAGCATTTCTGCCATGGGCCGGCAGCAGAAATCCCCATGGAAAGGCAGGTGTGGGGCTGCTCTGCTCCCTGGCGCTGTGTGGACCTGCAGGGACCGTCCACGACAGGGCAAGTCAATGGCAAAGGAGCACACGCAGCCTGCCCTTGCCTGAGCAGCAGTGGCACAAGCCTCTCCTTAAATGAGTTCAGTACTGGAGGTTCAACATCGATACGTTCTTGGCTGGGAGCCTTTCTGGGTAGACTGTGTCCCAGATTTTGATGCTGTGTCCTGAAAAGGTTCATTGCCCATCTCGAGTTGAAATGGGGGCAAAGAGCAGTGCCCAAGGCCTGTACGGGAAGACCCTCCCAAGAGTGTGATGTGGTTTAGATGGGTAGTGTCAGTGGAGCCCTTTGCTCTGTCTTTGCCAGGTGGTGGTTCGACTCTCCGAGGATCTGCTTTCCCAAGCGGTGATGATGGTGGAAAACAGCCGCCCAACTCTAGCCATCAACCTGTCTGGAGCTCGTCAGAACTGGCTGGAGGGCATGTTGCGCCATGAAATAGGTCAGGGGCACCCCCTGGCAGACAACTTTGGCACCAAGCTGTCTCCCATAAAATGAGCATGCATCGGGGGTGGGCTGAGGGCTGGAGAATGAAAGATCTGCTCAATTGTGCTGAGTCACCCAACTGCAGAGTGCACACTGAACTGCAACTCTGCGCATGCTCATAGATCTTGGCTGTAGAAAGTCCCAGGAGCCAAGGAATGGCCTGAGCAGTTTGACTGATACGCAGAACAAAGAGCTTCAGCTGCTTTTCCTTAGCCCATTGCCAGCTCTGTTCCCCTGGCTGGGGGCACAAGGATGCTCTGGGCTGCCGAGTCTGTCCTGCAGGAAGCTGCCTTATTTCCCTGACACTGCCCCTTAGGATAAGGTCTTTCAGGGAACAGAGAGACCTATGTGGGTGCAGCAGTCTCTGTCTCTGCTGGAAATGTCTCAGCTCTGCTCTCCAGACTGTGAGGCGTCCTCTGGGTGAGACAAAGGTCCCTGTAAGAGGGGCTGTTTGCCTCTGCAGGAGGCGGGCCTAGTATGGGGCGGGGCGGGGCGGGGGCTCTTCCTGTCCCTTCTGCGCCACGGAGGTGGGTCCGGAAGCACAGAGGCTGGCATGGGGGACTGAACGCTGTGACCACCGTGCAGTCTCTGCCTTGCCTCGGCGGCCAAGGGCAATGCGACATCTTCCCTTGGAGCAGTGCTGTCAGGCTGCCACCGCAAGAGAGGGACACTTTCAGAACATGCTGATTGGATCCACACAGCAGGGCCATAGGCTTTATCCAGTTTAATGACCACTTGAATAGGAGAGTTGATCTTTGATTCTTTTCACGCCTTCAGGTGTTTTTTTTTATTCATTTTTAAGGCTAATCCAATATATTCTTGGATTAGCCTTAAAGCCTCCCACAAAATCATGCAACTTTTACTTTTTGTACGTAAAATCCAGTCGAGAAAAGGACATGTTGGATCAGAGCATCTTCTCTTTCCCAGGCACCCACTATATCCGTGGGGTCAATGATGCCCGCCAGCCCTGGCACAGCATGGAGGGCCGCAGACAGTATGGCCTAAAGCCTGCAAACCCCACAGAGGAAGGCCTGGCGAGTCTGCACAGTGTCCTCTTCCGCAAGCAGCCCTTCCTGTGGAGGGCGGCGCTTCTCTATTACACCGTCTACCAGGCCAGCCGCATGTCCTTCTGCGACCTCTTCCACGACCTGGCGCGCTACGTTCACGACGCAGGCGTGCGGTGGGAGTACTGTGTCCGAGCCAAACGGGGCCAGGCAGATACTTCATGGCCAGGTATCAGGGGCCTTTGGTGGGTGCTGTCCAAGCTACAGTGAAGGTAGACTGGGGAGCATCTGAGAGACACGGGAACGGGTGTGCTGGCACTTTCTTTTTCCTGGGGGATGTTTCAGCTTTCTAGCCCTCATGACTCAGAAGCTGACCATTTGAAAGTGGCTTCCCAAAGCCCCTTCATTCTTTAGGAGCTGGATGCCATGACGCCTTTTGTCCCTCCGTACAACAGGGGAGGCCTGGGGGCTCACTGAGGCCACATGCCTACTGTGCAGTGGAGTGCCTTTTTGGCTTCAGGGCTTGTATCCACTCTCTGGGTTAGGAAGCTGCAAGAACCCTGATTATCATAGGTGGGGTCCTTTGGGGCAGTTGTAATGCATGAGGGGTTAGCCCTCCCCTCCATCAGGGACCACCCTGAACCCCCATCTCCTCGCCCACATATCCAAGGCTGCTTTCCCTGCCTCATAGAAGCGGCTGGAATGTTTCCATGTCAGTTGTGGGCAGTGGGATGATGTTCTGAGCACAGAGCCCCAGCTCCGAAACGAGCGCTGCTTCCTGACATCAGCGGTGGGACTCCAGAAGAACCTGAGGCTGCCTCGGGGCCATGGGATCACTCTGCCTGCATTCCGTTTGTATCAGACATGTCTGTTTCTCTTCCCTTTCAGGGTGTTTCAGTAAAGATCAAGTGTACCTGGAAGGAATTCTCCGGATCCTGAGACATCGGCAAACCATTGACTTCCAGATGCTGGTTGCACTGGGGAAGGTAACACTTCACTTCCACCTGGGACAGACTCTTCTGTCTGTTGGCACATGTGGTCTTCCAGCAGCCTGTGGCTTTTGCGGCTGCTTTTGCTTTGATCCTGGTACGGCAACTAAGCTGAGGCCAGGTGAATGGGACCCAGAAACTATTTTGGGTTTATGCCTCTTTTCTGGAGAGGAGGAGCTGTGAGAAGAAAATGGTGAGCCATTTATGCCCCTCGGAGGAAAGGTGGGGCACACATCTAAGAAATTAAGGAACTTCCCCCAGTGGCCCTGTAAAAGCGCCTGCCTTGTGCTTCGTGCCTCAGGGCAACCTCACAAGGCAGGTGCCATGTCGCTCCTTTTCCATGGCAAAGAGCCAGTCTGGGAGCTAAAGTGGGGGCAAAAGGCCTGTGGGTGGGGTGGGACAGTTAAGCTCCCCTTCCCCACCTGCTTTTATCCAGATAACAAGCAGATGGTAAGGTCCTGGTGACTAATTTCCCACTCTGCGCCCAGCTTGTGCCTTGTGTTGGTCTGAGTCCAGGGAAGGCCTCTCATGTGGACTGGTGCTCGAGTCCAGCGTTGCAAGCAAGCAAGCAAAAGCCTGTTCAAGAGGTGGTAACTAAATGTGCAGCTCCTCTTTTTATCAGGTCTCCTATGAAGATGTGGACCACCTTAAGAAACACGGGATGCTTGAAAAGGCCCGAATCCCACACTTCATGCAGGACCTGGGACGGTACATGCAGCAGCTTGATCACATTGTCACCACCAACTGTCTCAGTGATGAGGAACTGCAGCAGCTGCTGCCTGCCTGAGCAAGCCAGGGGCCCGGGGGAGGGGCAGGGGCTCCTCTGGCCTTCGTGGACTGCAGAGCCATGCATCCCAAGGGAAGGTTGTCCAGCCAGCCTCCTGAAACACTGGGGTGGCACGTGGCTTCCTATTTGTTATTCATTGGCGACTCTGGTGGGGACGACGGGGCCCAGAGCGAGATCCCCGTAGCTTCTTGTCGAAGACTTCCATTCGGGTCGTCTATTCTTGAGCCAGTTGCTAAGAGATGTGTGGAATGTGGAGTGTTTAGGGTATGTTTTGTTTTAACCGTGGTAGCCCCATCACCAAAGGTAAGGGGTGCTGACCATGTATTTGCGGACTCCATACTGGGTGGCCAGTTCAACCGGCTGAGAATTCCTGCATGGCCTGAAATGGCAGAGAATAAGAAGTGGTGCTTCAGTTCCAGGTTTTGGCAGTCCTGGACTAAAAGTTGCTCCACTTATAGAAAACAAGAAGACATTTCCAAGTGCCCCGTAACCGTAATTCAGCCAGGCTCCTAAAGCGAAGGAGAACCTGGCTCATTCTGTTTGAGAGAGGACTGCCTAGGCACTGAAAGTGTGCTGGGGCTCTGGCTTCCCAGCACTCAACAGGAACAAGAACAGCCGCCTCTTGCTGAATTCGGTTGCTCAGATGAAAGGCAGCTTGAGGGGAAGGTTGGAAGTGGCTTTTAGCATGACAGGCTGAGAGTTCAGTTCTGGTCCTGAAAACAAATTGTGGGGTGAAGTATGTACATCTTAATTCTGTGTTGTGCCCTTCTTCCCATTTTGCATTGGGGATCTTGGGGTTCTGGTGAAAGCTAAGTGGGTACTTTGGGAATTCTTTTAAGCACTGCAATCCTTACTACAGAGCCCAACCACTGTCCCCAGTTAGAAGCAGGAGACCCCCGTCCTTTGAAGAACTGACGTTTCTGATTCACATTGGCTGTTGTTTGCGGTCTGCATGTGCAGCATGACAAGAATGCACTGTGTGAGCGTAGGCTGTGCAGTTACAGCTAAGCTGGTCTGTGCCCAAAGTCCTTGGAGCTGGTACTCAGAGATCAGTAGGCAAGCAGCAGGGGACAAAGGATGGGAGCTGCTATTGCCCAGGTGTAGAAGAGAACATCACTGACCTAAGGCATGAGCCTGGAGTGAAGCTTAGCATTTCTCCAGCAGGAAAGAAAGATGCAGGGAGAGCAACCCTTAGCAGGTGCAACCCAGAAATGGTGAGACAGAAACTGTTGCTCTTGAAGCAAGTAAGGAGCAGTCAGCTGCTGGAGTCAGTCAGTCAGTCTTTTTTCTCAGCCTACCCCTGCTTGTCATTAGGATTATGGGAAAAATGGAACCTCTTTCCTTAGCTCAGCTGCTGTGTTGGGGAAGGGAAAATATGTGGCTTGCTGCTTAGACAGCTGCCAGTATCAAAATAGTTTCTTCACCTGCTGCAGTAGAACAGGGGTGAGGAAAAAGAGCTTCCCATGTCCTGGATTTCAACTCCCAATATTCTTGACCCTTGGCCTTTCTGGCACAGCTTCTGGGAACCAAGGCTGACCTGGAGATCCACCTCCCACCTTCCCCTCCTCCATCTCTTGGCCAGGCAGTGTGGCCACCCCACTGGATGTGATGCCAACTTATCTTTGAGAGTGGCAGCAATGTCCCATTTGCACTTCTTTGGTGTAAAAAAAGGATTTTGAGCCCTTCAATAAAGACTTCTCCTCTGCTTTTGTTGTGTGTATGGGGAGCAGGGAGGCTGGCAGGAATTTTATGCACAGCTTAGATCCCTGCTTAGGGATCCTTGGCAGACTTCCCTTATCTGGCTGCCCCTGCAGTGCCTTCCAGCTGTAGGCTAAAAAGGCAGCCTTACTGGCTTGCATCAGTACAAACTGGGGACTTCATGTGCCATTCTGAAAAACAGCCTGAAATGTGCTGCCTTTGCACAGGTTTGGAAGCATGAACCTGCAGATTTACAGCTGCTCCTAAACTAAAGCCACCCTTCTGTGCTGTAATCTGGATGACAAATTCTGTGCAGACTGAAACCAATCCAGAAATTATATTCTTGTCAGAAATCAGATGAGAGGCAGTTGCGTCTCTGGTGCACACAGGTGAAATTAGATTTTACTCTAATTTGTTAAACCTTCAAAATGGCAGGGTTTTTTTTTTTTCATTCAAAGCCGAGAATGATGCTTTGCCAGTGAGACATGCAGCTGAACTAGGTGCATCCAATTTTTATTTATGAAAGATTCATGTTGATTTACAGCCCTCCAATTTCATGACAAGCATGTTCTCTTCCAAACCAAACAGTTCTTAAATTCATATTCATGTTTACTTCCAGAGAGAGAAGTGATGCATTTAAGCCAGCTTGAAATAGTGGTGAATATTGCCTCTATTTGGGATATTTTGCTTAGTCACATGTACATGCACCTTCCACATTTTATAAAGAAGCAGAGCTAAACTTCCACATACTCTGCCCTGTCAAGACCGTCCAGCCAAGCACTGGTTTACCACTTCCAACAAGTGGGTGTTCTCCAAGGCAGCTGCCACTCTCTCTTTGTCAGCGAGTTGCTTGTTGACTGCAGAAGAGAATCCCAAGAAAGTTTAGAGGAGACACCCATGTGGCAGGAAGTATGAGTCCAATGTCCACCCTCCCATTCAAGGGATATTTAAAACTCTTCTAGCATAGAGGCATTTTTTTGGAAACCTCCAGGACTGCATCATTCCCATCCTAGGCAACTTCTTTTATTGCAAATACACTGAAAAAGTGGCTAGCAGCACTAAAGGCCCTGCCCCATCTGCCTTCATGCTATATACATAGTCTGAAAGAACAAGAAGCAACTGCTCCAGTTTGCAGAAAGCGCTTTGCCTGAAAGCAATGCTCCTGCCCCACACATACAAGTATGTAACACCATGAATCCTGGTGGCTGCTGTGCTCCATGCTGGTTCTGTCTCCAAAACACCAGAATGACCCCTTAGAGAAAACACTGACTATGCCCTCTGTGCAGTGGCAGTACTTGTGTTCATGACACTTCCAGGTTGCTTTAATGGCAGCTATGAGCAGACGAATGGAAGACTCAAGTTTGCGCAATTTCATTTAGCAGGTATATTAGCAAGTGGCTAATCATAGAAAAAACATGCTACTTCACATGGAAAATGGCTTATTTTCTCCATTGGAAATCCCCAAACCAAAGGTCTAGTAGCAAGCAGCAGTCTCATATACCAAAACCTTAGTATTTTGTCTTGAACGACACTTTCCACCTATTTAGCTAGAAAAAGATTAAGCTAATCAGCCTGTAATTTTCTGAATCTCTTTTGAAAAATCAGTGTTACACTGGCTGTTTTTCAGTCCTTTGGTACAGATGTTGATTTTTACTTAGTTGAAGCTGAGGATGAAGGTACCTGGGTTCAAATTCCCATTAACTAAGTAACTGGGTGGACTTTGGGCCAGTCTGCCTCTTACACTGTCCTTCCTCACAAGCTTGTATGGAGGATAATCTGGGTTTTATCAACCCCCTGCATGCTGTCCTTAACTACTTAAAGGAAAGGCTAGATAAAAACATCATAATTAGATTTGCATCGTGAAATAAGCTGGCAGGTCTCATCACACACCAGCAAAGAAAAACCCTCAAAACATGAATCTGTCCTCTGGACATTTGTGCTGCTATTGCTCCAGCATCCTCAGAAGGTGAGTGACTCCCTCTAGCCTTTTTTCAGCATCAAAGTTACAAAAGAGGCCTTCTGGTGTGGTTTGCCAAAAGCTCTGAAAGACATTCAAAACCCGCTGTTTTTGCCTATATTCAGTGGCTGATTGAGGAAGATGATTAGAGCTGGAAGACTTCTTTCAGCCCATTTCAGCCCTGCTCACATTTCCAGGAATGAAAAGCAACACATAACTATATGGAATTTATAGTCGGGTGTATTGCATGGAGAACTAAAGTTTACCTGCATGCTCTGAGGCATGAGTCCCAGCTGTTATGTGGACATCCACCTGGAAGGGAGAGAAGATGACCAACTCATATGGGTAACCAAATAATCTCACCCCTCTGGAGTCAGAACAATCAGAGTAATAGTTTTTCTTTTTGGTAGGCGTGTCATGAGTGGAGCCGGCGGTCAGACTAGATGGCCCGGGAGACCCCTTCTGGCTCTCTCTGTTTCTATTCATAAATTGCATTCTCTCAGTTTGACATTCCAGAAGACTGATTCTCACCCTGCAATCACATGTTCTCACATTGCTCAAAGAAAACAAGGCATTCCCCTTTGTTCAATATGCTTGGACTACGTATGTGCAAATACAAACATGCATTACTGTGACATCACTGTTGCAGTTCCTTCTTTGCTGATGGGATAAACTGTGTGCCGTGGCATATTTGAATTTTGCATCTGGTCCTAAAGATTGGCAGGCAATTAATACGCAGATGGTGGGGACTGCGTTGTACCCACATTCCCAACTTAGGAGCCCCAAAGAACAGCTGGAAGCAGTGATTGCTAGAGGAAAGCGCCAACTCCCCTCCTGCCCAATGATTATAATAGCACAGGTGTTACAATAGCTTGATTTGCTAATTTTTCTGGTCCTATTGGTGAGCGAGTACACAATTATAATATTAAAAATCCAACTTAAAAGGAGAAAACAGGACCAGGGGGTGAGCAGCAGCTTTGCTTTGAGGACGTGAGAAGGGGTAGCCAGGCTCTTTGCTTGCAGCCTTCTCCTAGGTAACTTGACCCTTCTGGCATGTGTGTTTGCTTTAATTTCTAGCCATCTCCCCTTCATCTCCTCCTATCAAATTTTGAGCAGTTTGCAATGTTTAAAATGTTGAGCCAACATTTTAAGTCTTGCTTGCTTCAGGTTTCAGTCCTGGTGGACTTACCTCTGAGAAGACATGACATTTCATTTCTATACTGCTCAATAGCCAAGTTTATTATGCATCTTACTCCATGGCTAGTCCTAGGCTGCTCCTGTGTGCCCCACTTCCATCCTTGCCATGGGGGTGGGCATTGCAGGATTACTGTACAGCCAATAAGCAAGCAAGTTTGCTTGATTCCTCCTGTACTTTGATCATCTGCACTTACTTTAAACCTTTCTGGGAGAGATCTGATCAGCTTCACTTTGATTGACAGGCCAATTAGTGTTGCCATGCTGCAGTGAGGAATTGTGGGAGTGAACTCCACCGACACAGTACTTTCAGCATCATTCACCTGTGAAGCACATCCCCACCACCAAAGAAACATTTATTAAAGAGCATCCAGCATTTAGAGATTTAGCCAGGTCTAATATAGTACTAAGTGGAGAAAGATGTAACAGATCTGTTCATTTTTATCTTACAAACTCTAGACTTGAATAGGGATTTCCTAAAACTAGCTGACTCCTCACTTTGAAGGCAACCCTCTGTAGTTCAAGAGTATCAGCTTTGGCAGTTCAGATCTGAGCAAAGAGCCATCAGGTGAAGTATAATGTTGCCAGTCACATTGGGTTGGGGAAAGGAGAAGAGAAGGGCACATAACACCCATCACAGGGCATAATGGCAGAAGTTTTGTGAGTCAGCTTTTTTCCATGAAGGCCTGTGGATCTATAGGAAAAGTCAACAGCCTTGGAAGGCACAATGTTATGTGCATCCAGAGCCAACAGTCAAGGGAGTTTGCAGCCCTGCAAATCTCTTCTCTCTCTACAGAAAAGGAATGGCCAGGGACAGATTGCAGAGTAAGCAGACAGTATGGACAGGAAGACAGCACTGAGGCCTATGTGCAATTAGACCACAGATTCCCCCTATCACCAAAACAGTCTGTTTTCTCTGAAGCAGCTTTTCCCCCAAAGGCATTGCTGCTTTCTGCCAACTTTGCCAATTGGCATGCCAGTTCTCCACTTTGGGCTGCTGGCAGAAGAAAGCAGCACATTCTATTCCAGAGATTAACTTGCTTACCTTGACACGAACTTGTTCCACAACGTTAAGTTCTTCCAAAGTTAAGGGATGTTCAGGGTCATTGATTGACCGAATGAGATGTAGGAAGTCAAGGAAAGCAGCAAAGCAGTAGGTCTTGGGGGCGGGAGGGCATCCTTCATTTACCAAGGAGGTCCTTATACCGATCTTTCCCAACTTGTTGGCCCCCAGATGTTTTTGGACTTCAACTCCCATCAGCTACAACCAGCATGGGCAGTGGTCAGGAATGATGGGAGTTGCAGCCTCGAATATTTGGAGGGCCTACCAGAGCAAGAAAGGCTGTCCTATGTGAAAAACGAACTGGCCGAACTGCCCCAAAAGTAATAAAATTAGCAAATAGGCCAGTCTTTGGAGAGAAGCCAAAGGCATCACCTTGAGTAAGCCTCTCTTCCCACTGCTGAACATAGGTCACTCTTCCTTTATCAGAGAACCCGCAGTCCAGCGAGAGATGGCAAGCGGGCTGTCTGAGGTTTTCACTAAAGAGCCCACTGGTTCCCGTTTTGTGGCTTTAATGCAAGTTTCCACTTTGTAAATGCATGCATTCTGCATGAACTTTAAAGACCATGCGAACACGTCGGTGTTTTAGGCTGTTAATGATCAAAGCCTAATCAATAATATACGCCGCCGGCCGGATATCAAAAACCTCGCGGTCGTCGAAGGCGTCGGGCAGCTCGTCGTCCTCCTCGCGCGCCGTGACGGGCCGCTCGCCCTGGCGCCGGTACACGAGCGGGTTCGCGTTCTCCAGCGCGGCGGCGGCGGCGGCGGCCGGGCCCACCATGGCGGCGGCGGCGGCGACGCGCTCCGCAGGCCCGTGCGGCCCCGGCCGGCCACTCCTCGGGCGCAGGGAGCTACGGACGAACGCGCAGGTGCACCGCGCCCGGAAGCGGAAGTGGGCGTGGAGCGCGAGCGACTTCCGTCGCGGGCCTGTGCGGAGGCGGTGCGGTGGTGGCAGCCCTAAAGCCAGAAGGAAGCGCTGCTGACTTTGATATATTCCGCGACAAGTTACAAGGGAGCGGGTTTGGTAGCCTGCTTGGTCGTTAAAACAAACGGAGCGAAGAAGAAAAGGGACGTGGCGGGTGGAGTCTTGGCTGGTCACCCAGCGAGGAGGAGAGGCAGATTGTCACTCTGGGGTAGATGAGCGATGTTACAGGACAGCAGATGTAGCAACGGGCACTTGAATTTCCTCGCTAGCTGCTGGGATATAAACCCTGCCAAATGTGGCCCCTCCATGAAATTCGTGACTTGGCTTGCCCTGATAACGCTTTTCTAGAGAAAGTGGGGGCGGGGGGGGGACTAGAGGTTTGGCCTGCTCTGACATTCTCTACCTTACTGACAAACTGAAAGTTAGTAAATCACTAGGCCTTGATGGTGTCAATGCCAGAGATCTTCATGCAAATAAGAAGTGGATGCCCTCCTTACAAAAAATATGTCCTTAATATCAGCTTTTGTATAAATTATACAGCTTTTGTATAGCCAATTTATTTGTTTAGGATTAGTAGGTTGTAATGTTTGTAAACCACCCAGAGAACCCTCTGGGCTACTAGGGTGATATATAAATGCAAATAATAAATAAATAATAAATTTTGTACCAGAGGAATGAGAATGGCCAAGGGAATACCAGTTTTTGAAAAGGGACCCAGGGCTGGGGTCCAGGAAACTACAAGTGAGTTAGTTTAACATCTGCTTCATTAAAATTGGTTGAAGCTATATGCTTATATTTATAAGCATAGACAAGCCCTACTGAAAAACAGCATTCAGTAAAAGTAAATCATGCCTCATTGGCATTTAAAGTTCTTTGAGATTGTCAGTAAACATATGGACTTGTGTATCCAATAGGTATTGTTCACTTGGATTTCCAAGAGGTTTTTGACAAAAGGGTGGCCCACTTGCAGATCAATAACTGGTTACAGTACAAAAAGTGAAAAGTAGGAATAGTGATTTCTCACAATGGAGGAATTTAAATGATGGGGTCCCATAGGGATCTGTACTAGGACCGGTGCTTTTCAATTTATCTAAAAATTATGTAGAATTCGGAGTAAGCAGTGAAGTGGCCAAGTTTGCTGATGACGTCAAACTATTTAGGCTGGTTAAAACCAAAAGAGATTGTGAGGACTTCCAAAGTAATCTCCCAGCTGGGAGAATGGGTATCAAAATTGTAAATGTGATTGAATGTAAGCAAGTGCCAAATGATGCAAGAAAGTCTTTCGCAGAATTTTCCTTGGAACCAAACTACAGTATTATTGTTCATGGAAATCGCTGATCGGCCGCTGCCCTGTGACGCATCTCCAGTGTTCACTGAGTGTTCTCCATTTTGTTTTTGAAGCCCTAAGATGCTGCCCAAATGCCCTGCACCTTCTAAGGCTTCTGGCAATGAGCCTAAGCGCCAGAAGAAGTTTAAAACACTCCAGGAGAAAGTCAAGCTACTGGATTTGCTCCAGGAACTAAAAATGCCACAGTAGTGCTCCATTGTGGGGTCAATGAAACCACCGTACACTACATAAAGAAGAACGAGGCAGCGATCAGGAGTACCGTATCAGTAAGTTTCTGTGATAGTGCCAAAAAGGTAACAACTGTAAGAAATAAGAATATTGTCAGGATGGAATCTGCCTTGGCATTGTGGATCACTGCAGGAAGAAGAACATCCCCTTGGGCAGTAACATCATCCGCGAGAAAGCATGTAAATTATACCAGTAGTTCGCTACAGGAGACGATGCAGAAGGTACTGAAGAACTGCAATCAGGACCATCAACAGCACCGAAGCCTGAACATTTTCAAGCCAGTAAGGAATGGTTCGATCGTTTTCAGAAACAATGCAATATTAGCAGTTTCTCTACATGCAGAGGCAGCATCTGCCAACAAAGATGCTGCAGAGAAGTACCCTGAGACCTTCAGGCACATCATAGAGGAGAAGGGAAACAAGCACAAACAAGTTTTCAACATGGATGAGACTGGCTTGTTCCGGAAGAAGATGCCGTCCAGAACTTACTTCATGAAGGACAAAGCCAAAGCTCCAGGGTTTAAGGCACAGAAGGACAGAGTGATGCTCATTATATGTGGCAATGCTGCTGGTTCCATGATGAAACCAGGCCTCATCTATAAATCAGCGAGCCCTGCGGCCCTCAAAAACAAAAATAGAAACCTGTTGCCTGTCTACTGGATGCACAACCCTAAGGCCTGGATTACCAAAATCCTAACTTCAAACTGTTTTCATCAGTGCTTCATCCCTCAAGCCAAGGAATGCCTCCACGACTTAGGCATGGATTGCTCGTTATGGATAATGCTGGTGGCCACCCTTTGGATTTGTATTACGAGGGAGTCCAGATTGAGTTCCTCCCTGCCAACATCACCTCCCTCATCCAACCTACGGACCAAGGCTTGGATCCGTGCCTTCAAGGCTCTTTATACCTGGAATTCTCTCCAGCACCTTGTGGGTGCAATGGACATGGATGAGAATTTTACATTAAAGAGTTACTGGCGTAACTTTACGATCACAACATGCCTGTCAGTCATCTAAGCTGCTTTTAAGGAGATGAACAAGGAAACCCTCAACGCATGCTGGAAGAAGCTGTGGCCAGAGTGTGTCCATGAGTACAAGGGCTTCTCACCTGAAGAAATTCAGCATGAGGCTGTCGATAAGGCCGTGAGACTGGCAAAGATACTTGGTGGCAAAGGTTTTGACAACATCACTCAAGATGAGGTCAATAACCTCATTGATGCCCACTCTGAATGCCTGACGGATGAGGATTTGTTGGAGTTAACGAAGTCTGCCATGGAAGAGGAGGAGAAAGTGAAGGATCCAGAGCAAGAGGAGGAGAAGCAGGACCTGACATTGGAACATCTGTCCCAGATTGTTAGGACAGTGAAGGAGTTGCAAGGGATGATTGAAGCATGGGATCCCCATATGGGTTGGGCTCTCAAAAGTTAATGATGGCATCGATGCTGCCATTCAGATATATAAAACCCTCCTTGCCACCATGAAGAAACAATGACAGCAACTTCCCATTACAATGTTCCTCAACAAAAGCCAGCACTAAACCCCACTGGAAGAAGACCCGGAAGAAGATATGACTCCTGAAGTGCCTGAAGAAGAGGCGCCACCCAAGGAACTGTAAATCCTGTTTTGCTGTGAGTACCTGTACATGTTACTGTATTTTTATTAAATTACATTACATTATTACTGTATTTACCCTACTTACACCAAAGAAAATGACAGTGAAAGACATATTTAGGGTTTAAACTATAAAAATAGGCATTTTATATTTTTATTTTTTACCACATTTGAAATTCACAGTTTTCACAATTTGCAGGTGCTCTAGGAATGCAGCCCCCATGAATTTCGGGGGACTACTGTAAACTGAAGGGATCTGAATTAGCGCTGAGTCACCAAGAAAGAGCTATTGAGGTTGCAGTTAACTATGGTGTCACTGCAGTTAGTATATTATGTACAGTTCTGGTTGCCACACCTAATGCAGGATATTATGCAATTGGAAAAGGTGCAAAAAAGGGTACTCATGTAATCCAGAATTTGAAGTCATGACAGAGGCATAATGTGCAGTTAAATTATTGAATCCCCTTCTCCAAGGGGCAGTGACAGCCTCTTGGACAGCTTTAAAAGGGGCTTGGGTGAAGGCTATTTGGGCTCCTAGTTCTGATGGCCTGAAGCTTCCTCCAGTATCAGAGGCAGTGTGTCTGTGCACCCCAGTTGCTGAGCTAGCTCAGCCTTGGGATGCTCTTACGTCCTAGCAGCTGCTCTTTCCTGCTTCAGATGCAGTTCTCTTTGTTGCAAGGTGGGCTCTGCCAACCATTGTGTACACTAGAGTTAATGATTACATGTTCCTAAACCTTGAAAAGTGCCTCCCCTTAGTTTATTGCTCAGTTTGAGGTGAATATGGGCATTTATCTGGACTGTCTGTTGGTGCAGGCCTTTGTACTTTGTCCTGGTCGAACGGATGATCAAACCACCATCTCCCAGGGCCAGTTAGCACAGCAGAATGGCTCAGCCTAGCTGGAAGATGGTGCTCTGGGCAATTGGTGCTGCTAGCTTTATCATTATTGAAAGCAAAGGTAAGATAATGATTTCATATCAATCAGTTCAGAGAATGAAATAGAAACTTCCAACTGAGTGTTGAGAGTGAAAGAACAAAGCATTCAATGACTTTGTAGTAGTTCATCTGCTAGGATGATACATGATCTCAGGAGCCTTTAGATTGGGGTTTCTTGATGCTCTAGGGAGAGGGAAGGCTGCAAACCAAACCCTCTGTGGCCTGTTAGGAACTGGGCCACACAGCAGGACTCTAACCTTGAATGATCCAGAGTTCCAACATTAGAGTTGAGATAGGATTGCTATGCAATCAGAATGATGCTTCTAAGTTCAACTGTGAGTGAAGTGAAAAAACGGTCACATCGAAAATGGTAGAGAATGCAAAATGAGCCAGAAAAAGGATCTGTGCTGGAATGTGTTAATCCTTATAAACTACCTGCTTTTGATACTTCTAGTTTCTTCTTTCCACATCCTGTCAATTCCCACCCACTCTTTTCTAGCTCATACCCCAGGATGCAGCATTAGGTTTCTTGAACTGGGTGTGCCACCCCTTAAAATGATCCATCTGTCCAAACGCTAAACATGATGCACTTTTGCTTCACTCCACCACAGGGGCCCACCTGTGGCACAGACGGGATTTTTGTTCAGGTCACATTTGCTGAGTTCAAAAGATCTGTTCCGTCTTTGGTTTAAAGGATCTCTAGACCGACAGTCTAGAAGACATACCTTTGCCAGTTATTATTAGTATAAAGATGTACTAAAAAATCCAAGGCATCAGATAAAGCTCATATGAAGCAAAAGCTGGGGGCTGCATGACTTCACCTCTCAAAAGAAGGTGTGGCTGGAGGAGCGCCCGCAAGCTCTCGGCACCTTTGCTCCCCCTTAGGGTTAGTGGCACCACTAGGCCGGCCATCGTCCCAGGCTCAGCCAGAGCAGCACTGAGGGTTGACATGGTTGGACCCCTGCCAAGGGCCCACCCCACTGGGGTCCCGCTGGCAAGAACCAGGGACTTGCTCTTCCTCCCCTCAGCAAGCAGGCGGAGAAGGAGCAGCCTGTGATGGGGGGGGGGGCAAGAAGGCAGACTCTGGGGAGCAGCATCTCAGTCTGGTGCTGGCTGCGTGCCTCCCCCCAGTGTTGCTGAACATCACTAGGCCTTGCCTCTTTGGGCACCTTCCTTCCTTGTCCATCCCTGTTTGTGCCAGTGGCATTCACAAGCCTGGTGTGCTTGAGTGAGTCCAGGCAGGGCCTCTTTGTGAAGTGTTTTTCCAGAAGTGTAGGCAGACTTGCTGTAACCTGCCTGCCTGGTTTTCTATCGCACAACCTTTGTTTCTTTACTGGTGCGCGCAATCTCTCCTGCCTAACCTCTGTTTACATGTGTGTTTTGTCTCAACTGTGTAGCCGCAGAAGGTGTCCTTCCAGAGGTAGCCACCAGATATGGGAGTCTGCGGGGGAAGCGAGCACGTGTGAAAGGCACAGAGAAACTGGCCGATGTCTTCCTGGGGGTGCCCTTTGCCAGGCCTCCAACAGGGTCCTTGAGATTCTCCCCACCGCAGCCCCCTCAGCCATGGGATGGTGTAAAAGATGCGACAGCTCACCCCACAGTGTAAGATGGCTCCGGGTCAGATATCTGCTTGAGCAGGACACATCCAAGGGAAGGAAACTTCAGAATGGAGGCATGGAGTCAGTTCCTGGATGCAAGCAGCAGGCACCCTCAGTTGGAGTGCTGGGCAGGGCAAGCAAGGCTTACGGAAGATCTGGCAGGGCCAGAAGCAAAGGATGAGTGGAGACATGAGTGAAGCCACTGCAGGACAGGAGGCAGAGGGCAGGTCAGGAGCACCCAGCCACTCCGAACACGGGTGCAGCTCCTCCTCTGTAAAGCCCCTGGTGGCTCCCTCTTGGTTTGCTTGATTGGCTTGCCTGGATTCCGGCGAGCGCCTGCAGGTCCAGTGCCAGCTCCTCAGGGTGCAGCTCAGCTCTGCAGAGTCTCATGCCTGGGAAGCGATGGCTGGAATGTCTGCGCTCCTCTATTTACTCTCTCCCATTTTTTATTTCTGTCACTTGAGTTTGAGTGTTTAGGGTTATGTTAGTCACGAAGTTGTGTCCAGCCCATCATGACCCCATGGACAACATTCCTCCAGGCATTTTTAGGGTTATGGTTTCTTAAAATGCAAAAATTGCACACGCTGGGGCACTGTGTGTGTGAGTGATGAACTTTTTGCAATCCCTGAAAAAGGGAAATACAGGAACCGAAGGGGCTTGTGGGGTGGGAAGGGAGTCAGCACACACCTGTTGTAATGCTCCCTGAAATACCTGCAGAAAACCACAGGAGAAGGGCGGGGAAAAGTTGAGGACCGCCCAGGGTGAGCTTGATCTTCTGCTCCGTGTGCTGTGGGTTGTTAGCACAGCAGCCAGTCCACTAACAGCCAGTGTCGTACTAACGGTGGGTGCAAAACATGGGCAGGCCTATGGAATTCCTGTTATCTTATGTTTTCTGTAGATGCCCCCAGGACCTGAGCACACTCAAGGGAATTCAGAAAAGGTGGAAAGAGACCCACCCACCCTTGCACAGTTCCGAGGACTGTTTGTATTTGAACATTTATAGACCAGCAAATTCATCCCACGCCTCCAAGTTCCCGGTAAGCGATTTTGCAGTGTCAGCAAAGTGAGAGCAGCATTGGAAGCAGAAATGCTTGGTGGTATCTACCACCAATGCAAATGTCTTATGCTTTTTATTCAGTTAGTTAGCACATGCTTTATTTTAAGCAGCAGCCCCTTCCCACCCATGTCCCCAGCAACAAGTGTCCACAGAATACTGCCTCTGGTCCTGGAGGTGCCATCTAGCCATCAGAACTCGGTTTCCTCACAGGTTTCTCCTGTAGGAACCCTTTTAAAGCTGTCCAAAGCGGTAGCAGTTCTGGCAGTGAATTCCACAGCTTACGTGCTGTGTGAAGAAGGACTTCCTTTATCTTTCCTGACTCGCCAATCTACTTAATGGGGTTTAGTATTATGGGAGAGGGTGAAAAATGTCTCCCTCTCCACTTCCTTCACACCAGGTATAAATGTGCACACCTCTTTTGTGCCTCCCCTTCCTCGCCATTTGCTAAGTCAAATAATGCCAGCTTCTGCAGCCAGGCTGTTCCAACCTCTGGAGCATTCTAGTTGCCCTCCTTTGCACCTTTCCCAGTGCTGCAGTTCTCTTTGTGAGTTGCAGTGGCCAGAGCTGTCCACAGTGTTCTAAGTGCAGTCACGCCACCACCTGGGGTAAGGGCAGGAAGGCACGGGCAGTTGTATTTCCAGCGCCTCTCCCAATTAGGCCTAGCATGCAGTCCGCCTTTCCCCAGCAGCTGCATGCTGGGTGGGCGTGTTTCTTGTGCTTTCTGCTCACGTTCCCCAGCACGGGTCAGCCTTGTTCCTGCAAGGGGAGAGCAGCCAGCATGAGGAGCAGCTGCTCAGGGCCTAAACTCCGGTTTCCTTCAAAACAATTTTATGTCATATCGTTTTATAATCTCTGTTCCCATCGTCTCTCACTTTTGCTCTTTTGAAGGTGATGGTCTGGATTCATGGAGGGGAATTCATATTTGGGGCAGCATCCAGGTTTGATGGCTCAGCGCTAGCTGCCTACGAAGATGTGGTGGTAGTCATCATTCAGTACCGTCTGGGCATTTTGGGGTTCTTTAGGTAAGGCTTTTATACTGTATTTTTCCCTTTAAAAAGTATAATTCCTGTCTGAATGAGTTTACACTTCCCGATTGTATACACGTTTGCTCAGAAGTCCTTTCCAGGGCATTCCAGCAGTCCCAGGTGAGGGCATGTGAGCTTGCAGGTGAAATAGGACGCCTTGAGGTTGTTCTGAGCACACCTGAATGGACAAGAGTCTTGAGCCAAGGCCTGCACTGCAGAGGGAAAGGACTCCTTGCCTCCCCAAATACTTCTTCAGCTGGAAAACGGAGCCCTGGGATTACAGATCATGGCACGACCATGTATGTTGAGGGGAGTTCACTTGGCTGGGGGCCTTAGGGAGCCACCAGGCTAGAGGGCCCTGCCTTGGTGCCTGCCAGGCAGGAGCAGCTGCTTTCCCTGGGCCCTGCCTGCATCACCCCAACACCAGATGAGGCCACTCGAGAGCCCATGTTGCAGAGGGCCTGCCCTGGGCTCTCAGCCGGCTTCCTTCTGCCCTTTCAGCACAGGGGATGAGAATGCCAGAGGGAACTGGGCTGCCTTGGATCACCTGGCAGCTTTCCGGTGGATCCGAGACAACATCAAGCCCTTTGGGGGTGATCCAGAGTCGGTGACTCTTTTTGGTGTCTCTGCAGGTTCCTTCCTTGTTTCGGCCCATGTAAGTTCCCAGACGTTTATTTGCAAAAAGTACTCCCATAGCAGTCAATGAAATGAGGGTGTGGGGAGGCCCAAGAGTGAGCCTCCTCCTCGGGTTTCTCGCTTCTGTGTGCTGCTGCGCTTGTGTGCTCCAGCCAGAAGCACTTTCTGTCCCCCTGTTCCATGGCATGTCACTTGCCTGACAAGCCTCCACTGGATGCTGAGGCAGTGGCATAGCGCTGATGCTTCTTTGCACGCTGGCTCATGGCCCAAGGCCTACCTGCCTTTCCTCTCGAGCACACTGTGGGGTAATGAGAGTGTCTCCTGTGCTGGGAGGCCAGACTCTGTCCTAGTGACTCAGTTGTATGCTTTGAAGGTGCAGCTGGAGGAGTCAGTCCAGTGGAAAGGGAGACCTGGCCCCAGTATCCAGATGCTGAGTGAAGGCCTGAGGTGAAGGTGCTGCTTTTGCTCCCTGCACTGTGGCCACTGCTGCAGGAGAGCAATGCAGACCTCTGAGATCCCATACAAAATTATTTGCTATTTTAGGAATTAGTAAAGCGTGGGGACAAAGTTAGACATTTCAGACACAAAGCAGCCTTAGTTCAGCCTCCCCCGCTGCCCAGGAAAAATAGGGAAAGCTGAAGGCAGAAAAAGGAGGGGAAGGCCAGCAATGAGATGGATCAATTCCATAGTGGAAGCCACAGGCTTGTGTTTGCAAGAGCGGAGCAGGCTGTCAAAGAGAGGACATTTTGGAGAGCTGTCATTCATGGGGTCGCCATTAGTTGGAGACCACTCGATGACACATAACAGGAAGCTTGCTTGTGGGAAACAAACCGCCTTGCCAAATTATGGATTGTTTTATGGCTGCATGCAGAGTGGCTTGCAGGGCTGCGTGATCCAAGGGGACCGACCAAATCGTGGGAATTAGGAAGTGACTGACAAGGGGACTGGCAAGGGCAGCCCCCTCCCCCGCCATTTGTTCTGTGCTCTCTGAGGCCCTTGCCAGGGCCAGCTGTCCTGCACGCGCCCAGCTGTCGCTTTGGAGCAGCTGGCGCTGGCTGGGTCTCCTGCCATGACTGTGCACCATTCTCGGCTCCCTGTGGCTTCCTTGTTCCTTGTGTTAGGAACTCCTTCCTTGGTTAGCCCCCCCCCCCCCCCCCCCCCCTGGCCATTCCTGCTCTGCCATTCAGTCCCCTTTAGCCTGTGTGATGGGCATGACTGTTCCCTTCTTTCCCCAGATTCTCTCTCCCTTGTCAAAGGGCTTGTTCCACAGGGCCATTCTGGAGAGTGGCACCTCCTTGTTTCCATTGGCCTTCAAGTCCAAACCTCGTCTGTATGAGGAAGTAGGTTTGTTCTCCTGCCAGATCACTGTGTGAACCTGAGATGTTGACTTTTAGTGGCAACGTGCCCTCATCTTCCCGTCTTTGTCATGTATGGGAATGTGGCGATCTGAGCGGGAGCTTGCCTTGTGGGGTCATATATGCCCTAGATTGGCTCCATGTGATGCAGAAGGATCCATGCGAGGTTCCCTCTCCCCTGCTGCACTCTGAGGCCACATGCTTCTGGAGCATCTCCTGAGCGAGTGCTCAAGGGATGCAGGGGCTGGGTTCACACGTGTCGACCCTCTTGGGAATGTTCGCAATGTCCGATGGTCAGAAGGCCCTGTGCTGCAAGCAGGGTCCCCTCTCTGAGGGCTGCAGCATGTGTGAAGGAGAAGCACCATGGGAAGTGGTCAAACCCGGGGGACTCCCGTGGGGGCTGCAGGAGTTGGACTGTCTCTCTGCACAGGGGTCTCTAGGTTTTGAGGTGCCCCCTGGCAGGGATTGGGAAGCCTTCGCCAGCTGTCCCCAAGTCCTGCCTTGACATCTTCGGGTGTTGGGGAAGCCGGTTGCCCTCTAGCCCTTTCACCAGAGCTTCAAGCCTTTTCAGCACTCTTGCTGGGGACTCCCTGAATTTCAGCATGATCGTGGCTTGGCTTGTGGTGGGGGCTTGGATAGCAGCACCAGCTGTGCGGGGTGAATTAACTCTGCAACAAACCATAGGCAGGTGGAGGGGGGCGTCTAGGCCACTCGGTGGGAAGAGTGCTACGTTCGGGCAGTGGGCTGTCATGGAAATGGAAAGGCCATGCCCACTCCGTGACCTGCTTCCGCAAGCAGGACTCCTGTGAGTGCAGGCCAGGATTGGGGTGCCCATCTCTGTCCAGATGCAGAAGCTTGCCCAGGCGTTGGCCTGCGAGGCTTCCAGTTCCGCTGCCGTGGTTCAGTGCCTCCGACAGAAGAGTGAGAGGGAGCTGATTGCCAGCCAGAGGGCGATTCAGGTCAGTTGTGTGGGGGGCGGGACTCCAGGCATGGGCTGTTGCTGGCTGAGTTGCACCCTGGGGCTGGCGCCTTTGGCTCTTGGTGCTTCTGCCAGCAAGAAGAACTTCCCGGTGGCTGCGCGTGGCCATCTAGGCAAGGAGCATTCCACGCCTCAGCAGCCCTTGGTTCCTCTTGCACCCTAGCTGCAGTGAGGGCCGGCTGGGGGCTGGGGAGCGAGCCCGCAGTGTGGTGCGCTTCCCTGTGTTGCAGGCCTGCCTCCTGCCAGCTCTTCCCACCTGGTTTCCGACTGGGGCACAAGGGCCCCTTGCTGTGCCCAGCCCAGCCCATTGAACAAGGTGTAGCTGCTTTACCTGTTCTTGGCCTGCTTCCTCTGCCGAAAGCATGTTTCACCTGGCTTCTCATCCAAAAGGCCCCCGGGGCAGCTTGCAGAGTGTAACTCAAACAAGAGAAAGCCCCCCTGCAACTCATGGTCTAAAAGGACAAGGGAGGGAGAAAAAGCAAGCACCCTTTTAGCAGGTTGGTGGCACAGCCCCCTTCCCTGACTTCGGCCTGCCAGAGTGGCTGCTAGGAGCACGGGAAGCTACTCCAGGTGAAACAGATGCTCCGTGCTCTGCCAGGCTGTGGCTCTCCAGACAAGGAGGCAGCAGCAAGGGGTGAGGAGCGGCTCTGCACCCGCCTATGAACACCAGCTGCGCCTTGCATCTGCTGTCAGCTCAGTGAACGCAGCATGGCCTCCAGTAAGGGTGGGGGGGAGGGGCTTTTTGCTGTGACCCTGCTGGGCGGGGGGGCACGTACCACCCAGCCGTAGTTCACATGCATCTGTTCTGGCTTCAGACACTCGCCTGGATGGCCAGAGAAGAAAGCAGCAGGCTGATGGTGCTCTTTAGAGGAAATCTGTTGACTTTCCACCCCTTTTTGTCCAGAACTTTGGATTAGTTGTGGACGGAGTGTTTCTGCCCAAGACCTCTGAAGACCTTCTGGCAGGAAAAGAGCTCAATGCTGTGCCCCTCATAGTCGGAGTCACCAATAATGAATTTGGCTGGAATATACGCAGAGTAAGACACCGTAGCAATTTTTCACCCCCACCAATGATATCTGCAAATATTGTGGTGCTCAACAGTAGCCTGGAGGGATGGACTGGCTGGTTACATGTCCCAAGCCAAAGCAGTCCTCCTCATCACTTGGGGCGTGTCCTCTCCTCCAGGTGTGGAGGGCATGGTAGACGACCCCACTTCTGAGCCACTGCCTCCCTGTCCCCCCATATATGTATGAATATGCAATCCAAGTGTGCTTTATGGATTTTATTACGTATGGGTCAGCAGGCACTTCCTAGACCCATAGGCTTGCCCAGAGGTCCAGCTCTGAGCTCTGGCAGATGTCCCAAGGTGGGGGGGGGGGGCTGGCCTCTGAGGGCCCTCCCTGCCCCCTCACAGCTGGTGTGGTTTTTCCACACTGGCTGCAGCTTGGAGGGTGGAAAGGCAGCCGTGAAGCCAAGCGGGGGTGGGGGCGCTCCAGGGGCAGTGGGTGAGGCAGTGCTATCCCAGGTGCAGGCAGGCAGACGGGGCTGCTGAAGTGTCTGGGAGAGTGCGGAAGTGCAGTGGTCATCTTGGTTGCCACACTGCTTCCCTCTGGCCAGGGAGGGCTGTGATCCTTTCCATATGGCACCTTCTGGGAATCCACGCTGGGGCACTGCAAGGCCACCTCTAGCAAAGCCCGAAACCCCAGGAAGGGACAAAATTTGGGAAGCTGACAGAGCTGGCCCCAGCGTGGGGAGGGCACGTTCATGAGCGACCCTGTCAACTCAGAAGCAGCCATTCAGGTGGTGGTGGGGTGGTTTGCTGGCTCCCCTCAGCTTCAGTAGCCTGTTCGTACTATTCCTTCTGAGTGCCTCTGTGGCCCAGCGATGGCACTCACTGTGGGACTCCACGGTGTCCAGAGCTCACCTGAAGTTGCACCATACTGGAGATTGTCCCCCTCTCCCCCGCTGCGACTTCCCCTGCGCTGTGGATGCAGTGAGTGCATTGAGATGCATTTTCAACCACGGCACAGAGAGCTGATGAGGTCCCAAAGGCACAACTTGTCTTTTCTTCTTGAACGCAGACATCACAGCTGGAAGGCTTGAAGGAGCCGGGAGACCGAAACACCATGTTCGCCACGCTGAGAGCACTCGGCTCGCCTTTGGTAATGCTTCACTGCATTGGTTTGCCCTGGCGACTGAACTCAGAGGATCCATATCCTGTACCGTGCGGGTGGGAGCATCTGCCTGAAGCCTGTCCTGCCCCTTAAGCTGGCTGTGAGGGGATCGGTTGGGTGGGCCGTCCTTTTATCTGTGTGCCTGGGAAGGGCTTGGACTCGTGTCCTGCTCGGCGGAGCCCTCCCTCCTGACTTCATGGCGGTGCCATGGCTGAAGAGAAGTGTGAGGGAGGTTGGCCTGGCCCCTCACGCTGAGGCCGGCCTCTCCTCTGGCCATTTGGAGTCCTGCTGGGGCTGGAAGGGGCGCAGAACATGCCTCCTCGGGGCTCCTCTGAACCTGCCTGAAGAGGAGGCATGTGCAGGGGGAGGCTGTGGGGCTGCAGAGAGGAGGCCCTTGGAGGACACGGGTGCTCATGACAGGAGGAAGAGAAAGGCAGGAGGAGCCCCTTGCACACTCCCACAGTGGTCTTGCCCAGAGCGTCTCCCTGCCCTGCCCTGGCCCAGCCATCCCTCCTCATCTGCTGCTCCATGCGTGCCCCCAGGCTTCTTCGTCTTTGCACATCTTTTGCAGTTTCTCTCCATCAGCAGCCACGCTGGGCAAGGATGATAGCCTTGCCTTCTGCGGAACTCTGCAAGCTACTGACTTGTCCACCTCCCATTTTTCACCCCCCTTTCTATTTTTGAAATCCTACTTTATTTATTTAGTTGTTGCATTTATATCCTGCCCTTCCCCCCCATTTTTAAGAACTCAGGGCAACTTTCCTCACTCCCCTCCTCTCAGTCTTGTCTCCACACCAACAACCCAGTCGGGCAGGATGTGCTAGGTGTCTGAGGCTGGCCCAAAGCCCCCCAGGGGGCTGCATTGCCAGGCCGCGAGGTCACCCAAGTTCCAGAGCCCTTGGCCACTGCACTGCTCTGCCTCTCCAGCTTCTGCTTTGCTGCAGCTTGAAAAGCGCGGCCCAGCACGCCTGCCCTCCCACCAGTGCTTCCTTGTCCCCAGGGTGTTCCCGAGGAGGTCCTGCCCATGCTGCTCGATGAGTACCTGGGAGACACCAGTGACCCTGATAAACTGAGGGATGGCTTCCTGGACCTGCTGGGAGATGCAGCCTTTGTTGTTCCCGCCATCCGAACCCTAAATTATCTCAAAGGTAAGAGAGCTGCCAGCAGCTTGTCCCTGTTCACCTGCGTCTAGAGCCTGGGAACCGTTGGCTGTTCATCCACTCAGGAATCTCCTCGGCTGGCACGGGGGCACAATGCCAGGTCAGTTCAGAGTGAAGCCAAGTTCATTCAGGGTTTAATTGGAGATGAGGGACCCAACTTGCATGCCGCACTGAGACTGAGACGGATGAGCTGGGCAAGTCTGGGTGTTGGGGAGAGCCCCATAGCAATCCAGGGCATGGAGGCAGGGAGGCCCTGCCCCTCAAGGCCTTCTGCCTGCAAAGGGTGGCCCTGCGCTGGGGGCTGGGATGGCCCCTTCTGCTTTGGCAAACTGGTTGGGGCCCTCATACTGTCAAGGGCCTGCCAAGCCCGAGGCTGGTCTCCAGCTGAGCACTGCACTTGCCTTCCACTGGGCAAGCTCCCAGGCAGGCAGGCCAAGAAGCCCCCCACCCGCTGGTTCTACTCAGGCCTGTGCTCCCCCTGGAGGCCCACTGCGTGCGGGTTCTGTGCAGACAGCCTCCAGGCACTGTGCCTTTCACCAGCCAGGACCTCTTCCCGGCAGGGACGGGCTGCCCGATTGCCAAGCGGAAAATTCAGCCAAGACTTTGTTGTGGCAGATTCCCCCAAGCACTGGATAATCTTGGGGAGAGTGAAAACTAAGGATCTGATGCCAGCATTGGCATCTTTCTTGCACCAGCTTAAGACTTCCTTCTATCCTTGGGCATTTGACAGCCTACAGGAAGGCTGTCTATCACATTCTGAGATTCTCTCTTTTGACTGCTTAAAGCTGCTTTCATAGTTTTGTGTGTTACTGGTTTGGCATTACATCATTATATTGCATTTTTAGGGTTTTAATCTCTGTAAACCTCCAAGCAAGCTTCAGCTTTTTGGTGGTATAAAAATATCAGAAATAAAATGAAATGAACTTCGGAGGGGAGTGGGCCTATCTTAAGGAGGAGCCAGAGGGACTTTTCTGCTTTTGTAAAAGCAGAGCAACTGGTCCTGTGCCAGTTGATGTCCTGCAGAGGCCTGGCTGCGTCCCCTCTGCAAGTGGGATGAGGCACCGGCATGAAGGATGTTCTGTAGTGATGTGGGCTCCTTCCCAGCAGTGCTCAGGGTGACACAGGAAAGCGGCGGCCAGCACCGGTGGAGACGGGAGCTGATTGTCCAGAGGGCTTCACAACCCGCTGGGCCTGCTGCAGAGGCCCCACTGCTGGCCTGCCTAGTTTCAGGCTCAGCTCAGGGCGCCAGCAGTGACCCCAGCAACTTCTTTTGCTTTGTCCTGCCTGTACCCTGAAATTATCAGGCTCATCTTCTGGCACCCTCCTTGTTAGAGATGAACAGAGTGAAAAGTGGCGGAATGGCCCCCCCAGCCAAACCACCTGCTCATCTTTATCATGCCAGACAAAAAGATTATTCTCCCAAACTTTCAGGCATTTAAAATCTTGTAGATAACTTTGTCTGCTTCTTTATTTGTATGTGGTTTATTATATTCAAATTGAAGCTGGTGAATATTAGTTAATAAATTTTCATATGAACAATGACAGACTCGATCTGATGGCCAGTCGACTCTGCCTGGACAGCCGCAGGAGAGGGCAGGAGTTCTGGCGCAGACAGCGAGGCTGCATTCCAAGGGCAGAGCTGATCTTTCCCTCAGCCCTTGTAGTGGGGCGGTGCTTCCCCTTGGAGCTGGCGGTGGAGGGTGGGAAGGGGAGCCGCGAGAGTCCCCAGAGTACAGTGAACCCTCATGGTGCTTCTGCTCCTCCCCTCGAAATCCTTCCAGTTCACCAGGTTCAGTGTAGCCACACTGCACGGTGCTCTGAACATGTCACAGACTGCCCTGCCACTTTCCAGCTTGGACTGTGCTTATGCAGCGAAAGCATGTCCCAGAATGGGGCCTCTCCAGAACTTCTGGCCCTTCTCTTCCACTGGAGGATAGCAACTTGCATGGGAAAAAACTGCTTCTGGGTTGTCTGGAATGGGCAGCACATGATGGGGGGGCCTGGGAGAAAGCCGCCACAGCTTTCACAAGGTTTTGTTTACTCTTTAGAGGCGGGTGCGCCTGTTTATTTCTTTGAATATCAACATCGACCTAGTTTGTACCATGACACCAAACCGGATTATGTGAAAGCAGATCATGCAGATGAAGTCGGCTTTGTCTTTGGAGGGCCGTTCCTCACTGGTGACACACGCCTGCGTGGTAAGGAACCCTCCTGGAATGCTCTGGAATGATCAGCGGCAGGGCTTGGTGGGACCCCGTTGTCCTGTCCAGGTGATGCTGGTCGGGGGGGGGGGGGGGGGCAGCTTGACCATTGCCCCTTGCAAGTGTGGGCAGTAATTTCAGTGGCACACAAGGCAGAGGCACTTCCCTGCGCAGCTGGGATTGTCACAGGGAGCTGTGCCAGTGGCTGGGGTGGATGCTTAAATAGCTGCCCATCTGCCTCCCATGGAGTTGGCCTGCCCTAATAAGCCCCCTCCCCTCTGTGCTAGGAGCAGCTGTGGGTCCCTCAGAATCATCAAGAATCATAGAGGAATGGAGTAGGAAGGGGCCAGAGGGCCAGCCCCCCGCTCAGAGCAGGACTCCAAATTAAACTGTTCCTCTCAGATGGCTGTCCAGCTGACTCCGGAATGCCTCTGCTGCAGCAGAGCTCCCAGCCTCCTGGGGTAATTGGTTCTGTTGTCATTCTGCTCTCGGGCAGAAAGTTCTTCCTGGTATCTAGCCGGAGTGTGGCTTCCTGCAGCTGGAGGCCAGTATTCCATGTCCTGCATCCTGGGATGGTCGAGAAGCTCATCCTTGCAGGAGAGGGTTGCTCTCTTCGGCAGCCTGAGACAGAATGCAGGCCAGGAGTGGCTAGCAGCAAATGAAGGTGGCTTGCTAGCGGCCCTGGAGTGCCCCATGAGGCCATCCAGGTTCCACTGTGTCCTCCCAGCCCATCTCTAGTTGCTGTTTTCAAAGTGATTTCCCTGCCCTTTTCAAAGCACCATGGCAGCCACTCTGAAGATTTGCATGGCCGGACAGGGGAAAACATAATTAAACCTGCAGAACTGATGAGATGCCAGCGTGGGCGCTGGGGCCACTGCAAGTGAAAGGAGGCTAAGGGTGGAGCTGCTGCCTCTGTGCAGGATGGCCATGTGAGCAGGACGGATGGCACCGGCAGTGCTGGTGCTGCCAGAGGCCTAAAGCTCTCTTCCCGTGCTCCTCAGATGAAGCCACCGAAGACGAGCGGCTCTTGAGCAGGACCATGATGAAGTACTGGGCTAACTTTGCGCGCACTGGGTGAGCCTCAAGGGCAGCGGGGGTGGGGGACCCGGCAGCTCTGCTGTCTGCACTGCTGAGATGACATACTGGCTTATTGGCTATCTTTCTAGAAACCCGAACAGGGACGGCTTGGTGGAATGGCCAGCATATAATAATGCAGAGCAGTATCTAGAGCTAAATCTGAAGCAGAAGGCATCAAGGAAGCTGAAAGAAGAAAAAGTGGAATTTTGGATGAAGCGCTTGCCTGAAAAGATTAAGGAGCTGAGAGGAAGACACACTGAGCTGTAATTCACCCCGCACCCCGTTGCCCATTTTCCTAGTATTCCCTTAACTGAGAGAAGCAGCACCTCTTGGCTTTCAGATCACTGAGGAAGGCCCTGTCGCAGAGCTTGGTCAAAGGGTGCCAGCACACCGAGGGGCTGCTCAAGTTCCGCAAAACCACAAACGATCCTCCTCCCTGCTGTCCCGCAGTCACGTGTTCGTGGGGCAATTCACTGATCTTGAGAATTTCCTGCATGCCTCCATCCTCCCTGCAGATGGTGCCATGCGTCCCCTCACCCCCTGTGCCCGCCTGCCCCATCTGCCTCTCAAAAGGGGCCAAAGGTAAGGGTCCCCAACCCATCATCCCCATTCCTGAAATTTAACCCTGAACCCCAACCCTAAGCTTCTAATAAATGCATTCTAAAATAACTATGAACTTCATGCGTTTTCAATTTAATGTCAGTGTTACCTGCACTGCTCTGACAAGCACTTTATACCATCCACGCATAGAAAAATCGTATGCTTAAGACAATGACTCCATCTAGCCACCTCATTCTCTGCCGCCCCCTTCTTCTTTTGCCGTCAGTTGCTCCCAGCATTAGGGTCTTCTCCAGCGAGTCCTTTCTTCTCATTTGGTAGATGAAGTATGAGTTTGATCTTAAGTATCTGGCCTTCTAAAGAGCAGTCGGGGTGGATCTCCTCTAAGGCACTGGTTTGATCTTGCAGCCCAAGGGACTTGCAGGGGTCTAGAGATTGTCCTGTTTTTCAGTGAGACAAGCTTGGTTCATAGTGATGGTTGAAGATTTCTACCTCACACAAAATAACATTCGTTACACAATCTGGATGGGAAACTGAAAAATAACCGCTGAGGAAAAATCAGCTCCAAAACAGGATTCACACCATGACATTATTGTGCTCAATTTCCACTAGTCTGCAAATACGCTGCAAACAAACTGCCAGTGTTTGTTTAGGAGGGCAGTGGCTCCCAAAATGGGCTCCGTTCATGTGTTATCCGATCAGTGGGAGGTACTTTGCGCCCCCTTGTAGACTCCTGGTTTCTCCTCAGCACAGCCAGCAGCCCAGCTTATAGTCCCATGCAGCTCCATCCTGGCATTGGCCCCACGAATGACAGGACCGCCAGCATCTCCCTGAAAGGTCAAAACATAAGAGGGGTGGTTAATATTCCAGTAGTCATCAGGATGGGTTAATCAAAATCACAGGCTGGACAGTGGTGGAGCAGGTTCACGAAAGGGGGAGAAAATGAATTGGATTGGAAGACTATGTATGTTTAGCCACACAATTCCATTGCTGGCAGCAGAACAGTGGGAGTTGTAGGCCATCTTCCTGTCTGCACATGTGTGTGACCGCACCCAAGTAATCTAGAGGATTCTGGCATTGCTGTTTCTGTATCTGGAGGGGTGACCACCTTCTACAACCCAGGACATGGTGCAAGGCAGCTTCAGCAGGTGCACCACGGAACCCATCCTCACCCGAGCCTCTCACAAACAGGATGCTACGTCGGAAATGTCAACTGGAAAGGTTTAAGGGAGATGTTAGGGAGAATTCTGTTCACATGGGCTGCGTCAGCAGAGACAATTCTGTTGCCAAGGTCTTTGGCAACAGCAGATAAGAAACTTACTTTGCATGGATCAGTCTTTCGCTCTCAATTTCCAGCAGAGAACACGTTGTCGATCGCTATCTGATGTTCACAATTTTTCTGACGAATGCTGTGGGATATCGACTGCACATTCATTGTTTTCAGAATCCTGGAGCAATAAACCCTAGCTGCAACCAAGTAATGTAGCCTTCATGTGAGACTCTTCTTGGGGACTTCTGATGCTGACCGTCTACTTCATGGGTGAAAACAAAGGAAGAACATCAGCCTCTACCCCAACAGTGCGCTCCTAAATTTAACTCAGATGGATTGTCCCCCATCAAAAAGGAAACTATAACAACAAAACTGGTAAAAATGCGTGGAGACTGAGAATGGAAGGGAAGGATTTTCTCAGGTGGCTTTTGCCTGAGGTGGGCTTGAAGGTCAGCCTTCAAGCCATCAAGCCACCGTTTGCATGAAAAGAAAGATGGAAAATGTACATACTCCTGTGTTCTTTTCTGTATTTTCACACTGGAAATTTCACACGGGAAATTATCTCTCAGTGATCATCCTTGAGATGGCAAACAGATGATTTCGATGGTGTCCGTTTCTTGGGCACGCTGGCCAAAGGAAGATCTGATCCTTATTACGGCTAAAAGTGTCATAAAGAGGGCATGTTAAGTAAGCTTTCCAACATGAATTCTGATCAAAACAAGAGCGGATGTTCAGAACTAGCCATTCCAACTCTTTTTCCAGATAATGACACAAATGTGCATGTTTGCTCACCTCTATTCATTTTGCCCATTCCCAGGGTTCCTCCCAAAAATAATGGAGACCTCCACAAACGTGCAATCTGCAAGGACTGCTCTCTCTCCAATACAGAAAATTTTTCATAATACTAGAAATGTATTATGTAAAGGTTTGTAATATTGAAAAAGGATCCAGGTAAACCACATCCACTGCATCCCATCTAGCCACCTCAAAACCTTGTCATAGAATTCCACAAGGTTTGTCTGGCAGCACCTGTTTTTGCAGAAGCCATGTTGTGTGGCTGCCAGCCTCCCTTCCCTGTCTAGCATCACTAGATCTCTCGCTATTATGAGCCTTTCCATTGTTTTTCCTACAATGGACGTAAGGCTAACAGGTCTGTAATTCCCCAGGTCCCTTCTACTACCCTTTTTGAAAATTGGGAGCACTGATGCCACCCTCCAGTCCTCTGGAACTTCACCCATTCTCCACGAGGTCTCAAAAATGGAGGCCAGCGGGCGTGAGACAACCCCTCCCAACTCTGGGGTGTAACCCGTCAATCTCCAATGCTCTGAGGAGCCCCTCATCAAATCTCCTATGTAGATCTCTCCCGTCCTGCTTTGCGGAGAACACAGAGGCAAAATAGTCATTTAGCTTCTGTGCCTGTTCCCTCATATCAGTCACTGGATCTCCTTCCTCCTTATTTAGTGGTCCCACCACTTGTCTCCCCTTCCTCTTCTTATTCACATGCTGAAAGAAGCCCTTTTTGTTGCTCTTGATATTCTTGGCAAATCTCAGCTCGAAATCAGCCTTAGCCTTGAGAAGAATCCTTCTGCAATGGGCCTCCTCTTCCTGGTATACCTTTTTGTCTATTTTCCCCAGTACCCATTTCCTACGGAGGTTCGCACTTTCTGACACGACCAAGCTGGCACCTGTGTCGTCACTTCCCTCCCTCCCTGCCCGAGCGTGAGGCACTTCCTTGCCTCTCCCAAGATGGCCGCCAGAAGGGGAGGCATGGTCCTTTTCTGCCCTTCTTCCCCGGAAGGTCCATCCGCTTGGCAGTGCCGATGTGGCCCCCACGGAACCCCTCGCCCCTGTCTTCCCAAATGGGGGAGGAGCAGCCCTTCCCGCCACGCCGTCCTGCCTTCCCTCGCCTTCCCTCGGGCGGCCATGGCAAGAGAGGCAGGATGGGTAGCAAGAAGCCTCACATCGCTTGGAATCTGGCATTCTGGCCTTCAAACGGGGCTCGATCCCCTATCAATTCCTCTAGGAAAGGCCATGCACTGCCTCAACGGGCATCGAGCCTTGCGTCTGATTCCTGGTGCATGGGGGTGGGGGGGGGAGCGAGAGACGCGGGGGGGGGCAGCGGAACCCCCCGCCCCCGTCTTCGCAAACAGGAGGGAGGAGCAGCCCTTCCCGCCCCGCCACCCCCCCTTCCCTTCCCTTCCCTTCCCTCGGGCGGCCATGGCAGGAGAGCAGGAAGGGCGGCAGGAAGCCTCACGTCGCCTTCAGGCAGCCATGCTGGGCGTGATATCAAAACAGAGGCGCCTGCGGCGCGGAAAAGTGACGGATATTCGGCCTTCGCCATGTTGGTAGTGTCTGACTCAGAGAGGGGCCTCGCCCTTCAGCCATATTGGGAGTGGCCTGTTTCCGCGCAGGCGCATGTCTAGAGCTATGTAGGTGAAGAGCCAGATTGCATTGCGGCATCCACAAAGTGCCGCTGCAGGCCCAGTCCCAGACCCAGCTCGTTTCCCAGGAGGGGCGAAAGGGCTCTGTCGCTGATCTTCCAAGAAGGGGGTGGGCGGTGGCAGCGCGCAGCCCGTGCGTGGGGAGGGCTTCGTGCAGCCTGGGGTGCCCGGTGTGGCTCTACGCTCAGCAACGGAGGAGTCAGCGGCGCGCCTGGAGTGCCCTCCTGTGGCCACTGCCAAGAATTGCGGCCTCCTGCGCCCGAGAGCCCCATTTTAGACATCAGCGGCGCGCCTGGAGTGCCCTCCTGTGGCCACTGCCGAGAATTGTGGCCTGAAGGTTTTCACTGGAAATGCAAACATAAACCTGGTACTTTTTATTCCATGTGGTGGACTTGTCATAAGGCAAAAAACTATTGGGCTAAACTACATAAATGGCTTGAGGAAATGTTACAAAAATCTTTAATATTTAAACCTGAAGTCTTTTTATTAGGCATTGTGTCTGATGATGTTGACAAACAGGCAACGTATTTGATGTACGTGTAGTAATTACTGCGGCAAGGATTGTATTTACCCAACATTGGAGGAGTGAAGAACCACCTTCTGATGAACTGATTTTTAAAAAGATCCTGAACTGCGCTGAAATGGACAGGCTGACTTGTCTCTGAAGGAGAAAGAGGATACATACTTCTGTCAAACTGGAACTCTTTTTATTATTGGCTAGAGAAACGGGACTATGCGTAGATTTGAATATGTCTATGGATTGCTATAAAAAAATGGGGGAATGACCCTGTAGTTCTGATGTCTCTGATGATTAATGTTTTTAGATTTTTACTTTTTTTAGCTTGTAGAAAATAATAATAATAAAACTTATTTAAAAAAAAAGGCTTTCACCAGCCTTTTCTCTCGTGAGACATCCTGTCTTCTGAGCGGTTTGTCATGGTAGAGGAGAAGGAAATGAGAAAAGAAGAATGAGAGCCGAGGGTGGAGAAGGCAGGCACCCAGGGGCATCAGGGCTAGCCCTTCCCACAAAATACTTTCAGCTCTTCAGTCCCTTGAATAGCATACATGAAAATGATCTTGGAGATAATCCTAACTCCAAGGCAGCGCCCACAATTCCCATTCTCCCCGTTCTATCCTCACAACAGCCCTGCGAGGTAGGGCAGCTGCGTGTCCAAGCCTGGAGAATCTAATCCCTACTTCGAGTAGACGCCGAGCAGAAGGAGATCGCGTTCTGGGGCCAGGTGCACAGTGCAGGAGCGGCACCTCTTCCCCTTCGTACGTCTATGGAACGCCTCTGCAAGGCCGGCCACTACTAAAATGGCGGAGGGCTGCACTCCCTGTAATGGAGCCATGAACAAGATGGCGCCTGTGTCGTCACTTCCCTCCCTCCCCTCCCGAGCATGAGGCACTTCCTTGCCTCTCCTAAGATGGCCGCCATAAGGGGAGGCACGGTCCTTTCCTCACCTTCTTCCCCGGAAGGTCCGTCCGCTTGGCAGTGTCGACGTGCTGCTCGCAGGCGGAACGTTTCTCCCGTGCCACCTGACCCGGCCCGTGCAATCAGGGGTGCACAGCGGGCTTGGCAGCGCCTCGCTTGCTGCTTCCCCACCTCGGGACCCCGCCCGCTCTGCCCCTCCTGCCCCCAGTGCCCCCTGCTGGGCCAGGTCTGGTGGCCTGCCCAGGAATGCCCCCCCGCCATCCCCCCGGTCCTGATCCAGAGGAGCAGCCTGGGGTGCCATCCCCGCGGATCGGGCCCTTGACTGCCCCAATCGCCTCCGCCGGACTCGGCTTCCCCGCTCGCTCGGGAGCCTTGCACTGGCTGGACGAGGCTTCTGAGTGCGGGGACCGGGTGAGCCTCCCCCAGCCAGCGAGGGCAGCGATTCCGCGTGCCAGGCTGGGGCCGGAGCTGTGGCGATCCGGCTTCTACTGCCTGCCTGGCCATGCAGCTCACCAACTGACATTGGGCCAGGCACAGAGTCTTGACCTGTCCTACCCCGCAGGGTTGTTGTTGTGAGCATCAAATTGGGCCAAGCATTGCGCCAACCACCTTGAGTTCCTTACAAGAGGAAAAGGCATGGTACACATGGAGTATACACGAGCCTGTGTCTGCAAAAGTTCTGCACCTCTCCTAATGGTGATCAATAATAAAATAGTAGCCTTTTTAGAGGCTTCAAGGTCCAATAGCTATTGAGAAGACACGCCTTCCACTCAGTATCCCCCGCTTTCTGCAACAGCGCTGCAGATGCATTTGCACACTCAATGCAGGGCTTGTCTTGTTGGTCCCCAACCTTTGCTCTGGTATTTCATTCTGTTTTTCTCCCACCATTTTAATGTATCATTGCTTTTAAGTGTGATTTTATTGTGCACGGCTGGATGCTTTGCCATTTCATCAGTCCTTGTTGTAAAGCGCTAGTAATGGGGCAGGGCATAAAAGCTGACTCGTGACACCGGGCCTGTGTTGCGTAGTCCACAGGGTGGGCTGCAGTGGGCAACGAAAGGGAAGGGCAGGAAGGCCCCTTCCTAGAACATGTCACAGAGCTGATGCGGCAAAGTCAACACAATAGGAGCCCGGCAGGTGAGAGCAGGAAAATGAGGAGGGGTTCAGAATCAGCAAAGCGTAGCACACAGGGAATCCGCACTTTACAGCAGGGGGATGAGTCTTAAATCACGAGGTGACATTAACTAACAAGGGGCCATCCAGCCCCAAAGATATATTACAAGTTCAATAAATAAAAGCTTATTTGAAAAGGAAATGTTCAGCAACATTGAATTTACAATTTGTTCGGAGGAGTCACCCCTGCCCCACGTCTGCCAAAGGCCACCCAAGCTCACAGTGTGAAGGTATACAACTCTGCAGGCTCAGTGACGGTTCGTGCAGTGGCTCTCAGATATAGGGGCAAAGGCAGGACATCCCTGAGAATGACAGAACCTGATGCCAAGGGCACGGCCCTCTAATCTCATGAAGCTCGGCCTTTCCAGTGAAGCTCTAGTTACACCAGCTCAGACCACATCCTTACGTCCTACGTGGGCCTTTGTTTTTCTGGGTGGCTCCAAGGTGAGCAAGTTCATAGCTCATTTTAGGACTCACCAGAAAACCTCACACCATGATTCAATACTAATTTCTAGAGATACAGTGGCACACATCGGATGGACCGACAGAGCAGCTCCCATTCAAATTTTAGATACGGTCCTGTTTTTCAGTCGGACAAGTTTTGTTTCAGCGACGGCTGAAGATTTTCACCCCAGACAGAATGACATGAGAAGCTGCAAAAATAACCACCGAGGAAAAATCGGCTCCAAAACTGGCTCNGGGGGGGCATGGCTCTTTTAAAATGAATGCAATGTGCCCCCCCCCCCACAGTACTGGTGGTTCCTGAAGCACTTCTGGACAACCCTTGCTTGCACGTAGATAAAGATGGCAATAGTAGGGAGTGAGCGCTTTACTAAAGGGAGGCTGCCTTAACTCGTCCGTCCTTTTTCTTCTTCTGACACATAGTTTATGCATTTCAGTTCTGGGGTTTGTCCTTGTCTGCTTTGTTTCATTCTGAGGCTAATGAAGAATCAAATGGAAAAAATGCTTCACGGGCTCTTCTCTGCACTGCCCCCTGATCCTGACGCTCGTCTTGATGGCCTAGTGTAACAGCCTCGTGGTGTTCTGACAACAGGAGCTTTTCCTGAATGTTCAGATAAGCATCCACAAGAAGAAATAACTGCTAACAAGCTCAAGCAGTTGTCTTCCTCAGCCAGTGATGGAGCTAAGTGCCTGCCTTGAATTGTGAGCAAGACTCAATGGAAGACAGAGCAAGATCAAGAACTATCACTGACGCAAAAAGTAGGGGCAAAGGAGATAATGAGCAGCCAGCATCGCATAGCTTTTCTGGAGCTGTTCCAAGCTGCCCTGGAGAACAGAGCAGCTCCGTCTGGCCTAAAAAGAAGAAAGCACTTCCTCCCCATTCTGTGGCTCAGGTCTAATTTACTCCTAAATTAGTTGCATAAGGCTCCCCAAGCAAAGCTTTTGAAAAGTACTTTACTTAGTCGAAGAAGAAATCCATACACAGTATTTTCATTAAGCAACAAAAGAAAAATGTAGCACAGTCATCCTTGCTGAAGGCATTTATTTCCAAAAGAGGGACAGGAGAGCTTGCATCTGTCCATCATGAAGTTATGGACTCACTACTCGATTTCTTCTCCAAGTGGAACTGTGAGGGAAAAAAAGTAGGTGCTGCGTCAAGCGTGGAGTGGCTGAACTCGGAAGTTGGGGCATAATTTGACAGCAGGAAACAGCCACAGTATGTGATCAGTCCTCTGGCATTGTTAACATTCCACAAAATGTGTCTGAAATTGGACAAAGCAGAGACTGGCTTGGGACTCACCTTTCTGAGTGCTGCAAAAGCTGGCCCAAAACCAGGCTTGACCTGGGTTCTGCTTTTGATCCACTGCGGAAGCTTGTTGAAAATAGCTTGACGGGCATACCTGTGATCTAAGAGCACAATGCTGGCAAAGTCCTTTTGATGCCGGATTGCTCTTCCTGAAAAAGGGGGACCCAACACTCGAATGCATTTCACGTCCTAATGGTATCCAAGACATAAGGCTATGCAGCAGCATGCCAATTAATCTGAGCTGGGTGACAGCAGGACTCTTACAGTGTAGTTTAACTACTTCCACGTCTTATCTTCCAGTGTGGTCCTCACACTTTGCTACTACTGAGGCACCTGAAATTTCTCTTTCCAAAACTGGGGAGCAGTGACCCTACAGGCTTTTGTTCTATTGTTCAGTCTTCAATACAATTTCAGAGAACAGGTTTAACCAAAGTTGTTCCTACTTAGAACAGATCCATTAAGTAGAATGGGACCCAAGAGAGATTAAGACTCGATGCAAGTCAGTTCACAGGGCGTGGCTGGCCTGCTAGATGTTTCTGGACTGCAACTCCCATCATTCCTCACCGATAACCCTGCTGGCTAGGGCTGATGGGAACTGCAGTTCAACGCAATCGGGAGAGCCGTCTTTTCCCTACGCCAAAGTAGTCCAATATTGTCTCTGGCAGTGCATCTCCTCACCTGATTATCCAGTCACAGGAGGGTCTGAACGTGGAGCTGTCAGCGAAGGCTGCAGTCTACTTAATCCTTTCTTTCCCCTGGTGTTAAGCAGCCATTTCCCAATCTGCCCCCTATCCAGACTGGCTGGACATACAGCTCTTGAGGCTCGGGAAGATGGGAGTTGTAGTCCTAATACATCTGGAGGGCACCAGTTGATGAAGGCTGTTCTGAGAAGACCCCTACAGAAACCCTGAGAAGAATTTTACTGGGCGCGAAAGCAACAGCCTGGAAGAACCAACTGCTTCTTGCAAGCTGCTGCTTTGCCCGGTTGTCTGGAGTGGGGTGGGCAGCTGGCAATGGACAGTGTCGTTTGCTCGAGTCTGTCAGTTCAACCAGCTGCGTGGGGAGGCTGGGTTCAGCGATAGCCGCGCCCAGCCCAGCCTCGTGCTGCTGGTTGCACAGGAGCTGCCCTGCTGAGCAACAAGAGTTACCTCCATATGAAGAGCGTCCAAGCCCTTTCCCCGGCTGCATCCTTACCTATGGACTGGTTGACGGCTTTCATGCACAAGTTCTCAATGAGCTGCCTGGCTGGGGCTTGGTCTGCTGTTTTTGGCTGGAGGAGAGAGGGCAAGACAGCAGGAGGGGGTGAATGATTAAGTCACGTTTGAAGTTTCAGTTTCCCACTAGCTGGTCAACCTGCCCTTTAAGCCAGCCAGCCCCAGCCTGGTGCCCTTGTATAGTAAACATGGCCAGTGGTCAGGAATGCTGGAAGTGCAGTCCAAAACAGTGGGGGCAGCTGCAGCAACTGCACCGAGGGGCGCTCCCCACAATGCACACGCCTCTGGAATGGCTGAACTGGCAGACTCAAGTAGTGCTGAATCCTATCCTTGAATAGACTGTTTACTTCACAAGCCACCTGCAAAGTTCCACATTCCACGAACCCCCTCTCAGTACCTAGATTACTCAGTAACTGTTACCTCTCAAAGCCTGGATCCTGCTTGGGACAGCCTCTTTCTAGCATCAAGTTGTTCTCCCATAAGAATATGGAGAACACCACTTCTCCCACTTACAAAGGCGAGTGAAGCACCACTGTGAAATACTTTCCAGTTAAAGGGCACAAGTTTGATTTTATAATTTGGGTGGTTACTGGGGATAGATCTTTACCCAGAACAACAAAACAGGCCCAGGCTCTGGAGAGAGCAATCTTTATCACTGAATTGTGCCCTCGCAAAGCACAAGCACAATGCAGCGTGAACAGAAGCCAGCCTTAGGAGGGTGAAAATATAATTACCATTGTCCTGTCAAGGTAAGCCATTTTCTCCTGAAGTTCTGGAGATTTGATGTTGGGGTAAGGCATGCCCACCATAATCACACACCTGGGGAGGGGAGGAAAAGAGATCAAAAAGCTATGCCACCCGCAGGTATTTCATATGCTTTTATAAATGCACATTAGGATGTCCAACTTAGACATGTTTCCATCCTCAGGTGTATTACTAGGCTTGTGTCTCACTCAGGCACATTAGAAGCAGGCCTATATACCTCCCTCCAGGAATCAGGAGCACAGGATAATCAGGAGAAATCCAAACAAAACTTAAAAGGAATTTGGGAAGCCAACTCCATGTGTATATGTGATGTTGGGGAGAGGCAGAGATTGTTATCCAGCGCATTAATTGTCCCCTGAATGTGTGGCAGAAGCTTTCAGCTGAAGGGCCAAATCCTCTTTGGGGAAAGCAAAACCATTGTGGGCTGGATTTGTGTGAGTGGGGCAAAGGCGAAAAGGGGCAAAAGATGAGCATATGCTAACTAGCGTTTGCTGCCAGTATCTAGGCTTCAGAGGAAACAGTTCAATCTTTTACACAGGGAAAAATGCACAAAAGCCAGGAAACTGCCAAGTGACCGATGGCCAGGGGAAAGATGCTCTGCTGCACTAGAGGCACTCAAGATGCAACTGGACAGCCATCTGAGAGGGATGCTTTAACTTGGAGTCCTGCACTGAGCTGGAGGTTGGACCTGGTGGTCCTCTGGACTCTTCCAGCTCTGCTAGTCTATGATTCTATGCTGCACCCCTGCAGTACAAACCCAGCGCCTCTTTCCAGATCAATTCTGGCCACCTTCAAACCACAAGAAACCCTTTCAATTTAAGATGCACATGCTGTCTTAGCAGCTGTGGGGACCACTAAGGGTTGGCTTAAGGCTCAGCAAAGAAGGCATCCTTCCCTGCATCCAGGGTCCACAGCTCTTCAGGCTGTACGTTTCCCATTACTCCACATCTTTGTGACCCCCCGCTAGGGTAAAAAAAAAAAAAATTGAAGCTGCGTAACTTCAATGAAGTGGATGGCATTAGAATTGCACACCTCCTGATCTGTCAATCAGTTACCTTCCCAGGTCATCGGAAAAATTGATTCCTTCGCTCATCTTCCCACCAACTACGGAAAACAGCACTGCTCCCGTTGTGGGACCTCCTGTGTGGCTGCAGCGCTGCATGAAAGAAAGCCCACGGGGAGTGGTGAGGAGCCGCACATCTGGAGCCAAGCCACGGGATGGTGGCTCTGCTCTGCTCCTTTCCCAGGAGCTTGGCAGGCTGCCGGTCCTCCCTTGCTTACCTTGATCCACTTGGCGTATTCGCCCAGCACCTGCTCCACTTGGTTAGCTCTCTTTGGCTCCTGAAATATCTGTGGAAAGCACAACGCACTGCTTGCTGTAAAGAGCTGAACATTCAAACATGCATACAAGTTTCCAGTAATATGAAGGCTGCCCCCTGACGGGTTTCCACAGGTTCCCTAGTGCAGAAGCCACACAGCTCTGAAGGTCTGAGTATGGGCATCTTCAGTTCATTAAGTGGCTACTACGGTGGGCCACGGTCAATCAGTAACCCTAATTTCCCAGAAGGCTAACAAGGCTAAACAGCCTGCCCACAAGCCGAGGTGCCGGGAGGGGGGTGCTGAGCTCCAAAGCACAGAACCGCTCTGTGTCTTGGAGAGAACCCAATTAAAGATGGTGCTGGAGGGCAGCTCTTGGGTTTGCAGCCAGCCAGCCTGCCACTGATGCATGCATCTTAATTAAGACCTTGAGAAATAACATGAAAATCAGGAGAGGCAGGAAGACTGGCAGACGCTGACAGCCGTGTTTGTGGGTGCACTGAAGCTCATGGGCACCTTGTTGGAGACCCCAGAGGCACAGCATCCAGAGAAGAGTGCCTCTTTATTTTTTTAGTTCCTATAAATGGGAAACGAAGTTCAAATCCCTGCTCGGTCATGCCACTCATTTGGGCAAAGCCACTTTCTCAGCCAGACCTGCATCACAGGGCTGTTATGAGGTTAAATGGCTGCTTTGGGAAAGAGGATGCAAATTTAATCTCTCACAAACACACCTGGGTTCTGTCACAAAATAGAGCCCAGAATGGGAAGCGCAGGCTTTGGCCATCCGGTCTACGGAAGCTGCAGCAGCCCAGTTCCAGGCTGCCTCACACAGCTTCACTGTTGTGAGATCTCCCACTCTAGAGATATTCAAAAAGAGACTGGACAGCCTTCTGAGTGGTATAAATTGGTGTCCTGCAACAGCAGGGGGATGGCCTTCTTGGCCCCTTCCAGCTCTACTATTCTACGATTCTACGATTCCTCCTCCCCAAACTGTACAACAAGAAACCATGGAACAGCATTTAATCCAGCTGCAATCTGAGTGCAGTGGTCGGTCACGCAGCAAGTATCTGTTATTCATTATTTGGTGAGGAGTTACCATATAAACAGCCTCTCTGCTTCACTGTGCAGGTAATGAGAACAACTCAAGGACAGAGCAAGAAAACCAGGACTGAGAGTTGTAATTAGCCAATAATTGGCAGATTTGGGAGCAGCTGGCTTCCCTCAACAAGCACCAAAGGGCCTTGGGCTTTGGAATTACCTTCTTCTTCGCAGCCAGTTGGGTGAGCAGCCCTGTTTTCTCCCAGTGCATGTACACCTGCTTCTCATATTCATAGGAGGGGAAGAAGCACACCACTCCCCCAGGGACAATGTTGCACAGGTTGCAAAGAATCCGTCCCGTCTCGTCCATCTGAAAAGAGAGACCGTGGCCACCGCAGTGCTTCAGGCACTGCAGCCATAGCTAAAGCCTCAGCTCCAAAGAACACAGGCTTCCTGTTGCCTCCTCTTCGCCAGCCCACAACATGCAACTTCCTCATGATGCCCGTGAGCCAGGATGTCCAAGCGCTTCATCCTCCTGGACATCCCCTCAGCCTAGGAAAAAGGAGCTGCAGTGCCCACTATCCCTGACTGTGGGTTGGGGCGGCTTTTCTCCTGAGGGAGCAGCAACTGGGACGACTTGTGGGGCAGCCCCATAGGTGGAGCCTTTGCATGAGATGCGGCAGGAGGGGGAGAGGCAGTGGAGGAGATAAACAAGAAGAACGGAGCCGAGCCTTAAAATCCAAGTGGCACAGCTGTGGTGGGGCTGCCAGGCCCAGGAAAGGCTGGGGCCAGTAGAGGAAGGAGGTGGTCATCCTTATTTCCTGCAGAGCAGGAGCGCCAAAATACTTCCAGCCCAAAGGCTGCATAGCTTTTTGGAGAGCTCATAGGGAATCAAATCTGTTGGACGGCAACCTGCCAGCATCCCCGGCCCACAGTCCGGGACAGTGGGAGCTGCAGCTCCTTTCCCAAGGCTGAAAAAGGGTGCATCTTTTCATGGGGGTGAATTTGTAGAAACTGCATTGTCTGTGCTGGGAAAAGCCAGCGTAGCAACTTAGTCTGTAATATTTGATCCACTCAGTTGGATCCAGGATCTGCCTCCTGTTGTGGGAAGGGCTCTGCTCACAGAAGGTGCCACCATGCGATTTTGGAGGAACCTCCCTTCTGGCACCACTCACCTGGGTCACTCAGCAGGGTCTCCCAGTCCTCTGGTAGCATTTTGCAGAGGCTGGAGGAATCGGGAAACTCAAGCTCTGCCAGCCCACTTCCGCATGCCTAAACCTGGATCAAACCCCATGCAAAGAGGCATTTTGCTCCTTGCAGTTATCTATCCTTACAGTTTTCACCAGAAAACAATGCAAACAGACACAGGTTTCAAATAGAAAGGATGAAGGCAAGCCAAAAGACAGTCGACAAAACTTTTCTGAACCACAGTCCTGATTCTCTCCATACAGAACCACTGCCAGTCCATGGCAACAAGCTACAGTCCTCGCCAACCAAATTCAGATTTTGTCTCCCATACTGAGTTTGAAACATGATGCCGATTTGCTTGCGAAGGCAACGTGACGGGCAAATACTGACCATTTGAGGCAGCCCTCTTTTCTCATAGGTGAATTCCAGCTGCTGACTGGATGGGCCACTGCAGAGGATAATGGGTAAAATGTTCTCTGGAGGAATCACATGACCTGTCAACACATAACAAGAAAGGAATGAGAGGCAGGGAAGCTGACCAGCCGCCCTTCTTCAGGCCGTTCACAAGCAAAGCCACGCTGGCCGAAACCTCCAGGCAGCGGGTTTCAATGGCCGAGCAAAGAGAAAGGGAACAGATTCACCCAAGGATTTACGCTTTAGCAACTGGGAAAGAAGCTGCAGGCCGATGATGACTCTTTGAATCAGGGGCAAGACAAGCAAATTGGAACCTCCCGTTTGAGCGGACTGGTTTTCCCAGTTGTTTAAAAACTGCAAGAAAAAAGTCTCTGCCAGGTCTAATCCTGTACTAATCACTCCTCTGTGTTTCTCGCCTGTAAAATAAGAGTATCAGGCTGAAGCCTTTGACTGGGGTCTTTGTGCTACTCTGTCCAAATTACAGAACAGTAATTACTTGGTATTAACTTTGCAGCAACACAGAAGTAGGTCTGCATTTGCATGCACTGGCTGGTGGGGGGGGGGGAGCAGAGTCACTGGCTTTGCGCCAAGTTCCCAGTCACTTGACCCTGGCTGGAGGACCTCTGGATTTTAGAGCACAACACGGAGCTGAACTCACTCTGAAGTAAAGAATCAGAGGAATGCAGAGGTAATTAAGTTTTCTACCTTGGTTTGCAGAAAAATGCAATTCCCTTGAAGGGGGAGCCCTGGTCCATGGAATGTCAACACAGCAGCCTTTGGCAGCTGAGGCCGGCCAAGCATTCTGATGTGAAGTGCAGCCAGAGGTAAAAGGACTCCCTGCTGGCTGCAGCATTTGGGCGGCGAGAAATGGAGCAGGAAAAGCTTCGTCATACCTAGTGCCGCAGCAAACAGAGCTCACCCAAGTGCCGTGATGTGGGGCGAAATAGACCCTCCTCCTCCACCCTGCCAAACTCACCACAGGAGAACTCCTCGATCCTGTCTGTGCCGACACCTGCACACAAGAGCAGCTGTTCCCGGAAATCGGCCACCTGCAGCACAGCAACGGCAGGTGGGTTTGAGAAATAGCTGCCACCAAAACTAGGTGTGCCCCGATCATCACCAGGCTCCCTGCATTTGTACCATAACTGTCTTCTGCTTGCAAGGACCCAAGTCCTCTTCAACAACAGCCCTGTGAGGCAGGTTGGGCTGAGAGTCTGTGACTGGCTAAAGTCACCCAGTGAGCTCCAAGCAGGGACTAGCACCCGGATCTCCTGAATCCCAGCCCAGCATTTGAACCACCAAGCTGCACTGGCTCTCAGCATTTGCTTAAAAAAAGGCAAAGCCTGAGCAAAGGGGTGGCATCCAAGGACGCCGTCCCGCTGGTGTTAACGATGTTCCACTACTGGAAACGAACACACATGCAGCTGGACATGGGGAATGACAGGACGGGCCGTCTCCACCCTTCCTTCCCCCTGCAGGCCACAAATCCACTCTGGTGTGATGGAGTAAAGGCTGAGAGGGAAACGGGGGAAGCCACCCCACCCATGGTGGCTCCTCCCATTGGAAGAGCCCCATCAGATGCCACCCCATAGACTGCAGACCTCCCACCAAAACACCGTGTCGCCTGCGAAGGATGAGCCGTGGCCCCTCCAAGTAATGCCTGTGTGAATGAAAACTCGTCACACCATCTCCTATTTCCATAATTTATCCGTACAGAGAGGAATATGGAGCCACACAAGGCAATGACACCTTGCCCTCCAGACACTTTTTTCTGCAAGCCTCTGGGTTTCAGTGATGCTAACATGCTGTCAACAACATCTGGGTAACCTTATAAACTAAACACTTTTATTTATAGATGTATATTTTTAAAGCGAAGACTTCCAACAGCCAATACCATAATTTCTGGCTTCCATGCAGAACTGCAGCAAACAAACACAAGCCATGCAACGGGAAGGCAGCAAAGGTGAGAAAAGAGGGAATTGCACACCGAAGATGGACAAGAGCTGACATACAGTGCCGCCTTCCCTGGGCCTCGTGACCTCTAGATCTGCTGGTCTTCAACCCTGGGCCAGTGGGGCTTCCAGGAACTGCAGACCAAAACCAGTTGGAGAAGGTTGGGCTAATGTAAGGAAAACCACATGGTCTGTGAACAATTGAAAATGTGGTTCTGGACTTCACCCCTCAGAGTTCCCACACTCTCAGCTGAAAGATGGCAACAAGGGCATGAACCACATTGCACAGGTGTGAGGAGGAGGGAGATAAGTAAATGACTGTATACTCCCACACCCTGACTGATTGTGGGGAGGCATTATTGATCAAAGCACAAACCACAGCAAAGAAGAGAGGGTGATGGGGAAAGGCAACCAAGCAGGGAGCTCAAGAACTTCCCAGGCCTTAGCAAAGAGCCCTGACATGCAAAGCTCACCCATTCTGGTGAGACTCACAACAGCACAGCTGTCTCTCCTACCATTACAGCACCAGAGTCCGCTAACTGGGGAAAGCCAAGCCATTCCACATGGCTGTGCAGATGAATCCCGACAGCAGCATGCCATGGACCCCACACAGCACACGTGGAAGACCAAGACGGGGCGCCCAGCAATGACACTGATGGAATTGCTAAGTGGCAGCAGAAGCAACCCAAGCCCAGCGCAAGTTGCTCCTTTGCCAATGTCAGAAATGCAACACAGCTCTTTGCGTTCCGTGGAACTGGCTGTTCCAGATGGCGCAACTCCACCTTGACCCCCCCACCACCACTGATGCCACTAAATAAAGAGCAGTGGCGCCATCATGTGGTCCTACCTCAGCACAGTTCTTGTTTTAGGGCCAACGGCTTCTCTTCACCCAGTCTCGCTTTTGGCTTTAAGGAGCATCAGCTGCAAAGCAGGTTGCCTCCCTTCCTAGGATTTGCTTAGGGCAGTGAGGCTGGGGCAGCGACAGCCCCCTGGTGCAGCTGAACTATGGTGGCTGAGCTTTGATACAGTGGTGGACCAAAGAGTGCCTGCTTTGTGTGCAGGAGCTCCCAGGGCCAATCCCTGGCAGCTCCACATAAGGTAGGAAAAATCCCACCTGAAACCTGGCAGATCCCCTGCCGGCCCGTGTCAGTAATACTGAGCTAGACAGGTCTGTGTGTGACTCAGTTTAGACAACTCTTGGCTTTTTACGGAAACCTCAGTTATTGAGACATTGGTATCACCATGGCTTGTTAGTCACAAACAACCCATGAAAAGAGTCCATGGTTTGTTCTTGAGTTGTACATTGTGGCTTGTTCACTGTGGTTAGTTATCTTTGGCAGGATTCAGACAGCACAAGAAACCATGTTTCAACAATGATTCAACAAGAACACTAAACTTTTGAACATGGGTTATGCTGCTGTCTGAACTCTGTATAACTCCCATTTTCCCTGCCCATTGTTCATGCTGGGGCTTATGGGAGTTGGAGTCCAACAGATTTCTCAAAATTTGCACAAATTGTAGAGCAGAGGCCAGGATTCTGCACAAATCTGGAATTAACTGTCAAAAAATTCAAGGGAGTCAAGGTGGAGTTTGCATATACCCAGCCTGAGGAAGATGCTTCCATCCTTCTCATGTTAAATGATACAATAATTCAGCTCCAATATGAATAATTTGCACATATTTACACAATTTGCAGAAATTACACTACCAGCTCCAAATTTGTGCATATTTTGAGCAATTTCACAGCAGCCTAATCTTGCTCCTCCCACTCAGCCTGCCATCAGGTTGGAAATGTGTTCAAAGTCCCTCAAACTCAAATGGAACAAGTTTCCAGTGACACACATCCCTACTCTCAGACTAGTCTACCTCACAGAGTTGTTAAAAGGATAAAATTTGGAGGAGGAAGACCATGTGTACCACCTTGGGCTCCTCAGAGAAAAAAGTGAGATGAATGAGACATTCAAATAAATGAATCAGCAAGCAAGCAATTGCCACATGGACTACATGATGCTTAGGAATATCCAGAAGCCCTCACCGGATGCATGGTGCCCCCTGCAATGATCACAGCCCGACACTCCTGGAGCACCTTGGCAAAGTACACCGCCGGATTCAGCAGAAGAAACTTGAGGCTGCTTTGAGCCAAAGTGCCTGGAAAAGGGATAAATGGCAATGTAACACTTCAAGAGCACCAACAGACAGTTTGATCACTGCCTGCATTACAAGAACACTTCCCCGCCATCTTGCTGCTGATTCCAATCGCACCAGTTCTGAGGGTGGGCAGCACACTTTGAGCTAAACGAGGGGAAAATGTCTCGGGAACTGAGATGCCAAATGAATCAATGGCACAAGCACTGCCTGCTCGCATTGGCTGGCACGTGTCATGTCACTTCACTGCTTTAAGGCAGGGCTCCCCAACCTGCGGCTGCACCAAACTGCTACTTGCACCATCCCCAGCCAGAATGGCCAGTGGCCATACTGAGTGTGAGTCGATAGGAATTGTGCTCCAACACATGTGAAGAGCACCCGACTGGGAAAGGCGGCATTAGAGCGTCTTTGCAGCAACTACACGTGTTGTAAGTGAATAATTTCTGTCCATGCTGCTTTTTAAAACAAAAGGCATCAGCCACTAAAATAAGAATGGCCTTTCACCCTTCGACTCCTGGAGAACCCCCTCATCTGAACAATTATTTATTAATTTTCTATGTCATCCAGTAGCCCAAGGGTGGTTCACAACAATTAACCCCATGAGGTACAACTTAACACTTTCAGAAATTTACCACTATAGGATGAGATCAAAATCAAACCCAAGGATCTAAAGGATTTAAGGATCTAAAAATACCGTAACAGATTTAAATGACTAAAAATTGAACTAAAACCCCCAGGAGAATAAGAAGTTCTTCATCTGTCACCCAAACAACTACAATGTAGGCACCGAGTGAGCTTCTCTGGGGAGGGCATTCCCTGAACCAAGGAGCCACCACTGCAGAGGCCCTCCCTTCAGTAGCTGCCTGCCCTGCCTGACTTGGCAGGGGTAGCTAGAAGAGGCGTCTCTGGGGATCTTAAGGAGGGGCTACCCCATTAGCAGTAGTAGCAGAGAGGGATCCAACAGTATGTAATTGTGCATCCCACCACAATTGCACACGGTACCTTGCCTGGTGAAGATGACCCTTCCATCTTGGTTTGCATTTGTAAGCGCAGCTAAGAACCCCTCAATCTGCATCAGAGGAGATGCCATCCTGGGCTGGTCATCTTCAGCAACTTCAGGGGAACTCTGTGGACTGCCTGTGGACCAAAAGACAACTGAGCTGGAGAACTTCAGCTGCTGAACACTCTCTGGGGCTGCAGCTCCAAGAAGGGAGCAAGTTCAGAAGACCATTTCCCTTCATGCCATGTTCAAAAGTTCTTATTAGGTCACAGAACATAGAAGCAAAACTGAATCTACGTTCTCATCCATGTAACTTTCATTTAAATTGCAGAACAATTTAAAGGGAAAAGTGGTGATTTAAGCCTTGCATGTTAAAAAAATGCTCACAACTACATCAAAACAATTCTTTTAGGTAGAAAAATCAAGTTGTGTTCTTTATTAAGTGATTCTTCAAGAGAAAGTACAGTAAACAACACTTTAGCCAGCAGGAATATAATACATTCACCCTGATCCAACAAACCTCCTGGAACAGCTTACATTTAATCCATAAAACAAGACCATTCTTGCCCACAGACTTATGATACAAAAAGATACACCATACAATGCAGAACGAATGGGGAAGGAGAAAGAAATAGATTCTTTCAGCCAGGGTCCAGTTTCTCCCTCGGTACAGCCAATAAAGTGGCTGCACACAAAAGTACCCTACTGAAAAGTCACTGTTTGGGCAATTACCATCCATTTTATCTATTTTATTTTATTTATTATTGACTCTTGCAGCCCATCTCCTTCCACCTTGAAACTCTCCATAAAGACCAGTTCACAGACACACTCACCCTCCTTCCCTTGCCTCTTGCTCAAGATTTGCAGGAAATTCTGCAAGCCAGCCATTTTCGTGTCTTCTTTCCTTGTTTTCAAAGCCCCCGATGCACCATATCGCTCCACAAATCCAAACAGCTGCCAAAAGTAAAGAGACCAGAAGCAGTATTAGACACTGCCCATAAACCAAATCTCTGCTCATGGATCCTTCCTGGGAAATCCACATGATTTCCCATGGCAGAAAACAACTTCACTCAAAGTCAAACTGCATTCTTCTGCAATTGCGATATTTACGCAGCCAGACAGCTTTCAACCGTCAGTCCTCTATAGCAAAAACAGAGGGTGGAACACATCCTAGGAGAAGACATTAATTCCTTCATTCATTTTAACTTGTATGCCACCTCATTAGCTATCAGCTCTCTGGGCAGCTCACAACATGATTAAAACAATACAACTGGTCATAACATGCCATCCTCGTAGGAGAAAGTCCTTCATTTCCGAGCATGCCCAGCTAGCCAGTCCAGCATGCAGAGAGTTGTAGGCCTTTACTCGCTCTAAACATATTTAGGATCCACAGCTAAGGCATAAAAGGTAAGCACTTGCTCAGTAAATTAGACTTTTAATTGCTGAGCAAGGGAATAAAATTGTTCATCTGCCCAGGAAACATTCCCCTAAATTGACTTTTGCCTTTAGTAATGGCATCATATTCCTCATATTAGTCCATGAAGCACTGCCTTCCTTCTCATTCAGTTGACTTGCCCTTGGCAATATCCACATACAGTCAAAAGGGATTGGTTACACAGCACCATGACATTTTCATATACTTAATGTATTCTAATTGGTCAGAATTATTCTAGAAAGGAGATAGAGGTTCTAACCAAGACATACATGATATTAAAACAGCAGATCAGGCAACAAAAGGCAAGAAACAGAATTTTTAACAACAGTATTGGTATTATTAGTTTTCAAGAAAATATCCTACCCCCAACATAGTAATTTAACCCTAAAAATAGGATCAGGTAGCCCTTCAAGGGCAGCCCTCAAATTGTATGCACCCAAAGCATGAGAGTGTCTACTACAGAACAATATATAAAACAATAAATAAATAAAGCTATGCATATATTTGGTGATTGTCAGGTGAAGCAGCAGGATTCAGCACCTTGATCATAGCAAATTTTCCATTTCAAGAACATAAAACAACACAAAAAAATCCAACCTGGCGAACTACAAGAGATGAGCTTGAGAATACAGTGAAAATATTTGGCAACCTGTGGAAAGATGGAATCCATGCAAACACAGAGCAGGAAGTCAGTGTTTCATCGCTACCTTCCTGCCTCCTTGAAGAAGCAACTTCCTTGCATCTTGCCTTACAGAATTTTCCTCTGTTCTCAGACATTTGGCAGCATAGGACAGAGTTTTAATCAGATTTTCCTTATTGTTGTGCGTGCGTATGTGCGCGCGCACACACACACACACACTCTCTCTCTCTGTTTCTATGTCTCCATGTAAGGGATTTTATGCCATCTATTATAAGGGGTTTTATGCCATCTATTATACTGCATTTTTAAGGTTTTTAATTTATGTACTTTATGTAAACTGCTCAGAGAGCTTTACCTATCAGATGGTCAAGAAATGTAAAAAACAAAATGAAATCTTGGAACAATACCTTCCTGCCAATGAGGCTTTTCTCACAATAACGCTGAACCTGTTGGAGGGAGAAAGAACACACAACCAAAGATTCTTAACAAACCCAACACTCAACAGTTTTAGCATCTCATCCGTGATTTTAACCTTAGGGCTGCAATTTTAGGAGGTAAGTAGAAGCCTTCCAAGGATTCCTTACCCTATTCCATGGATGTTCCTTACCTTGAAGACACCCTTCCCCAGCCTACCCGCTCCAGCTGTGTTGGACTACAACCCCCATCATTCCCAACAAATTGTTCATAGCTTGGAAATACAGTGGCAGTTCCTAGGACTTTATAGGAGTCATCACAGGCCGCTCTCATGATTCAGATGCTTTTCTCTCTGCTCAGCCAACTTGCTTTGCTGCATGGCGGTGTCAGTTCCACATCTCGGAGGGCCCTTGGGCAGGGTGCCCTCCATGGGCCCCTCACTCAGAGTCCACCTTCTCACTGCCATCGCCGTCACCCTGTTTCTCATCCTTGCTACCACCTGAGAGGCAGAGAGGCGGCGAGCAGGCAGGTCACAGCCTCTCCTGCTCTCCACCTTCCGCCACCACTGCCTGGACAAGGGTGCAAATGAGCAAGCAGGCTGCACTGCTGAAGTGGAGGAACAATTCCAGGGTCTCATAAATGGACTGCTACTGGGGCAAGTGCCCGAAAAGGCCCGAAAAGGCCTACCCTTGACCCCTGCCCCAGCTCGACTGGTTTTAGTCCTGCCCACTGGAGCTACAGGGAATGAGCCTGCCTCATTGTATGCATGAAAGCCATGCAGATATTCAAAGACTGCTGCCAGGTCTCCCCTTAATCGCGCTCTTTCCCCCAGGATCAGCATCCCGGCTCTTTCAGCTGTCCCCCCGTTCCCCTTTGCAGCCTCCTCACCCTCCTGGCCGCTCTTCTCTGTCCACACTCCAGCCTGTCCTCCAGGTTGCAGCCTGCACCACAACCCCTGATCGGGGCAGGTGTCTTCAGCTCCACACAAAGCCTGCCAGCACAATTCTGCACTTCGACCCAAGCCCCTCAATCCCTTACCTTGAAGAGGTTGATGTTGTCAATCTGGCACTGGAACAGGAAGTCATTGATGGATTTCAGCTGCACCCCTTGGAAAGAGAGAGGAAGCAACATGCTGATTGTCACTCTCCAGGTGCTTCTTCCTCACTCCCATGCTAGGGTCATAAAAAGGTGTCTTGCACTGAGCCAGACTCCTGGCCAATCTCGCCTGGGACTGTGACTGGCAGAGGCAGTTCAGCTCCGCAGGGCTTCAGGCAAGAGTTCCACCTGCTCCACCTGGAGATGCCTGGGACCAAACCTGGCATTTTCTGTTTGCAAAGCAGGTGCTGCAGGCCCTCCCTCTTCAGCCTACCAATGAAATGCTGTCCTTTCACACACTGGAGGGAGTCACACACACAACCTACCCATTTGTGGAACATTCTGTGTATTTGGGTTTTGGTTGACGTTTCCTGTAGGAAACACAGAAGAGGAGTGCTGGAAATCATTAACGAAGGAGCTGTGCTGAATCAAGGCACATTTTGAAACTATGAAGACAAACAGCAAACTTCACGGCATTACTGCAAGACACTCTACATGAGGCTGCCCTTGAAGACGGTTCAGGTACTGCTCTTAACCTATAAAGCCCTACAGACTTTGGAACTGCAATACCTGTCGGAGCACCTCCCCCAGCCCTGACTTACCCAGGCACCACGCTCAACCTCTGGGGCCTTCCTTCGGGTGCGAATCCCTCAAGAGGCTCAGAGGGTGGCAACTAGAGAGAGGGCCTTTTCTGCAGTGGCCCCCATCTTTGGAACAACCTCCCTGCTGTGGGTTACCTGGCGACAAATTTGCCATTTTTTTCAGTGCCAGGTTAAGGCAGCCCTCTTTGTGGAGACCATTCAAGACCACCCCTGGTCATTTAGGGGCCTGACACAATCAGCCTTTCTTTTTGTTCTAGGCTGGGTCTTTTTATTGTCTTTTAATGTTTTCAATGCTACTTTAAATAAATTTTTAATTCTTCCTAATGTTTACATCCATTGCATTTCATTGTTTTTATACTTTGTTGTAAATTGCCCACAGAGTTTCAGACAGTATAGAAATGAAATTAACCATAACCATGTAATAGTAATAACTTGCAATCTGATATATACTTTCTAGACTTTATGTCCCTACAACCATGGGGCTCACCTCTGGGTCATCAGACTTGGGCTTATGATATAAACCAGCCTTTCCCAACCTGGTACCTTGCAGAAGTTTTAGACTTCAATGCCCATCAATCCCAGCCAGGATGGGCGATGGTCAGGAATGCTGGGGGTTGCAGTCCAAAGTATCTGGCAGCTGCCAGGTTGAGGAAGGTGTCTGCAGATGTCCAGCCAGCCAGCAGGTGCCCAAGCGAGGGGCCGCCCTTCCCGCTACTGGACACAGGCTTTCCTCCAGCCCCTCCTGCGAGGGAAAAGTTCTTTCTCGACATTGTATACCCAAGGTTGTACCTCCACTAAACATCTTCTAGGTTGCTTCAAATTGAAATGCTTATTGCATTTGTGCATATTAACATAGTTTTTGACAAGAATTTTGGAAGTGGATTACATTAGGCTGACAGCAAGTTCAGTAAATACTGGAAAGTAAAGCAATTATAAGGGTTCTATCCAAGGCAGAAGGATTCAGCTGCAGATAAATATGCGTAGCAGGGGAAACAGGAATCCCATTGTCATCCATGCTTAATAGCAAAGCTTGGTCCTCCATCTGCTGTGTGTTTTCCCTTAACCCTCTCTTCTTAGGAAGGACTGAGGATGGCGCTAGACACAAGGGAAATGGGCTGGAGGAAGGGGAGGAACAGGGCAGTACCCTGCGTTGAATCCATTCAGTTTCTGTTCCCTCTTTCTGGAATCCATTGCTCTGTTATTGCACAGACGGTACTGCAGAGGCAAGCAGAATGACGACCGCGCCTGCTGCCCTTATAATGACCATGTACCGCAACGCATGATGTGATGGAGAGCCACGCTTCAGGTATGCAAGACTCCACTGGGGAAAAGCAGCAGTGCTGAAAATGAAAATGGCCAGAACCAGTTTGCTACCAAGTGGAATTTAAGAGAATGAAGCACACTTCTTACCTCCAAGAACAGCCACAAACCTCTCCAACAAAAACAGAATCTGTTTAATGTACATCAGATTCTTTGCTTTCAGGCGATTCCTGTGACAGAGGATCAGGCCATCAATCAGACAAACACAAACTGCCTTCCTGGTAGAACACAGTTAAGTCGTGCTCTGGGAAAGAGCTTCTAGGGCACGTGCAGAAAAAGTTATGCTGCTGGGCATGAAGCAAATATTCTCTTAAGTGCATCTCTATGTTAATAAATATTAAAAGATCTATGTTTTATGTAAAATAAAATTTCTAACTTGCATTTTATATATACATTTTATATACATATTTATATTTTATTTATAAACATTTATAGATAGGTAGGTAGATTAAAATACAACTCTAGCTAGATATTCCAGGTATCCTACTAGCTTTGCTGGGGGAGAGGCCAATCAGACTTATTACCAGTAACTCATCGACTTCCTGCTATTAATATTTCGACTAAGATGGTGAGCCAGGAGGCTTCCAATTCCAACCTTGCCGAGACATGAAGACACCAACCACATTTTGATCCAACGGTAAACCATGGTTTGGACTTATCCAGACAAGCAGCCTCCAGACTGGGGTGCTCCTCCCCACCTTCCTACACACAGAAGGAACGGAAAGCAGAAGCTTCCCAGCCTGGTACACAATAAACCCGAGCTTGCACTGTGCCCAAACATGGCAAACTAGGGTTTGCCGGCAAAGCGGACCCCAACCTATAAATGCCCTCACCTGTACCGCTCCATGTATTGCAACAGCTGGGAATGGGCACAGCAGAGCTAAAATGGAAGTAAGATTTAAGAATGTTAGAAGAGCTTTGCTGGGCCAGACATCTGTAGTGCAGCATCTTGTTCCCCACAGTGGCCAGCCAGGCACTAATGAGCCCGTGAGGAGGCCACAGACACCATTCCACCTTCCTGCTTGCGTTCTCAAGTACCTGGTGCGCAGAAGCAAGCTGCCTCCAGCGCAGCAGATGATGCGCCGGACAAGCCCTTCCTCCATTACAATGCTGGCACTTGAGTCCATGTGCTAAAATACCACGCAGAACCAAAAAAGCAGAGACCAAAGCAAAGGCCGCCAAGCATAACTTACCTGAGACCCGCTAACCTGGGCACTGTAGATGCCGGTGATGGTATCAATCAGATTGTGGGCTTCATCAATGATCACCACCTGATCCTTCAGCTTGATCCCAGAGGCGATTCTGGTGGCTTCATGCAGAAGCATTTGGTAAGGGAGCACCACCAGCTGTGGGATGCAAAACAGAGGCTTTCACTACAGGGGAGGTTTCTTGGTCTCGTGTTAGCGGCTGCAGAGCAGATTTGCAGGACAAAAGGGGATTACACATTACAGCTTGATTTGCGAATGGTTCTTCTTTTCAGGTGTGCACGAAGTGGGGAAAATGGGCGTGCAAATGTGCATGTAGCACAGGCCTGCCTTGCTGTCAAGAATGGGTTCCACTCCTGCTGAGTGTGCCAGCAGTGGCAAACCCAGAGTGCTTGCGGTATGATTCATATGTGAAAAGAAAGATGAAGTAGGGAGCTAGGAAAGCCTTCCCTTAGGGAGACAGGGAACTATAAACGGTCAGCACCACTACATGTGTCCCAGGGCCATGCAAACAATTTAAGTTCATCAATCTTCATCTTTTAACAAATAAGTGGATATACAACATCCCTGCCCCTAAAGACAACCTGATCCTTACCCAATAGAAATGGGTAATTCTAATCAGGTAATTCTAATGCTTAAAACATGCAGCCCAAGTGCAGACAGTCAGCTTTAAACCCCCTTTCTCCCCAGTTTCTGGGAAAGGGGTACCATGATTTCTGTGTGTCTTGCTCAGCAGAAGAATTCACAGCTACACAGAACAAACACCAAGCGGCTTGCATTCCATGCTCAAGGGCCATGTCCCTAACACTGGAGCACCAGCCACACACCTGAGCAGCGGGGATCGCGTGCCGGCTTCCGTAATAGGGGCAAGCCTTCATTTCTTTCGCCACTGTCACCAGCTGCTCTATATCCTTCACCTGGGCCAGAACCTCATCCCGAAGAAACTGCATTTGCTCATAGGAGTAATACGGACATGTTGCTCGGCTGACGCGCCTCTTCTTCCCTTCTGTCTCCACTCCAGAGTTCTTCTTCTCTGAAGGTGAAAAAAGTCAGAAATCAGACCTACGTGAGTCAAACAGAAAGAAGCATTTCATATTCGCAGGGCAGTGGAGTCGGCGCAGCAGCACTTCCTGGAGCAGCCTTCCCCAACCCGGCTTCCTGCAGGGGTTTGGGACTGCAGGTATCCTCAGCCCCGGCCAGCATGGCCAGTCACCAGGCATGATGGGAGTTTGGGTCAAAAGATCTGGCAGGACCAGGTTGGGTAAGGCAGTCCTAGAGTGGCATAACCAGAAAAAAGGTCTCTGCTCCCACCACATTTAAATAACTGCCGGGAGAGAGGGAAAAGAACAGAGAGACAAAATATCAAGATTTTATTTCTTGCAGCGTTTCTATCCAACCTATAAGAAATATTCAAAACAGCAAAATATTCAAGATCAGATTTAACACTTAAGAAAGAAGACAGACAGACAGACAGACAGACAGACAGACAGACAGAGCGAGCAGCAGCCCAAAATACCACTTAAGCAAGTAGGACCAGAAAACACTCAGCACAGTAGATCTACTTTTCTTGTTTGTCAAAAGGCAACAATTTTGGGGGGTAGGGTGTTTGATAGACTCCATATCACCATGGAGACATCCTTTCCTCCATTGCCTGTCTACAGTACCCGCAATTACAGTAGAACATCAGCAGATGACCTTAAGGGTCCCAGCAGAATCATACAGAAGATGATTCTTTAAAAGTTCTAGCCCAAGATTGGGTAGGGCTTCTAAAGCACCACACTATCCATCTGAATGAAGCACAAAAATGAACTGGGAACCAGGAGAGCTCCTACTAGACCATATACTTGGCCGAGTCATCTGCTCCAGCCAACACCCTAGCAGTAGCCCTCTAGGCTAATTGATGCTTCCGAAAGTCCTTCAAAGGCAAACCCATCTAAAGCAGACTACAGAAATCCAACCTGGGGGAAAGTAAGCCATGAATTATTACTGAAACCAGGCCACTGCTGCTGCTTCTACAGCTTCATTAGAATCACAGAATAGTAGAGTTGGAAGGGGCCAGAGGGCCAGAGGGTCCAACCCCCTGCTCAGGGCAAAACTCCAGGTTCAACACCCTCTCAGATGGTTTAGGAGCAGAGCTTGCCCCACTGGGTTTGGGGCACAGTGTTTTTATTCTCTCCAGTCAGCTTGCACAGTGGTTCTAGGACATTTATGTGCGCTTTCCACTTTGAGTATCTAATGTTTAAGCCATCTGTAAGCCAGCACAATGTTGGACTTGGACCAGGAAGATTAAGTCCAAAGCCCTGTTTGCCGTGAAATTCTCTTAGCCTATTCTACCTTACAGAGCTGTTGCAAAAATAAAATGAAAGGGAGGCAGACATGTATACATGGCAGCCTAAACTCTTTGGAGGATAGAAAGGATATATGGCTAAATATGTTTACTGTATGTATTATCTTCCGGGAGATAAGAGGCAAAGCAGGGCTATTCTACCAGCCTTGTCACATATTTTTTCCTTCTCCCTCTCTGCCCATTTTCCTTGTGTGTCATGTCTTTTTGGTTTATAAGCCTGTCTTATTTAACTCACTGTACGCAAACCTCTCAGGAAACCTTTTAGTGAGGTGCTAAGGAACAGCATAAACTTTTTGAAATAAAGAATATAATTAACTGCATGCTCATTATCTGCCCATGGATCCCTTGTGTAGCTAAAACAGTAGCATCCATGCCCAAAAGAGAGGCAATCACAAGCTTGGAGTAACTACAAGATCTGAAGAAATGAAACAGTTCTTCAGAGGGGAAAAAACTAAGCAGGAGTGGGGCAGGAGAACCAGTAACAGTCCAACGAGCATCGAACACGCTGGTTAATGAGGAATGCACCACCAGGGAGGTGGCCACATGGGCTGGGGACTATGGATGCATCCTGGAAGAGCACATTCACTGGCTGACATTCTGAACAGGAGCACTCTACTCGACGCTACTCACTTACTTACAAGCCTCAGCCATTAGCCACATGGCTCCCTACAGGGGTTGCAACAATAAAAACCATACAAGAACAATATAAACAGTATAAAAACACCACAATCAATCAAAAACATTAACAACAATAAAAGAGCACCCACCAGAACTCCTGATTTCATAAAAGACATACTCCCTTCAATTAAAATGCCATTAAAAATCAATTTACAATTAAAATACTGGCAAAATAAAAAGGTCTCTGCCTGGCACAAAAAAGTATAAAAATAGCACCAGGCAAACCTCTCTGGGGAGCTCATTCCAAAGTCAGGGTGCCACTCCTGAAAAGGCCCTTCTTGTTGCCACCCTCCTCAGAGGGGCCTCAGATGCTGATCTCAGGGGCTGGGTAGGCTCATAGGGGAAAAGGCGTTCCTTTAGATGCCCTGGCCCCAGTTTTGTTACATGTCCCAGACAGAGGGCTGAACTAACTGCCCAGTGGAACAGAGCCAGCACCCAACCCTTTGTGTTTGCACCATGTCAACCACTGCTGCCATTAAGCCAACCTGAAGTGGCATCATACCATGCTTATTCTTCTGCATCTCCAGACAGCGATCGTTTAAGAGCTGGACAGCTCCCAGGCGCCGGACGTCCTCATTTACACACAGGTTCTGAGACAGCCAAGGAGACAAAACCAGAGGCCAGTTAGAAAAAAGCTGATTTACAGTAAGCTCCATTCTAGCCTCTCAGAACAGTTCTGGGAATGCGCAGGTTGAGGGAGAAATTGCAGAAGATCCTGCCAATGGCCCACAAAGCCATAAATGTTCATAAACACAGTAACTCTAAAGGATGTTCAAGTCTATTGGAAAGTGCACATAAGCGTGATGTTTGCCAATATCTGACTTCTGGTGGATTCCTGACGTTTTTGTTATTGTTCTAGCTCGCATCTAGAAATATACAGTACAAAAGCAGAAGATGCAGCAGTTCTTCACCTTGGAGAGTGGTGAATGCTTGTTTTAACACTCTGCACTGCTACTGCCAACCCTTCGCAAAGCAGCGATTCTAAGAGCAGGACGAGACGTGCAGCACAGCACATCTGGCTCTTTCTTCGTCTCCACACACACTTAGTAAGGGAGCTGCATGATGATGTGACATCACTGCCTCACATACTTCCCCACCAAACATCATTGACTACTGAGCAGGGAGAATCCAGGGCCAAAGATTTCAAATCTTACATTTTCCTTACTGGGCATTACAGGGAAAGAAGGGGAGACCAGAGGCTGGTTTGCCAGCTTGGATGGCCACCTTGGGATTTGCATCGCATCTGCTTCTGTCCAAAGAGATATTTCAGCAGCAAAGCACTGCAACTTTACCTGCCTGGACCCCAAGGACACCAGCCGCGTCTCCTGGCCAAAAGGGCTCTTCTGAACCTCATGCACAAACTGGGCCAGCTGGGAATGCGTTCGGCTGCAGTAGTAAATCTGGGAAAGAGAAACAGAGATGAAATACAGCACAGAAGATAAGTCTGTCAAGGCCTACAGTAGAACATAGAACAGTAGAGCTGAAAGGGGCCAGAAGGCCATCGAGTCCAACCCCCTGCTCAGTGCAGGACACCCAGTTAAACCATCCCTCTCAGATGGCTGTCCAGCTGCATCTCGAATGCCTCCAGTGTGGGAGAGCCCACAACCAACCTAGGTCATCGGTTCCACTGTCGTATTGCTCTAACAGTCAGGAAATTTTCCTGATATCTAGCTGGAACCTGGCTTCCTGTAACTAGAGCCCATTAGTCCTGCATTCTGGGATGACTGAGAAGAGATCCTGGCCTTCCTCTTTGTGACTCTTCCAAGTACTTGAAGAATGCTATCTTATCTCCCCTCGGTATTCTCTTCTCAAGGCTAAGCATACCCAACTCTTTCAATCTCAATTCACAGGACTTTGTTTTCAGTCCCTGGATCATCCTTGTTACCCTCCCCTGAACCCTTTCCAGCTTATCTGCATCCTTCTTAAAACTGTGGTGCCCAGAACTGGACACATTACTCCAGGTGAGGCCTAACCAGTGCAAAATAAAGGGAAACTAGGATTTGAAAATTATACTTCTATTAATGCTGCCTAAAATAGCATTTGCCCTTTTGGCAGCCACATCACACTGTTGACTCATATTCAGGTTGCAATCTACAACAATTCCAAGATCCAGCTTGTAATCTCCAACAATTCCAATCTACAACAATTCCAATTCCAAGTATGCCCCAATACTACATGCTCCCCGCAGTAGCAGAGATGTATGTATGTATTCCAGTTGCTGAGAAACAAGAGTGGCAGGATGTTGGTGCATTCATGTCCTGCTTGCGTGCCTTCCACAAGCAGCTGGTTGGCCACATGTTGTAACAGAACTGCTCACTGGGAATTAAACGGACCCTTGGCCCGATTCAGCATGGCTCTTCTTCCATGTAGTTTCCTTGGCTTTCAGCCCGACTTCCATAGTAGGCTGGAGCAACGAATGTTGCCTCCTAGGTCAGGGTGCAAAGCTGTAATTGGATCCAGCTAGCTCTGCCACGCCTGCCCTGACTGGCCCCAAGAAGCCTTGGCTGGCTTACCTTTACTTCCCAGAGGGCTTTCATACCAGAAAAGTTTGTGTGCTGGAGAGGCAGCATGGGGAGCCGCCACTGTTATGTCCTACTGTGATGACAGATCAGACTTAATGGAGAGGAATCCTATCCCCATGTCATCCCAACCCTGGAATGCCAAGGCAGCAGGGGGCACAAAAGTGACCCAAGCCTCCATGGGCCAGATGTGGAGCCATCATGGACTGGGGCTTCTGCAGCCCTATCCTAGGTGAATGCACTGTCCAAGGGGCTTGTTAAAGTACAGTCTGAGCATCCTTTGAAAAGGACACACGTTTCTTCCCCGCATGGGCTGGATTCAGCAGCTGAGTCTGAGTTGAAGAGTTGGCCAGGATTCTCAATGGAGTTTAACTGATCGTGTGTATATTTTTTTAAAAGATTTAAAAAACAGCCCCTGTTATCAGCCTTTACATTGGTAGGAATAGGACAAGTACAAAACAAAAGAAATAAATGAGCATTTGAGAGAGGACAAAGGGTGATGAATTCTTGCAACTGTATCATGGCATCTCCCACATCTCATTTTGCAAGAGTTCTAGAATAGCTCTTAGAGCCCTACCTTCGTTACATGTTCCTCTTCCACATCTTCATCTTCATCTTCTTCCTTTAACCTAAAGGGTGAAAACAAAAACAGGCTTCCTTTTGATTAGCTCTCTCATGAAGCATGTCTTGGTCATGTGTGGTGCCCAAATCAGCCTTGAGTAAGGAAGCTGTATAGCAAAGCAAACACACAAGCTGAGTCTAAATAGGTTCCTTCCACATTCTGTGCAGACTCAGCACCAACCTGCCAGTATCAACCTCCTGCACCTTTAAGTTGGCATGTGCGGGGGGTGGGGCAGCAGGAAGGGTATGGGAATCCCTCTCAGACCAGGCTGGGTCCCCAGGTGGTCCATTTCAAGACGCTCTGTGCATATTGAAATCAACAGGTCAAACCAATGGCTTTCCCACAATATGCTAACTACAAATCGGGAGGAAGGAGAAGAGAAAAGGAGGGAGATACGCAATAGGGAGCATTCAAATACTGAGCACCTCTGCCTAAAGAAGCCTAGTCTGGGGGAAATCATCAGCTAATTTTGACTGCTGAGCTGCTCCAGTCTTTCTGGAAAACCTCCAAAGACTTAGAAGGATTCCAGTTGCCATGAGCTGCTTCACCCCAGGCTGGAACACCTTATACTCGCATGACCATCCTTACCTACTTCCCGCATTCTTCTCCTCATCACTCTCATACTCTCCAAGGATCAGATCTTCCTCGCTTGGATCCAGAGACCCCAAAGAATCCAACTTGTCCGGACAGGACAAAACATCCTTGCTGAGCTGGAGTAGATGCTCCACCTCCTCCTCTTCGAGCCTCTGAGATAAGCGACATGGAATTGTCACACTCCAAGCAATCATCCCGTGAGGTGGTGCCGACCATCTCTTTTGGTCTAGAGGCACAACTGCACATGACCACCCCGGAGCAAACTGATTGGCCCAATGATATCGGGGAGCGGGGGGAGGGGGTCTCCCTTCCTGTAACATCATTTGGCCCTGCCCTGCCTCTTTTTATTCTCTCTGCACGGAGAGAGGCATGCAGTTTTCTCTGAGACAATAAAGTTGCTCATCCCAACACAGGAATCCTTGTTCCAGTGCACAATCCATTTACCAACCCAGGAGGCAGGCCTTGGCATCGAGACTCTTTTTTTGGTTTGGAAGCTGGACTGCCCCCGAGACTAATTTGGCAAGCCAGGTGCTGCCAAGGGGCTCAGCCCTGCATGCAAATTTTTACCCTCTCCCCTAAGATCATCCATCCACACCCTGTCGACTTTTCCTTTCTTTGTGCCGAAAAAGTTGGACAGAGAAAGAGCCAGGCCTGAAGAGGTTGCTTTTATGAATGGAGTTTTCCCACTGCTAATTTGATATGCGACCGAACTTAACATGCTTCTTGCACTCAGCAAGGTGCACCCCAAAATAAGATATTTTTTTCTATATATGCTTCCTGAATGCTTGCATGCACACTATGGCACCAAGCCAGACATGGAAAACCACCCAAAATGAATGCACAGTCCACTTATGCAGTTCATGAATATCGGAATGGCCAGTAGCACTGAGGACAATAAAAAAGGGATTACGTAAATTCAGAGTATGCAGAGTAAGCTGTGATAGCTAAAAGTTATACCTCCATATTCATGTGATTATAAACAGTTGCAGACATACAAGCAATGCCCTCCTGCCTTGCTTCTAAGCTCTCAAAAGTATCTTGCTGTCCACACTGGAAACAGAATACTGGACTAGATTTGATCTGATCTAAGAAACCAATTCACTGTTGACTACAGCTCTGCATTAGCTTCTAATTTGACCACTTTTGAGCTGGAACCCAGCACTATTATTTGGCGCTTTATGAGATACCCTATCATCCCTGACCGTATCTTATTAATAGAAAGTTTATTTCAAGAGCCCACATTCTACAGATACCATGGCCCTGTAAAATTCCAGCAATTGGAATTTGGACCTTTAAGGACTTCCTCTGGTGTCTGGAGTGGCTCACCTTTCTTTTAGATGCATATCTCAGCTGCACATTGTGGCGAATTTGCTCAAGGCGCTCCTCTCGCTTCTTCCTTCTGATCTGTTCCTCCTAAAAGCCAAATGAGAGTAAGAAAAAGCTCCACCACAGAAGTTCCAAATGGAAATCCACTGCTACTTCAGAAAAGGAGTAGTAAAATATAACTTCTGTGTCCAGGATGCATGTTACGTGAACACTCTGTTTCCACATCTACTGAATTTCAGGCATGTTACACTTATCCCAATTTTAGCCTTTTTCAAATTATAATGTTTCTAATCTCCACTAAGGTGCTAGCTTTTAGAACAGCAGGTGTGATGCAGGCCAAAAGAAAACTGGTTTCTATACATGTAGCAAAGAATCTTTGGAAAACTATCCCAGTAAGTTGTTTTTATTTTGGGGGGGATGAATGAGGGCAGGGTGCTATTGCTTGTGACTTAGATGCTCAAAAACTCCCAAGTCAAGAGGGCTTCAGGTTTACTAGGCCCTGCCAGAGGCAGCAGGAGAAAAGAAGGTGAGCTTCCTCACAATGAACCTTTGGAGAGGGAGAGAAGGAGACTGGAGCAAACCTGGAATAACTCATATCCTGGCATCTCTGGTTTCCTCCTCCCATTGTCCAGTGGGATGCCCCCTTTCCCAAGACTCCAAGGTTGCTTTTCCAACCCTGGAAAGGCAGTCAGCATGGTTCTCTCCATGCCTGCCATGTGGGGGAGGATCTCTGACTTCTACTCAGAGGGATGTATCTTTCCTATGGTTTCTGGGACCCTTGCCCAAGATTGCTCTCTTAGATATTCAACATTCATTAGTGAAATTGTACAGTTCAAAACAAACCAGTGTAAGATTTAGTGCTGGCTTATAGCATCATCAAACACAGCAGGTACTAGCAAATATTTAATAGGGAAAATAATGTTGCATGCATTTTATGCAGATGCTGTTCAGCAAGATGTAATGGTCAGCCTGGAGTGCTGCTCAGCCAGACCATACGAACTGCATTTTACTCACGTCCAAGGAGAGAGACCTCCCTTTTTCAGTCAGTTGCAGGTCTCTGCTAAAACTAAAGGCCGGGTCACCTTGCATTGTAACGCATACCCTGGTTAAGGACATCTCAAGGCCGAGTACCTCCTTTCAGGAAACTTATTCAACAGTAAATTGCCCAGGTGAATTGCCCAGATTCTTTCAGAATCCATCTCAGAGCTGGGAATGATTACCAGACAGTCAGCAGGCAAAAAACAAGAGCATATCTGGAACCTCAACCCAAGCAAATGGGAAGAGCTGAAAGAGATAAGCTCCCCTGGAAAAGGAAGTTGAGGGTCTCTCTCTTTCAGTGTGGTGGCTAGAAGTATGTTATCCAGAAGGCAGAGGTGTCTGATGCCAGCACCAGAGGAGATTGCACCAAAGTTTTGCTCTGATACAGGCACTCAGTGGTAGGTTTCCCCAAAGAGCGGGGGGGGGGGGGTGCATGGAGTAGAGCCCTATCAGAGGCATCACAAGTATTTCACTCTGGAAAGCATAGGCCTTCTGAAGAACTGGTAACCCGTTTGTGCAGGGCCGTGCTAGCTAGATGGCATTTTCTATTTTATGTATCATCTGCCACTGAATTGCCACTTTAAACCACTCTGAAGCTGCTTTGTGCTCTGAAGCTGTTTTCCCAATTTGCCCTTTTCTCTAAATCCTTAATAACTCTTCTTCCCTGGCTCTGTCGTACCAGGCCTAATACCCTTAGCCAGGGTGCCCATACTGCCAGCCATGCAGAGTCTTCCTATTTCACATGAAAAGAGTTTTTCAAGAGATTTTTGAGCAAAGTAAAGTGACTTAATATATGTGTTTTCATTTCAAATACGTTCACCCGACCCTGATGAAAATGCATACAGTGCTAAGCTCGTCATTAAATATCTGATAGTATTCACCACTTGAGCTTTTCTTAGCACTGGCACACCACTGCTCAAGCATTTTGCTGGGACTTGGGGCTGAGAGAGCTCATTTACCTTAGTCCTTCAGTAGTAACTCCCCCATTTTTAGCAGAGTAGAGGAATGATGCCCTCAGTTATGACACATAGCTTTTTAAGTATCATGAAGCAGCTGGGTACCCCTTTCTCCTGGCTTAGTGTTACAAACATACAAGCAGTCCCCTGGTTATGAAAAAGGTCCATTTCTGTGAAAATGAGCAAGTCAAATTTGTATGCAAGTTGGATTACATATGATTGGCCCTCCACATTCACGGAGGTTAGAGGTGCACAACCCACACGAAAGTGGAAAAATCACGAATAACTTGAAGCCCCTCCCCCACCCAAACTTTCTGCAGCAAGGAAATGCCGGAGAGATTTCTCTTTCTGGATGGGCAGGGCAGGAAGGCATGCTCTGGAGGCCCTCCCTCTCTCCCCTTCCTCTTCCTCTCCCTCTATGGTGATGACAATTTTCCACAATTATTTTTTAAAATTAATATGCTTCATAGCAGTTCATTCATAAGTACGGGTTGTTCATAACTCAGATGTTTGTAAATCAGGGACTGCCCATAATTGCATTATTATTCTGCCTTGGACTCGTATTGCTTGCTTCTTCAAAGAGAGAGCCTGCGTAAAAGATGGACAGATAATGCTATATCAAGAGTGGGAACATCTGGCTCTCCAGGGATAGCTACACTGAAGTAACCATCAACCCCTCACCATAGGCTATGCCAGCTAGGGCTGATGGGAGCTGTTGTCCCAAGCATCTGGAGGGCACCAAGTTGCCTATTTCTGGTCATGAAGCAGCCTTCTACCTTCAGCCTCTGAACTGCTTCCCGCTCTTCTTTCTTCTGCACAAACTGTGTTATCCAGTCTGGCTCTCCAGGCTCTGTGCTGGCCTTCTCAAGCTGCTCTTTCCCATCCTTCCCGTTCATTTCAGTTGCCAGGAGCCGGGCCTCCTCCTGCCTTTTTTTCTCTTCAAAGTCTCGAAGCCATGAGAGAGCGCCACAAATAAGACTCAAAGATTTTCCCTAAAATGAAACAGAAGTTTAAAAAGCAGACACTTCCCTTACAGAAACCTAGCAGGACTATTAACATTTAAACACAAAAACAGAACCCCCAAATTCTTTAGAGCACCAATCGTTTCCCACAAGCTGCTTGCTGGCTGACTATGCACATGGGTAGGGGAATTATTTATTTACTTACAAGTATTTTACCCTACTTTTCAGTCAAAAAGGTTCCCAAAGGAGATTACATATTCCCACTAAAATAAAACAGTCCCCACCCATAGGCCTACAACCTGAAAAAGAAAACAAGATGGCTGAAATATATAATATTTCACAGCAAGACTGCTGGAATGGCTGCTTCCCTCTCCAGCTCCTTCAGTGGTGGAGGACCCTTCATGGACGTGGTCTACAACAAGTCTAGTCAGATAGTTTCACTCCCGCCCCCCCCCACACTCTTGGCAAACCAAACAGCAAAACTGCAAGTCACACCACTAGTTCTCCCTACCCTTTGCATCCCTTCATAAAGCAAAGTATTCCTTCCTGCACCTGTGTGCAGGTTACATACACCTTGAAGGGCTGGTAGCAGACAAGCAGGGCATAAGCCCTTCAAATAAAGAACATGTAAATTGACTTACGGTGCCAGTCGGACTCTCAAATATGCCAATCTTTCCCATTTCCAAAACCTGATAAAGTTTAGCCATAAACTCTTTTTGAATAGAATATGGTATATACGGAAATGGAAATGTCATTTGCGCCTTTTCTTGGATTGTCCCAGCCATCTCCTGCAAGGAACAAAGAACAGAATAAAGTATTGTTGTGAATTATCTTACCTCTGATGCATCTAGATTGCATTTCACAGAGGCAGGCTAAAGGGAGATCAGAACAGCTCTGCTGAATTAGCCCAAAGACCCATCCAGAACATTCTGTTCATACAGTGGTCAACCGAGTACCCAAATAAGACTCACAAGAAGCATATGAGTGCCAACAGCACTGCTCTGAAAAAAGATACTGCATGAAGAAAGATAACATGGCATGGATCATCAGCATAGCCCTTGCTCATGTTATCCGCATCATAAGACGTGGAGTAGGTCCAACAGTGACACCAACTGCCCACAAGGCTGAATTCACCCCTCAACCAAATTAGGCCTGTTTTACAGGACCTGCGATGAATGCACCCACAGATGGGCTAAAACCGTATAGCTGTGTGCTCAGTATCCACAGAACAAATTGAACTGGGTCCAAATTATGCAGAATGAGGCTGGCTAAAACACCAAGTCAAGAAGCAACAGTGAGAACTGGACATGGAACCACTGATTGGTTCAAAATTCAGACAGGAGTTCGGCAAGGCTGTATACTGTCGCCCTGCCTATTTAACTTATATGCAGAGCACATCATGAGAAAGGCGGGGCTAGATGAATCACCAGTTGGAATTAAGATTGCTGGGAGAAATATCAACAACCTCAGATATGTCAGATATGCAGATGACACCACTCTAATGGCAGAAAGTGAGGAGGAACTAAAGAGCTTCTTGATGCAGGTGAAGGAGGAGAGTGCAAAAGTTGGCTTGAAACTCAACATTAAGAAAACTAAGATCATGGCATCCGGTCCTCTCACTTCCCGGCAAATGGATGGGAAGAAATGGAGGTAGTGACAGATTTTATTTTTCTGGGCTCCAAGATCACCGCAGACGGGGACTGCAGCCCAGAAATTAAAAGACGCTTGCTCCTGGGGAGGAAAGCTATGGCAAATCTAGACAGCATACTAAAAAGCAGAGACATCACCCTGACAACAAAAGTGCATATAGTCAAGGCTATGGTTTTCCCAGTTGCAATGTACGGCTATGAAAGCTGGACCATAAGGAAGGCTGAGCGCTGAAGAATTGAGGCCTTTCAATTGTGCTGCTGGCAGAGACTCCTGCGAGTCCCTTGGACAGCAAGACGATCAAACCGGTCAGTCCTAGAGGAGATCAATCCTGACTGCTCTTCAGAAGGCCTGATCCTGAAGATGAAACTCAATATTTTGGCCACCGAATGAGAAGGAAGGACTCCCTGGAGAAGAGTCTAATGCTGGGAACAATAGATGGCAAAAGAAGAAGGGGATGGCAGAGGATGAGGTGGCTAGATGGAGTCACTGAAGCAGTTGGTGTGAGCTTAAGTGGACTCTGGGGGATGGTGGAGGACAGGAAGGCCTGGAGGAATGTTGTCCATGGGGTCGCAAAGGGTCGGACACGACTTCGTGACTAACAACAACAAAACACCAAGGGTTATGGGCTGGAGCACTTTACCCTGCCAGTGGAGAAAACTGAATTTGCAAATGCTTTTTCAACATACCACTTCCCCACCCCTGTAGAAAAGTAGCCCATTGGAAAGAAAAACCTGCGATTCTAGTCTTTTTCTAAGTCATTACACCAGTGATCAGCCTACATTACAGTTGCCACAAGCAGTACTGGCAGAAAGACTTCGTCTCCAGGAGACCTCATGGGTCTAACTCTCCATTTATTACACAACTGCCAGTCCCGTACTGGCTCTGAAAAGACAGACAGAACCAGGTAGGTGGGAGGAAGGAAAGAGGATGGAGGGGCTGCAAACATGGCTCACAAAGGAAAGAAAGTGAGAGAAGCTCTTCTCTCTCTCCTCGTATTTTGCATTTGACTTGTAACGCATTTGCCAAAAGGTCATTTCCACACAGATGTGTCCTTCTAGAACAGGGGTCTCAAACTCGTGGCCCGTGGGCCAATTGCTGGGACGGGTGGGGCACGGGGAGGGGCCCTGCGGCCTTCAAAGCGCCGGCGGCGCCCGGGCCGGCTGCGGGATGAGCGGCCCCCCACCACCGCGGTGGTGGGATACTTGATGCGGCCCAGCCTCACCCAGCCTCTACTTCCAGCGGCCCCCAGGTAAGTTGAGTTTGAGACCCCTGTTCAAGAACTAAGGCAGCAAACTTGGACATGCATAAGACAGCACATTAATATCTCGGAGAAAGAGAAGAGGGAGCTGAAAGTCTCTCTCGTTATGTTTAGAACAACTGTGGTTTGAGGCACCTCAGCCCCCAGATAAAATCTAAAAAGCTGAAATGAGGACTACAGAACCTTAGAAGCCGGGCTTACTGAGCAATCCTTCTGCAGGACTGTAGCTCAAGGGCAGAGCACACATTTTGGGTGTTAGAAGACCTCAGGTTTTAGGCTCAGCATCTCCATATATTGCTGGGAAAGACCTTGCTTGAACCCCTGGCCTGCTACTGTCAAAGAGTGCAGGCAATGCTAAGCTAAAGCAATCAATGGTCTGATTCAATAGAAGGTAACTTCCTGCATTTTCTGAAAAACAAGTTTCTCTTTGTTTTCAAAAAGAGTCTTATGACACCTTACGGACACATGTATTCTGGCGTGTTTTCATACATTATAGGCTTTAACTCACAGAGCATTATGTAGACTTATATTACAATATGAAATATTGTGGGAAGATTTGGGTTCTGGCCCCCACTCACAGGATGAAGCTCACTGAATGACTTTGGGCAGCCACTCACTCTCAGCCTGGCCCACCTCACAGGGTTGTTGCTGTGAGGATAGAATGAAGTTATGTAGCTGCCTCGGGGTCCTCACAAAATGAAACATGGCAAGACATGAATAGATTGTAAAATTATATTGCATGCCATATAATTATACTAATTGCATAGGAGGGAAATTCCGTAAACTTTGAGGTACCAAGTTAATTAAATACAGAAAATGCTGAGAGTGACAATCACAATATTGACAACAAACAATTGCTGTGCACTTGTTACGGATAACACAGCACAGGCTCACACAATTCACACGTCAAGTGTGATGTAAAAAGAATATCCTTTTTCCCAAATCAAGCAACAGAACTGAACCTATTCATGAATTCGAACTATCAGGGCACAATCAGGAAGAAAAAAACTGTTTGGTTGACTAGGACGTGCTGAGAGTTGTAATCCCTTTTCTGTACCTGAATTTGCAGAGAACTTGCCTTAATTGTGATAAAAATCCTTTATTCTGATGCAAGGCGGCAAAACTGAATCTACTGATGAAGGCGAACCCTAAGTAATAACGAATGCGGGGCCCCTGTACAAATCGCATGCAACGAGGTTTACTCCTAGGTAAGTGCGCCTAGATTGGCAGGTCTCCTCGCATTTCAGAGAAAAGGCTTGTCGAAACCTCTGGACTTCAGCTCCTCCCTGAGAAGCAGCCTCTCCGCACGCACCCGCTGTTTCCAGGCGGTAGGGAGACCACGGGGCCAGCTTCCCGCTCACCCGCCTGCCCCGTAAGACACTCGCGCTTTTACACCCCGTCGCCGCGAAACGCCATTTCAGCCTCGCCTACCTACCCAGATCTCCTTGACCCTCTCGAGCCACCGTCATGCGCCGAGCCGGCCCAAATCGAAGAGTCTCTTCGAACCAGGCGCCAAAGAGCGACCGGGCTGTACTAACCCCGCCCCTTCCCTGGAGGTGACGTCAGTGGCAGCCTTCTTCAGCACGGGCGGGAAAGGAGAACGGAGCACTCTCGTTGGGTGTTTACAATAATCCACGGAACACGCGCGCCCGAATGCTATTGGCTGGAAAAACCTTTACGCCTCAGTTTCGAGCCTCACAATGAGCCAATGAAAGGCGGCAACTATGACGTCGCGCCGGCACGCGCACTTTACCCTCTCTTCAATGGGAATTGCTCTTCAGAACAGGATTTCACGCGCCAAGAAAGCGGATATTTTCTTTGCAGCCAAGCGGGCTGTAGTGGCAGTAAGAACAAGCGAATACTACAGTCCTATTAAAGATCAAGTACCACTTAACTCCACTGGACTTACTCCTGAGTAGAAATAGAAGCCACTTTAAATGTCTAAGTACAGCAATCTCCACTCATTTTTATATTTTTTTGTTCCACTAATTAGGTTTCCAAGGCAGCTTGTAACACGACAGAGCAATAGAAGATTAACTGTTGCAATTAAAGGTATTAAATTGCAAATAGACTGAAATTCTATACATAGTTGGAAATAAGCAGGCCTAACTTCTTTCATATGCATACATTTTTGGTGACAAACTTGCTGGATGAAGAGCTGTCCCATTCCATGTATATTTTGGTCGATTCTAAGAAATTTAATGTATGACCATCGATTCTGGAGTAGGTCTGAAGAGGAAGAACACTACTATATTGCAACAGTAAATTTCAACTCATTGATTTTAAGGGGCTTAAGTATAAGCTTCAGGCTCATTTTTATAGGCTCAGGCTGCTTTATGTCAAATGTAAGGGGAAGTAAAGAACAATGCCTGCTTAGAGAACATCATACCCACCCTCTATTTTAAAGATGTTCAAGTTTTCTATATATTTGGTCTTTTGCACATTTTTCACTCCTCTGCTAAAGTATTAGGGCACATTCCAAACAGACGGCTCACCATTCAGGATATTGCGGTCATATTCCATGGGGTGGGGGGAGAAGTGATTCTAGATAGAGCGCTCCTAAAATAAGCGATCGAAAGTCATGATGCCTTTTCACGTTTGCAAAATGTGTATTTCTTCTTTCCTGTTCAAACATGGGACAGCAGCAGATCACTGTTTTTAAATACACTATTGCTCATAAAGAAGGGGCCAGTTCAAAGTGAAATTAAGCCTAATCTGCCCACCCTCTGCTACCTCTTTCTGCAGTAGATTTACTTCTGGTGTCTTGCTTTATCTGTGGACAGCCTTTTGATTAAAGATGTGTAGTTTGGCTCACAAATTGCTGTAACACGATTTCTCCAATATTCAACACCATAGCACTGCTGCTGCTTTTCCCTGTATTTTCACAATAAGCTAAAGGCACCATTAATATTGCTTTAACATTCAAACCATACACTTTTTTAAAAAAAGTGGACAAGTTCTCTAAGAAATTCAACCATGTCAGACTATAAAGCTCTCCAAGAGGACTGCTTTGTCTTTAACTGAACAGAAAATTGCACCTGAAATAGACATGAAAATACAAAACATGCATACAAGGGAGAACCAATCTGCCTAATGCAGATGCAGCAGCTCTTCCAATCCAAGGCCTGAAATTCAACTTCATATAAGCCCCTGGGGGCAATGCACCAGTAGCAGGTATGACTAAAGGCAAAAGGGGCAGGAGCAGAATGACCAGCATATTTTAGCTTATAGCTCTTACTGCCAGTAACCAAGCCGCAGGAGAGGCTTTTCAAACTTTTCAAGAGGACAAAAACTACGCTGAAGCCAGGAAACCAACCAACAATCTATGGATGGGGGAAGGAGGCATGGCCTCATGGAGAATGCAGGCTTGAGGTCTTCACCCATTTTAAAACATAAACTCTAACATTAAAGCATTAAGAAGCATCGGTGTATAAAAGAGAAGAGCCTAACATACAGAGAAAGCCATTAACATTAAAATGTGGTAAGAAAATGGTGTACAAATAAATAACTTAATTCCTACCAAAAAGGGTATTATACTCATTACAGCTACACAGTATATCTAGTAACCAGAAACATTTTTTATTTTTTAATATGCTTGTACACATACAGGCTGCTCTTCCAGGCTGAAAGCCCTATCAAGGTGATTTATAAAATTAAAACAAAAAAAGAGAAGAAAGAAAAACATTGGTAATATAAAACAACAAAAAACGATGGCTCAACTTGTTAACAGTTTATCATGTATCCAAAGGAAAGGATCCAGAGATGCTTTCAAGTGGTCAAGAGGGAAAATTTTTCTTCTGCTTCAATACCCACACGCAGAACAAGTGTGGTAGAATCATTAACATTTTCCTCATCCTTCCAGAGTACTGCTCTGGCGATTCTTTCTTGTGTGCATTCTCTTGTGAACAGAGACATAGAAACGCTGGCTGAAGCTCTTACCACATTCAGTACAGCTGTAAGGCTTTTCTCCCGTGTGGGTTCTCCTGTGAACAGTAAGTGTTGATTTCTGCCGGAAGTTCTTTCCACATTCGCTACAGCTATAGGGCTTCTCTCCCGTGTGGATTCTCCTATGATGAATGATGGCAGAAAGAAGTCGGAAGTTCTTCCCACATTCTAGGCATTTGTGGGGCTTTTCTCCTGTGTGGACCCTTTGGTGAAGCTGCAGTGATGCTTTCTCAGTGAAGCTCTTCTCGCACGTAACACACTTATAAGGCTTTTCCCCACTGTGATATCTCTGGTGGCAAACAAGATGTGTGTTTTGATTAAAGCTTTTCCCACACAGTGTACATTTGTATGGCTTTTCTCCAGTGTGGATCCTTTGGTGCCTAATGGCATTTGATGCCTGAGAAAAGTTCCTTCCACATTCGGCGCACTGATATGGCTTCTCTCCAGTATGAGTTCTCCAATGCTGAACAAGGTCGGCATTCCGAGACATTGTTTTCCCACATTCACTACACTTAATGTGCTTCTCCATGTGGATTCGCTGATGTTGGGTAAGGTATGGCCTTTGTCTGAAACACTTCCCACATTCCTTACACTGATGGGATACTTTGTCTGCACAGTTTTTCTTCATAGACTCAATGGGTCTCTTTGCTCTATCTGCTTTATTGACAGGGCAGAGACTGGTTTCTTCAGGTTTTTCTGAATGTGACCTTTCGGAGGTACGTTTCATCACTCTCTTAATTCTTTTGGGTTGCTTTTTCGATTTGTGTCCGTTCTCAGAATTCTCTTCCTGATCAGAAACTGGGACAAAACTCCCTTCAAGTTCTTTTTCAATGGCATCTGCAAACAAAAATTTGGCTTTAAAAAAGAAATGAGAGGGTATTTGGACATGATTAATTTCACATATATGGAGAGACAGATGTATAATTATACACAAAGTGCAACAGCTAGGTTTTCTGACACATTTACCATTTGACTTCTCTCTGCTTTCTCTTCTTGCATGTGAGAAGTCAAAGTAGTTTGTGAGAATTTGATTCACTTGAGAAGTAGTAATAAATGTATTCTGTCATAAGCCTTTGTGGACTATACCCTATTTGATCAGGACTATACCTTATTTGATCAGATGGATGGAGTAGTAATGAGGGCTTGGGGTTTCTGTACAATTCTACGGTCGAGGTGACAGATGAAGAATTCCAAATAGTGAGGCTGGAAGGAAACTAAATGTGCTTGGTACACCACTTAACACATGAAGTGGGATTTTTTTAAATCCTTTCTCTAAATGCCAGCATGTTTTTTTCTATCAGCAGAAGCTGCACTTCGAAGAACTATAGTTAATAATGGGATTGTCTCTCTCCATACTTCCTTCAGAACTTACCATCTACAACCTCTGCCCACTCACTTTCCCCCCACTCACCACTTGGACCAGATTTAAACTGGAAACTCCACAATACTCCATGCATGTAATGATGTTGGCCACAGTCCATGTAAATCTTGTGACAAAATACATTTATGAGTCTTCCTTTGCTACCAGATTTTTTTGTTTTTGTCACAATAAACTAACATTGCTATTCACTACAAATTGAAAAGTACTATTATGGATTTCTTACTGGATTTTTATAAGTAGGGCTACCAGATTGGGTTGCCCTGGTGGGGTGGGGGGATCCTGGCCAGTGATTTATCTCTGTAAAACTAAGAAGACACCAGACAATGGCCTTAAGAACCAGGTTGCCTCCACCTGTCCCAGTCAGGGAAAAGTGGCAACGATTCAGCAGGTGAAAAGAACAACAGACAGTTACCTGATCAGGACTGAAAAAAAGACACAGACAAAGAGATGAGTGATGACTGTCATACGTTACCTCCAGTATCAGAGGCAGTATGCCTACTTACACCAGTTGCTGGGAACATGACCAAGCAGAAGATGTTGCACTCATGTCCTACGTGTAACCTCTACCAGACACAGAAAGTTGGACATTTGTAACAACAGAACAGCCAGTTTCTATCTCTAGAGAGCAGACACGAGAATAGTGAATGTGCTGAGAGGGTTTAACTAGACCTCCACCTAGACTCATCCTATAAATATGCAAATAAATGCAAATACTCCAGTGACCTGCTTCCAAAGCAAACCACCACTGGGTAAGCACTGCACCCCAAGAATGTCTCACTGCTCAAAGAAATAGGATTAGACTAACAGTATTATGGTTGCAGTGAGACTGGGTGGTATGAATCTCTTCTCTGTATCTGAACTGGTTTAGCTTCTTCACCCACCACAGTTCTCCATTGGTGGACATGAATGCACTAACCCTCACTAGAACAAGTAATCCTTACTAAAACGCCAGCATATGCAAACATTTGATTTTAAGGTACAAATAGTTTCCCTACAGCACAAAGTCAATGAAAAAGAAAACGAAACAGGATTATGTGGATAGCGATCCTAGGCTGGATGAAGGAACAAACCATCCTATATTTTGTAAGTGATATCAGTCAGTTCTTGCTACTTTAGGAAAGTGTATTAAGATGACAAAAAACACAGGTGTGCAAGGTTGGGGCACACCTGGATTATTCTACACAGGGCTGCCTTTTAAGAGCATTTGGAAACATCAGCTGGTGAGAATGTTGTACCAAGACTTCTGACCAGAGCCAGGGTGTTGGGAGCACATGCATCCATGATTGTAGCTATTGTGGTAACGTCAGATTCATTTTTGGGCACAGTTATCACCTTTAAAGTCCTATACCACCCTTCCCAACCTAGTGCCCTCTGGATGTTTTTAGCTTCTATCAGCTCCTGTCAGCAGGGTCAATGGTCAAGAAAGCTTTAAGCTGCGATTCAAAACATTGGGAAGAAAAAAGCTCTTGATCGAAATCATGGTTTCATATAAGGCTTGAATTCCAAGTTTAAACCAGTTTCCCATTCAGTGGTCACAGGAAACTGATTTAAAGAAATGATATACTGTCAAGGGCAGCACATGGAAACATGTGCAGTTTGTGGGTATGAGATGCATTCCTGATTTAATAGCTCAACACTTACTAAACTGAGATCGTTACCTCCAAAGTTGCCCTTGCAGTCAGAGAGCTGGTATGTTCAGAATGTTAACCAGGCATGAGATTATTACAGCTTTCCATATTTCTCTTCAGTAATTTAGAAGATGTGAACGAAATGAAAAGGGCTGGCTCTAGGGAAATGAACTTAACATTTCACTTGTGGATATTTCTGACCTCCTTAAATTGGTTCCTTACCTCCTCCTCCTTTCAAATTCTTCAGCTTATTCACCTTATCAGGCCCTTGACAATTCTGGGCAGAGGCCCTTAATCTTTGTTTCATCCAGAAGAGCATGCCAATGTAAAGAACTAGGGAGCAGAAAAACAAATCACATAGATGCTTACCTCACTGGTGCTAAAAGGATGCAACACACACACACACAACAGACAGTACTCCTTTCTGGACTTGTTCATAGCTTGCCTCCTCTTCATGGTGCTTTTGGAATTAGACGAAGGGACACATGAAAATAAGCTGAGGACAACATACTCCCCGAGGACCACAAGCTGCCCACCCTTGTTTTAGAAGGACTGCAACCACATTCAGAACAAACCTATTTTTATGAAGTGTTATGGACTGGCCAGAGAGCTTCAACTATTAGTTGGTATAGAAATAGAATAAAAATAGACAACATTTACCCAGGTCAATCAACAATTTTACTAATTTAATTTTCCTGCTTTTTATTTATTTATATATTGATTTACTTTTATCTGCTGACATCATTTTCTGCTTTTTATTGACAAACTGTATGGTTTTCATAGGTTTTCTTAGTCACTCCAGAAGAACTGAATGTTGGTGCAAAATACCAAAGTAAGTTAACCAGGAAAAAATTTACTCCAGATTGAACAGCAACTTGATCCAAACACCAATCCCAGACAACTAGCTTATTTTAGAAAATTTTAATATTGCTTTTCTGCTTTGAAAAGTTTCAAAGCTGGCAAATAACTCCTAATACAGAGCAAAAATTGACATAAGCAACAGCCACAAGCAACAAAAACAGGCAATCAGGCAGTAGCTTCACATAACAGCAGAAGAAATCATTCACCAGCAGTGCTAGCCAAATATAAAGAGCTTACTGCATACATCTCTATTCAGAAGAAAACAGGGCTTACTTCCAAGTAAGGGTTCACAGGGCTGCAATCTAAGGGCACAACCACAAGTGTATTTAGATAGAGAACACCTGCTCTATCTACACATGCATAAGATTGCACTTTAAGACATCTCAAACAGCTGGCACTGCACAGAAGTCTACTTGGGGGAGCTTTTACACAAATGGGGTGCCACCACCAAGAAGGCCTAGATCCAAGTTGCCATTCACCTCTTAAGGCAAGGGCACCCAAGGTTTTCTGAAGCAGGCCTTAAAAATTGGGCAACATCACATGGGAAAGAGCCCATCACAGCCCCTGGATGCCAAACCATTTATTTATTTTTGTTTTTAAAGCCAAAACCAGCACCTGGAATGATTGCTTAGTATGGCCAGCTTCAGTGTCTTCTCATTCATTAATATCTTCTAAATATAACAGCCCACCTCATTCCAAAGAGGCTGCAAACCTACAACTTATCAAGGAATAAGCCCCATTGCATTGTGCAGGTTCTGTTGAACTCCTAAGCAGTGCTTGACCTAAAAGATTTAGGACTAGCCCAGAGCAGATGTATCACACAAGACAGGCCAAACTAAATCACAAGCAATGCAGGCAGGCCCAACCTGAGTAGTGGTGCTGAGGTTGAATCACCAGAAGAGAAGCCACAATCTCTGAATCCCCAGTAAGCACCAAACCTTACCCTAGGAACGGAAAGCTGAGGCTACAGAGAGGAAGGAGTGAGGAAATCACAAAGCCAAATAAAAGCGCTCTTTTAGGACCACCTTGTTCCCGCAACAGCTCCCATTCCAGAGATTTGGGACAGGATGGGGGTTGATCAAGCACACAATGTAATGCTGCCACTACTAACAAACCGAAATGCCAGAGCCAGCAGATCTAGCTTTTTAAAAAGCCAAGAGAGGTACAGAGACCACGCGGGCCCAGCCTGGGTAAGCAAAATCCTTATCTGAATCACATATGCACAACTGCAATCATGAAACCCACAGACCCTATTAACAATCCCATTGCCACACAATAAATTTGTGCACCTTTCTTTGGTGGCTCTTCAGTCTGGAGAAGTGAAAGAAAGCTGTCGCTTGCTTCCACCCTTGCTTCGCTTCAACATATACAGGAGGAGAAAGTCAAGGCCCCAGCAAAGCACTTCTGCACCTCCTGCCCTAGGAACTTCTTACAAGCACTAGTACTGCAAAAGGGCGGGCATTTTATCGACTTTGATTGGCCCAGTCTAAGTCACCTGATCTGGTCGCGGAGCAACCGCTGCCCGAGGCGTCTAGGAGCACCGTTCACCGAAAATAGCTGCAGGTACACCATCGTTTGCTCAGCGAGGAGAGCAGCGCAGCTGTTTTATTTCAGTGCATGGGAGGAGCGCCCTGTTTGCACATGTTGAGCTGGTTCAGAGAAGACAATGGTCGGATCGCCCTGTGAGCATAGCCTTGCTCGAAGAACGCCTGACGGAGCAATCCTAGCTATATCTTCTCCAGAAATAGTGCTAGGTGCTGAAAAGATCCAGGACTCAGGCCGATGGGACTTCAGAAGTGAATATGCATATGCAAATTCTCTCTCTCTCTCTCTCTCTCTCTCTCTCTCTCTCTCTCTCTCACACACACACACACACACACACACACACTTCTGCGAATGACCCTGCCTTCTGCAGAAACCCTATTTGTATAAAGGGATGCCTGCACAGGAAAACGAGGGCATTTGATTTCAGAAAAAACTCAGAGAAATTCAAGTGGGAAGCAACAGGAGGTGAAGCACATGTGGGGAAAAAGTCAGCCAATCCTTGTGCCTTTATTTCTGCAAGTGCCCATGTATAGCAGGGTGTTTGGGCAGAAGACCTCCAAACTTGGATCTTCACGGTGGAATTGTTTGCATAGGACTGAAGCCCGAATAACCCAACTCTTCAGTCGTGAGCTTGCAGAATAAAGAGCCAATTGAAGTGAAAAGAGGAGTGATGCTCCAAGCTCATGACCTCAAAGGACAAACAGGGTTTATCCACCCAGAGAAACCATTTTTTCTACTGCATTCTCTTTCATTAATAACCTGGGAAATCTTGGAACCACAATAGGAAGGCCATGTCTTGGCTGTGTTTCAAAACAGTTAAAGGTATGGCTTTGTTCTAAGAAACAACAAAAGGTACATTCACTCCTCTGTATAATATCTTTCTTGCAAAACGCCAGCAAGTGACCCTTCTCCCCATCGAACCCCCCACCTGCACTCAAAGGGCACGCTTTGCATGCAGAGATAAAAGGCCCCAAGACAGTAATATTAAGGTACCACCAGATTACAGATGAGGACAGGCAGTCTTGGCTGCCTATTTATAAACAAAACCTCCCTGCCAAAATAAAACCAGCAGAGCAAGGATGATTCATTCCAGCCCCATCCATTCTCTACTGTGCTCATTTTCTACTTGTAAGGAGAACTAGTATTTAGTTTTGAATAAATGCAAGGGTATTTAAAAATACTGTTCCAACACTTGCTACCTTAAGCGGCAAAGTTCAGGATTTCTGCACCCTGTTCTGTTTGCATGTGCAGTCACAACCAAATTAGGTTGTGCTGGTCTCCTCCCAGGAGGAACTGAGCAGCCAGCAGGACCAAATGAAGTAATCTTTCATTTATACTTTGGCCTCCTGCTTAATTTTTTTACTTAAGCTAGAAGCATTTGTAGTGGTTAAGAGTGCAGGTCTGGCACTCGGGCGAACTGGGTTCTAGTCCCTGCTTTGCCATGGAGCCAACTGGGTGACTTTGGGTCAGTCACAGTCTCTACCCAACCCACCTCACAGGGTTGTTGCTGTGGGGATAAAATTGAGAGCAGGAGGAGAATAATATAAACCACTTTGAGTTCTTTAAAAAAGAAAAAGGCGGGATATAAATCTAATAAGTAAAAGATCTTTTACCTCCTCAGCCAAAATGGCTCTGGTTTACAGTCTAAAAAGACGGGCTCACAAGGAATGGGGAGGGAAGAGGAGTCTGGAGTGGCCCTGCTTGCCCTCTCCTCCTACAACTTGCTGGAAAAGGCTGTTGGTGGTTTCAGCTGAGAGAGGAGCTGCCAAACAGAGGTGCTCTTCTGCAGGGCTGTAGTGGAGTGTCTGCAGCAATCAGGTTTTAGGGCTGTCTCTCTGATCGTGAACAAGAAAACAAAATCCCCTTTTAGGGTTCCATTTGCAATGGGAAGACAAAGTTTCTGTTGAGGAAAGGGTAATTTCTGTCATGGCTAAATGCTGAAAAAAATTATACAGCTCAGAGATATACTTTTCCTTCCCATTGCAAATAGTCGCTTAAAGGATGACTTTTTTTCTGGCCATAGTGCAAGCAAAGGGCTACTGAAAAACACCCACCCTCACAGCTGCTATTTAAAGTAGAAAGATCAAGCATGAAAGGACAGATTATGCATTTAACATCACATGTAGTGTGGCCCTGTTTAAGTTCAGCTCCTAGGTAAGCTCACTTCTGGGAGTATAACCATGACAACTGCTGCAAAGCACTGTGGGAGCACCAGATCATCCCTGCTCCTCTCTTATATCTCTAAACCAGCAATTACAGAGCAGTTTACAGTTTTATCCTTAAAAGGCCTACAAATCAGATGACCTAGTCTCCCTAATTTTATTTATTTAAAATTTTTGTATACCATCCAACTACTACTATCTTGGGACAGTCTTACATTAAAAACAGGATAAAAATGAAGCATAGCATCCAGTAATAAAATCATACATTAAAAATTTGCCATCTCCACACTGCCTCCGCTGACCTTTCAGGCTGGCCACAGCCTTGATTTGCCTATCTTCATAATCTCACTCAAAGGTCACAGTCCTATGAAAATTTAGGCAGAGAAAAGGCTTATAGCTCCCTATGCTGGCTGGTACATCCTGGGAGTTGTGGGACTTTTTTCTGTCAAAACATGCATAGGATTGCACCATAACGGAGAGCTTCGGATAGCAGTCCTACTTAAGTTGTATGAAGGAGCACACAGCAGGGGTCAGCTATCCAGGCCAAAAAGCAAATCCATGTGTTACAGTCTTCCAGGACTCTCTCATCCAAGTCCACAATGCCAGCTATGTCTCTGAGAGGAGGAAGTGATAGAAAACCACTAAAATTACAGACACGCGAATCATTTAGGCAGCAGGACTCAGAAGGAAAGAACCTTACTAGCCAATGATGTCACAAGCCTCTCTTGTGACCTAGCCCACTGCGACATTTCTTATTATTCCCCCGCTGTTTCCCTTGATCCACAAGAGGCCTGATTAGAAGCAGCAGCAGGCAAAGGGAAAGACGTGAGAACTCCAGGCACCCAAGAACATCCTTTATCTGTACTGCCCCACCAATGGTTCCTTCTTTAGAACAGCCCTGTATCCAGAGCACCCACCAGGATGATGGGGTGGCACTCAGCCTCAAAGCACCTCCTCTTCACCCTTGGTGAGTTTCTCCTTTTCTGATCTCCTCCCTTCTTGGCTCCATGGTGTATGAAGAAGTTACTCAGCTATATGGGAGCTGATGGGGGCTTTTGAGACTCAGATGCAGCCCTTCACAGATTTCCAAGGTGGGAAAAAAATGGCACTGGGAACAGATACGGTGCTGACATTTTCACTGGAAAAGTGTCCATCCTTGAACCTTGTACAAAGGATGGGCACTTCAGTCTTGCAAATAAGCCTACAAATATACAAATATATATTTACTAATCTGCTTGCCTGCCTACATATATCTATAGATGTAATTATTAGCACAATTATTTACATTCAACCTTTTTTCTTCTCTGAGGAGGAAATGGGATGCCTATTTTCATCATTATTTCCTGGATTTCTTCTGACCTGTTATATCACAGATTAATTATATCTTGTATTTTTTTCCCACAGTATACCTTTCAGTCCTAAACTCATAGCACTGTTCACGCTGTCTGCAAAAGTCAGCACAGGAAAGGAACCACAAGGAGCTGGTAGCATTGAAGGCAATGTGATTTACTTCTGAGGAGACACATTTATCAGGCTGTTTTCAGCTATCTGTTCTTTGCAAAAATCAGCATGGGAGATCAGCTGCAAGGAACAGGTAGGTGAGAATGACCCATATATATCTGCTCAGAAGTAAATCCCATTACCTTCAGTGAAGCTTACTGTTGCAAGTCAGCATGAGATTGAAGGGTGTAAGTTTGGCCTTCAGAAAGAGGCTGTGATTTAAAAAAAATCTCAAACCAAGCAAACTTATGCTTAATGGAGCAAACAAAACTCAAAGGGCATTTCTCCACACATCACTTTTCCAGTTCCTCCTATTTCTCCCTCAATTGCATTGTGTGTGATATAAGATCACACTTTCAATGCAGTGGAAATTGTGCTGGATTCTTTAGCATGTCTCCCAGGAGTGGTTTAGTGGAAATACCACAACAGATAAGCAGAAGGAACTCTAGTGTAGATCCAGCCTGCAGATGAGGGTTGATTGATGTGACTGCAATTGTACACAGGGCTTGTCAGTTTAAGCCAACTTCTTGCTTGGTGAGCAAAGCATCTTTTTGGAGGACCCATCTGTTGCTTCATGTCATACAGATATGTAACTTCATGTCATACAGATATGTAACTTGTGTATGTACATCATGAATATAAAGTGGCTGTTAACTCAGTGATGCGGTGCACACATAATGGATTTATGCACTACGCTGGAACATAGAGCATGTTCTGGCCCTCCAGAAGTTGTTGGATTGCAACACCCATTAGTCTTAGCCAGAAGAGTTGATAACACCTGGACAGCCACAGGTTGCTCCCATAAATGAATTAACAGCTTCTTCTAAAAATGGAATCAGCTCAAGTGCTGATTTATGTCGCAAAGCATGAGCAACACCAATGGTGTTGTCAAAATCAGCCTTGCAATCTTACTAGCCATCTGTGAGGCTTCAGCCATGGTTCATTCTCTTGTTTGTTTCACAGCACTCTCAAAATGGCTTCTCCCAGCAGACACACAGAGACAAGAACACTCGCTAGCGGGATTGCCCCTGTCAGAGGTCGAATATGAGCACTTCTTCAGAACTCTCAACAGCCCCCGACGTGTCAGCTCCATTTGCTTTTTAAGAGCCACATACGGCTGCAAATATTCCTTGATCCGGGTACTGGACCAGTATGAAAACCATGGAGTCATCCCTAAAGGTAAAACCTATTGCAGTGCTCACATGGACAAGATTTTCTTAGATGTCCTATTAGCTGATTACAAGGAGGCAAGGAAAACATACTCAAATACTTTGCCCCCCTAACGAGAAGGAACAACTCATTGGAGAAGTCCATGATGCTGGGAAGGATTGACCACAAAAGGAGAAGGAAATGGTAGAGGATGAA